CATTTGTAGCTGGAACGGTTACGTATTGCTACTGATGGAACAAATAAGGGAACACCACTTCATGGCGAGTGTTCCTCTGTTATTCTCAGTTTCCATCCCACAGCACTGTTCAAAGCTGGTGATGAAAACTGGAAAATATTAACAGAACACTTGACTTTTCCTGTGTTCCTTTATTTGTTTCTTTCAGTATATTTTTAATGATAGTCCACCAAGCACAAGATCAAAGCCCCTCACAATATCATTTTTCATTTAGCAAATCCTCAGTTTTCCACACCGCATTTAACCATAAAGCGTAGTAATTTGGGGCTGGTCACGTCCTCTGAAACCATACACAGTTTGTTAGAGATGCATGTACAGCGCGTTGAAAATGTGCTTTTGTTATTGTCACTTTTATAAAATAAAGAAGCAACAACCATATCATGACTTTACATCCATATCAGGCAACAAAAGAAACTCACATTTTAGACATTTTTTATTATTTTGGCCTTACCCTTATGCTTCAAGGCTAATGTCGACACATTTCGTTTGGGAGGGTGAAGTATGGACAGGGACCATTTCTACAAAGACCAAATTCACTGATGACAAAAGCTACCTCAGGTAGCTTGTATGAATGGCGGGTGCTCCTGTAGGACAGGATTTCATAATTTCCGACCATTCATCATGCATCATATTCAACATTTGTTTGAAAGTAGCAAGTGGAATGTGTTTTGAAACTCGAAACTGTTTATTCTTTTTGGCATTTTTTGCTTAAAGGTCACAATGCAACGTAAAACCCCAACTTTTACAGATCCTGATACCTTTCGGTATACCGAGACACCGGAAACAAATCATCAAAATGCAAATTCAACTTATAAAAGTTAGAAAATAACGCGATGAAACAAACCGCGCGCGAAATCGTAGTTCAAACGATTCGCATAATTTTCCCCAGCGCTTGGGGTGTGAAATCCGTTTCAACGAAAGCTGGGCTGCGCTCCGCTAGCCACATGCGCACGCAGTGAAATAGAGTTCCTTGGGCTTAGAGCAGGTTATTAAATTGAATATTCGGTGAAGGCTTTGAGTGCTGAGCTATTTTTCTAATGTTTTTGTTGATATTTCCACAGGCGCGGAAACTTTATAATATTACTACAGTAGATTACCGATTTAACTGTTTTATATATTTTCGATTTGTCTATTTCACCACGCGTTCTTCTTACCGAGTCACTTACTCAGTTCGATGCAAGAAACCAATGTCATTATTTAAGAGTCGACCGAATTTCTAACTGCTTGATATAGAGATGGCGTTATCACAGACCAAAACTCAAAGTCCTGTTTATTGGCACCTATATGTCTGCCACCCTGCCCGTCTACTAATGGCAATATTCAATACACAATTTGATCACTGACCCGTAATGCAATTTTGAAATTAACACCTATCAGGCTATACACCATAAACAAAACGCATTGATTTAAGGCCCAGAGAGTTCGGTTGACCACAGGATCGTGTCCTTCCGTCTTCATCATGGAGTCAGTTATGGAAGACGTCGCCAAAGTCTTGAACATAGATCCAATGGAGTTCAGAAAACTAAACTTTTTCGAAAACGGACAGGTGAGTACATGATCGTCATAACGTGTCTTCAACAGTTAACTTAACTGTGGAGAATAATCGTTTTCAATGTCTGTTATTTGCAAAAAGAACCTCAACACATTTACTCAACTGGCGTCTCTGAGTTCGAGTTTAAGACGTATTCTTATGCTGTCTCCAGGAAATGGACATTTACTAGAGGTGATCAGCCAGGACCTTAGCGAACTGTAGCTCTTCCGTTTGAACATAGACAGTCTTAGAGCCCCTAAACTGTAATGGGGAGTTATATTCTCCCCAGGGATCTGTGATTGAAATTGTAAACACTGATCCATTGACCACAGTAATAATTTTAGCACTCTGAGTGTGCACTTCGAGTAAGTGAGGGAATATGGTTTTACGCAGCTTTTAGAAATATTCAAGCAATATCACAGCCGAGGACACCAGAAATGGGCTTCACAGATTGTGACTCATCCAGCACAATCGATTCGATGTGGGGAATCGAACCCGGGTTTTCAGCGTGACGGGTGATCGCTTTAACCTCTAGGCTACCCCCACCGCCCCGAGTTTGCTCTTTGCGTGTTAAATCTAGCGCAATATCTGTACAAGCAATGATCGTCGTCATCATCATCATCATCGTCATTGTTAAAGACCCATGTGGATTTGTGCTGATCACACACATCTTAACTCTTATAGACCTGATTGTCGAAGATGTCACATAGTAACACAAAGGACCCACATGATTTCCATTCTATCACAGATAACAGCCCGTGGAATGGTTCTGAAATACTGCACCATCAACAACATTGTGTCTCAACTGGAGGCGTCAGCCGATGTACTGAATAGAAAACAACAGATTGCAGCTTTCAACCAGGTAAAATTTTTGCTTCATCTAGTATCCGAAAAAGAATAACTACTTTAAGATTTTAAAATGCGGATGTAATTTTCTGAGAATATTGTTGGGGCTTCAAACTGACAATTTGTTGTATAGTTTCAGTTTACAAGATATATCATTGGCGGATCCAGAGGGGGGGTTCGGGGGTTCCCCCCCTCTCTTTGAAAATGACTTAAGACCACATTGAAGATTTCCTTTGCGTTGGCGGAGCCAAATGGGGAGTTCAGTGGGTTCGAACACCCCCACCCACCCCACCCTTTTTTTTTCAAAATTCCTGGATCCGCCCATGTATATGCATGGAATCCCAGAATGGGAACTGTCGCGTTATAGCATGTTTGCGATTATACTAACAAGCGAAAAGTATCAAAATTGATCAAAGAAATATTTTGGCCACTTGTTGCACTGTTGCATTTTTTAAGTTTGGCTGGGTTTTGTAAAGGCGAAAACACAACAGAGCGACAACCCAACAATGTCCCATCTGCGATGTCATACAGATGTGCTGAATGAATATAGAGTTACTCTTACTGCTGACCATGGCCCTATGGGAATTATGTAATGATTATATCATTTGGCAGTCATTTGTCATCAGTGTTTTGTGATAGTGGTCGTCTATATTTCAGCTTCAGTCTGTGCTAGTACAAGCAGCCGCACATACACATGCACACGCGTGCACGTCGTCATATGAGCGAAATATTCTCAAGCACGAAGTTAAAACCCAATTTCACCTCACCTCACCTCACACATTGTACCCAAGTGGGGAATCGAACCCGGGTCCTCGGCGTGACGAGCGAATGCGGTAACCACTAGACTACCCCACCTCTCGCAGTTAATAATGTCCTTCAAACAATTGTACTTATATGCACTGCAGTGATCAACATAGGGATATCAGTGACTGTCATTTCGCTTACTACATGCCCTCCAACAACAAAACAGTTTGTGAAACATCGTCTTCCATATATTATAATACAAAAATACACACACAAGAAAAACGAATAATGAAATAAACACAACTTTAAACACAATGAAATATGATTATAGCACCCCAAAATGCCGACCACATTATAATGTGTCTAAACGTGTAATCCACAGTCACGCTTCTCTAACAGCTTCTCGTCAAACAATAAATTATTTTATATTTAGACACAGAATATGACGGAAGTAATCAGCAGTAGTAGACCCAGAGGCGGGATTCTGGGGGCAAAAACAGTCGCATCAAGTAGAAGATATCCCTACAGATAGCAAACACAGTTCGCTTGAAAAACGATAGACCCAACCCTGATCACGAATAATTGATAATGAATATGGAATCAAATACATTGCATTGGAAACTCGCATTGATACTTTTCGGAAAATCATTCCAAAAGCTAAGACTTGTATGTGTTTTTAGTTTTGTTTTTGTTCTTTTTCATGAGTGAGTGAGTGAGTTTAGTTTTACGCCGCACTCAGCAATATCCAGCTATATGGCGGCGGTCTGTAAATAATCGAGTCTGGACCAGACAGTCCTGTTATTAACAGCATGAGCATCGATCTGCGCAATTGGGAACCGTCTTTTTCATGACTAAGGTGACTTAGCATGCACCCCCACGTTCACGATATGCCTGTGTGGATCTTGCATGTAGCGAAAATCAGTTAATTTGTAATGGAGATTAATACCCTTTAAACAAAGGAAAGTAAATACCTTTCTCCACTATGACGCCACAACTGCCCCTAAGCCTAAGATAAGCTTTCAAGTTTTATGCTAGACATGTGGAGGAAATTTCCAAATTTGATGCATTAGTGACAAAAATGATGTCCGATGCACTTCCCTTTTTTGACTTATGCCATACGTTCCCGAATTATTTCAGGTGAACAATTGTCTAGACTTATAATATGTTTATGACGGGTGCCACCGGTGGCGCAGGATACGCTCACCTTTTCGCGAACACCTGGTATCATCACTATATCTTAGTGATTCATAAACACATACCCTATCATCGTATCGCATTGTGACAATCACTGGATTGTCTGATTCAAACCCGATTTGTTTACAAACAACATCGTACAGCTCTAATACAGCTGAAAAAAATAAGCACTCATGATATAGTCACAGTTGTATAATCAGACATTTCCTCTGGACGTAGAAAGGATTTTGTCGCTTTTAATTCGATATGCATACGTGCTGGTTGTGGGATTAGTGTAGTTGTTTAGAAAACAAAGAACAGATATGATATTTTTGGATGTGTAAATGTGTACTTTGAGTGACTATTTAACATTTTTTTTAAAGTTATATGTCCATGTATAGGATAACAGATGGAAGAAGAAGGGCATTTCGGTGATGCCTCTCCGCTTCGAGGTGAACTTCACTCACGCCCATCAAAATGTCTATGTGACGATATTTCACGCCGATGGATCCGTTGCCATAGCGATCGGCGGTGTGGAGAATGGACAGGGAATCAACACAAAGGTTGGTCGGTACATTGTCAAATTTACTTTCTACATTTGTAAGGAGAATTATATTGGAGTACACAGGAACAAGAAAACATTTAGTTAGTTAGCTGTTTAGCTCAGTATAGTAGGTTATTTTAGTGATTTTACAATTGTTTTTCTTGTTTTTCTAGTAAGTTTTAATTTTAGCTAGTTTGTTAGTTATTTTAGTTCTTTTAGTCAATTTAGCTAGTTTGTTAGTTCTTTTAGTTCTTTTAGTTAATTTAGCTAGTTTGTTAGTTATTTTAGTTCTTTTAGTTAATTTAGCTAGTTTGTTAGTTCTTTTAGTTCTTTTAGTTAATTTGTTAGTTCTTTTAGTTCTTTTAGTTAATTTAGCTAGTCAGTGAGTTAGTTAGCCGGTCTTAAATAACACGTAGATACCTTATGCCACAGATTTATATGAACTACGCATATGCAGAACACTGACTCCAAACCAGACACAACTTTGTTATCCTTTAAAGTCCCAGCGCCAGGCAGAGTAACAATTAGTGCCAAGTTTTGGTATCACGTATCGGATTCGAACCACGGACCTTCTGGTCTGAGGACAGACGCTCAATCCGCTAGACCACAGGGGCGGTATCTGGAAATCTATGTTCACTTGTTCAGTTGTCTTATGTAGTTAATCCGCTATTCGTCAGAAAACATGGTAATTATGAAATGGACATTCATTCATTCATCGTTTGTAGACAATGAATAAGTGGTCACCGTTTTCATGACAGATGAAGCAAGTCTGTGCCTATGAGCTTGGCATCTCCATGGACATCATCAGGGTCAAGTCGACTACATTACTGACCAACTCCAACTCCATGGCCACAGGGGGCAGTATCACCAGCGACGTTAACGCATTGGTACGACGTGCTAGTCTAACGTTTCAATTAGTCAACGCTGGTCAATTCAAAAACATCAGCTCTGTGCGTGTACATATATATACGTGACCCTGTATATCTACCAAGTGTCAAACGCGTTACAGACACACAGGGTAACAACACGAGATAATATCATACTATAGTCTGTTAGCAGTGAACACGCACAGATGAATTTCACTTTAAACAAAAAAGTAAACCAAATAAAGTGAAATTAAGATGGCGAATCCTCATAATTTTACCTTGCCAATTAAACATATAAATTTCAGAATTTTATTCAACTTAGGATAAAATTTGTTTTACAGACGATCATAGATTCAAATCGTTATTATTGGTTTGTATTACAAGGGAGTAAACGCAATAATTGGAACAGTGATACAAATGCATGTGCAGTACGTGATGAGCGTTAACTTAGACCAACCCTACTTCTTCTCGGTGTTTCATTTAATGTGCATACACCCTTGTAATACAATGAGGATTCGTACTTCTAATTTCACTATATTTGATTTACGTTTTTGTTTAAAGTGAAATTCATCGGTATGTTTTCACTGCAAACAGACTATATGTTATGTTTGAGAATCAGTTTTATGCTTAAGTGAATATTCTCTTTCTCGCCACTGACCTGAAAGGCCGGGAATATATAATTATAGTAACATAAAACATTACGTCCGTATTTTTTACATTCATCCGTCCGAAAAAAAGTTTCTTGTCTAAATAAGAGGTGCAGTGCAGAAGTTATATTTTGTCAAGCATTAAAGAAATTTACAAATCTAAATTTAGCTTAAATTTAAGTTTGTTCAACCAATACCTCGTAAAGTAAATGTTTTTTTCAGTTTGATTGACACATGTCATTGTATCCATATTGCATACATCGATTCTCATGTGGCCGATCACACGTGTCTGGTTTTTATTTGCAGATAGCCGCAACATAGCTGGAATATTGCTGCTTAAGTGCGGCAATAAAACAAGCAAACAGGCACATTTTCCCAGCAAGATTCAACAAACTAAACAACACAAAAATAAAGTATGTATTTGTATTTATGACTGTTAAATTGTCTACGCTTGTTCCAGATTTGAACTATAACATCTTGTTATTAACAGGGAGTCATGCAATGCTGTCAACAGTTAAAGACCAGAATGGCACCAGTCAAAGCCAAAATGGTCAATCCTACCTGGCCGCAACTCGTTGCGCAGTGCTTTGCCGAAGGAGTGGACTTGTCAGCCAGCAGCTTGTAAGTCCTTGCTGATAACTTACCTCATGGATAAATGCATATGGATTTCCATTATACTTAGGACTTTATGGAATTTTCAATTATGTCATTTGCTTAAGCGTTTTACGACGGCAACGTCAAACAGTAACGCGCGGTTTATATATACGCACAAAATGTCCAAAGTAGTACAGGTGTTCAGTCATAAATATTGCATAGATAAATAAAAACAGAATGCCTTTTTCTCCAACATGTTTCGTTCTTTTACTCTTCAGGGAGATTGTAGCGGTAGTTACAATCTCCCTGAAAAATGAAAGCTGGCTATCAGGCTTGACTTGGTTTATGTTCTATTATCATGATATATATATATATATATATATCAGAAACTTCTTCTTATATATGTACTACTGTACGCTCAGTATTCTCATCACTTTCTTTATATATATATATATATATATATATATATATATATTAGCTTGAAGATGAAGAACATTTGCTTTTAATTTGTCCATTGTATGAAAACTTAAGAAATGAATACATACATATTGCAAAATATTATTATAATGTTACTAATATCATGTCAATTTATAACAAGCAGCACGCTTGGAAGTTAGAAGCTTTTATATTTTACAGCTTTAAATTAGGACAAAACTGGATTGAAAACAATTGTAAATGATTTAAATGTATCATGTAAGCATATTTAAACGTTGTTGGCAATACAATCAAATATTGTCATTTCATAATATATATAACAAGATACTCTGTCAAGTATATTAAAGGACTATGTATGTGAATTATGGGTCGGATGGCCTACATTTCTGAATTAAAGTCAATCAATCAATCATGATATAACTACACTCCTTGTTTGCATGTCAGCGTACCTATATTGTTGTTGCAGTACTTTCCCATCTGGGGACTTTTGTGACTACAACGTCTACGGTGCAACGTGCACAGAGGTCGAAGTGGACGTTCTGACTGGGGAGAATCAGATAAATAGAGTTGACATCCTGTATGACTGTGGAGAGAGGTAAGACCAACAGAGTGGACATCCTGTTATGACTGTGGAGAGGGGTAAGACCAACAGAGTGGACCTACTGTATGACTATGGAGAGAGGTAAGACCAACAGAGTGGACATCCTGTGTGACTGTGGAGAGAGAGAGGTAACACCAACAGAGTGGACCTACTGTATGACTGTGGAGAGAGGTAAGACCAACAGAGTGGACCTACTGTATGACTGTGGAGAGATGTAAGACCAACAGAGGACCTACTCTATGACTGTGGAGAGCAGTAAGACCAACAGAGTGGACCTACTGTATGACTGTTGAGAGAGGTAAGACCAACAGAGTGGACCTACTGTATGACTGTGGAGAGAGGTAAGACCAACAGAGTGGACATACTGTATGACTATGGAGAGAGGTAAGACCAACACAATGGGCCAACTGTATGACTGTGAAGAGAGGTAAGACTAACACAGTGGACATACTGTATGACTGTGGAGAGAGGTAAGACCAACAGGCTGAGCCTACAGTATGACTGTGGAGAGAGGTAAGTCCAACAGAGTGGACATCATGTATGACTATGGAGAGAGGTAAGACCAACACAGTGGACCTTCTGTATGAGTGTGGAGAGAGGTAAGACCAACAGAGTGGACATCATGTATGACTGTGGAGAGAGGTAAGACCAACACAGTGGACATCATGTATGATTGTGGAGAGAGGTAAGACCAACACAGTGGACCTTCTGTATGACTGTGGAGAGAGGTAAGACCAACAGAGTGGACCTTCTGTATGACTGTGGAGAGAGGTAAGACCAACAGAGTGGACATCATGTATGACTGTGGAGAGAGGTAAGACCAACAATTTGTTTAAATTTAATATTAGAGGTTGCCAATATCTCAGTAATTCTTTTGCTCACCTTGGTTCAGCATGAATCCTGAGATCGACATTGGACAAGCTGAGGGTGGGTTTGTGATGGGTCTGGGATACTGGCTGACCGAACAGATGATCTTTGACCCCACGACTGGCACCGCCCTGACTGATGGAACATGGGTAAGGCGGCCTCCTGAGGAGGGATTGTCATACGCGACTTAAGCTTCGCAGGTATCACACTCAGCCTAGTATGACACTCAGACTAGCATCACGCTCAGACTAGTATCACACTCAGACTAGTATCTCTACTCGACTAGTATCATACTCAGACCAGTATCTCTACTCGACTAGTATGACACTCAGACTAGTACCACGCTCAGACTAGCATCACACTCAGACTAGTATGACACTCAGAGTAGTATCTCTACTCAGACTAGTATCTCTACTCGACTAGTATCACACTCAGACCAGTATCTCTACTCGACTAGGATCACGCTCAGACTAGTACCACACTGAGACTAGTATCACACTCAGACTAGTACCACGCTTAGACTAGTATCACACTCAGACTAGTATCACACTTTGACTAGTGTCTCTACTCGACTAGTACCACACTCAAACTAACATCACACTCAGACTAGTATCACACTCAGACTAGTACCACGCACAGACTAGTATCACACTCAGACTAGTACCACACTTAGACTAGTATCACACTCAGACTAGTATCACACTTTGACTAGTGTCTCTACTCGACTAGTACCACACTCAAACTAACATCACACTCAGACTAGTATGACACTCAGACTAGTACCACGCTCAGACTAGCATCACACTCAGACTAGTATGACACTCAGAGTAGTATCTCTACTCAGACTAGTATCTCTACTCGACTAGTATCACACTCAGACCAGTATCTCTACTCGACTAGGATCACGCTCAGACTAGTACCACACTGAGACTAGTATCACACTCAGACTAGTACCACACTTAGACTAGTATCACACTCAGACTAGTATCACACTTTGACTAGTGTCTCTACTCGACTAGTACCACACTCAAACTAACATCACACTCAGACCAGTATCACACTCAGACTAGTACCACACTCAGACTAGTATCACACTCAGACTAGTACCACAACTAGACTAGTATCACACTCAGACTAGTATCACACTTTGACTAGTGTCTCTACTCGACTAGTATCACACTCAAACTAACATCACACTCAGACTAGTATCACACTCAGACTAGTACCACGCACAGACTAGTATCACACTTAGACTAGTATCACACTCAGACTTGTATCTATACTCGACTAGTACCACACTCAGACTAGTACCACACTCAGACTAGTATCACACTCAGACTAGTATCACACTTTGACTAGTGTCTCTACTCGACTAGTATCACACTCAAACTAACATCACACTCAGGCTACTATCACATTCAGACTAGTATCACACTCAGACTAGTACCATGCACAGACTAGTATCACACTTAGACTAGTATCTCTACTCGACCAGCATCACTCAGACTAGTACCACGCACAGACTAGTATCACACTCAGACTAGTATCACACTCAGACTAGTATCACACTTTGACTAGTGTCTCTACTCGACTAGTACCAGACTCAAACTAACATCACACTCAGACTAGTATCACACTCAGACTAGTACCATGCACAGACTAGTATCACACTTAGACTAGTATCTCTACTCGACCAGCATCACTCAGACTAGTACCACGCACAGACTAGTATCACACTTAGACTAGTATCACACTCAGACTAGTATCTCTACTCGACTAGTATCACACTCAGACTAGTACCACGCACAGACTAGTATCATACTTAGACTAGTATCGCACTCAGACTAGTACCACGCACAGACTAGTATCACACTTAGACTAGTATCTCTACTCGAGTAGTATCACTCTCAGGGTAGTTCACACTCAGACTAGTATCACACTCAGACTAGTATCTCTACTCGAGTAGTATCACTCTCAGGCTAGTACCACGCACAGACTAGTATCACACTTAGACTAGTACCACGCACAGACTAGTATCACACTTAGACTAGTATCACACTCAGACTAGTATCTCTACTCGACTAGTATCACACTCAGACTAGTACCACGCACAGACTAGTATCATACTTAGACTAGTATCGCACTCAGACTAGTATCTCTACTCGACTAGTATCACACTCAGACTAGTACCACGCACAGACTAGTATCACACTTAGACTAGTATCTCTACTCGAGTAGTATCACTCTCAGGGTAGTTCACACTCAGACTAGTATCACACTCAGACTAGTATCTCTACTCGAGTAGTATCACTCTCAGGCTAGTACCACGCACAGACTAGTATCACACTTAGACTAGTACCACGCACAGACTAGTATCACACTCAGACTAGTACCACGCACAGACTACTATCACACTCAGACTAGTACCACGCACAGACTAGTATCACACTTAGACTAGTATCTCTACTCGAGTAGTATCACACTCAGACTACTATAACACTCAGACTAGTATCACACTCAGACTAGTATCACGCTCAGACTCACTCAAAAGTGCATATCACGTTGCTCATACAAAATATAATCTATATTGCGAATAAGATTCACAGGAAAACCTGGCCCCAAAATGACCTTACATGTAAATGGACATGATTAGCGATACATGTTGAGCACTGCGTCACAAACTGAACCTTGTCATTAAAGTTTTTTAACAACTGCTCTCAGAGGTAATCCTACCAACACCGAAGGATACACATGCTTCTTACACAAAGTGCTTCCATTCATGTTGATCAATGTTTGTGTTTAATAGTTCTGTTTTGTACAATAGATGACTTTTATATTTTAATAATACAACCCCCACAACCGTTGAAAATATAATTCATAAAACTCATCCACGATTTCATCACACGCTTAAACATGCAATAGCATTGTATCTTAGTTTTATGCCTGATATGAGGGTTTTGTTGTGTGTAGAATTACAAGCCCCCACTAGGAAAGGACATTCCTATTGACTTCCGTATCCAGTTCCTCAAGAATGCTCCCAACCCACGTGGAGTCCTGAGGGCCAAAGGTAAAGGATGGGTACTGTATGAAGCAGTCCTGACATAAAAAAGGAATGTTGACTGTGTTGGTACCACTGCTTACATCAGTTACATAGATACATAGTTCAACCTTCAGCACAATGATTTCAACGATCGTATGATGTAATGTACTGCTCAGTGTACATCTGACAGGTTAATACATCATGTGTATTCATTTAATCGTGGTTATGGCAGTTGTCGTTTACATACATCCACCAGAAATCTATGGTATCAGCAGAGTATTGAACGATTTCCAATGTATGTGTGTTTATGAACTAACTATAAGGTGAGGTGAGGTGAAATTGGGTTTTACGTCGTGCTTGAGAATAGTTCGCTCATATGACGACGTGCATGCGTGTGTATGTGTATGTGCGGCTGCTTGTACTAGCCCAGACTGAAGCTGGTTTTATAGTGCTTGCCCACTGAGGTACCATGCTGCAGTGAAGCATGAATACCCCACTCAGACACATTATACTGACTCCAAGCCGACCAGTCCTTATTATACCCATTAATGCCGAGCGCCAGGCTGGGATCAACAAGAACCATATTTTAACGTCTTTTGGTATGACGTGGTCGGGGATCGAACCCGCGACCTTCCGCTCTCCGGGCGGACGCTCTAACCACTACACCACGGAGGCGGTCAGCTAACTATAAAATAGTGCTGATAACAAGTGTTCGCGAATACTTCCTCAGCAGTGACACTCGTCATTAACACATGCAGATTCGAAACAATTCTTCAACTGCAAAAGATACTGCACAAATGAAAATAGTCACAGCATTTTTTTCGCTGGAACTGTGTCAAAGTTAAACTTTATTTTTCTTCTGAGGCCTAAACTTTATAACCGTGCTCGAGAAACAATCGAGCATGGGTCGCATGACGCTCTATTTAATTTTCTTAGAAAGAACATTGACTTGTATCAGAATCTTGTGTTTAGATGCATGATTATGTTTTAACCAGCGTTTAAAATTCCTGCCTGCCCGACCGTCCGGAACGGTGTGTTTACATCTCGGACGGTCAAATTTCAAAAGTTGCCTGTCCGGTGGTCTGGTAGATATTTTTACCCCTAAGAGTAAATATTTCATAATATCTGACAGGTTTTCTTGTCGTCAGTTTGAGGTGTTTAAGGTATGATGATAATTATGTTAAACTACTTACGATTGGACAGTTCATGTTACGATAACCAATCACAATCATGTACTTTCAGTTTACCTAAACTCGGTGCATTGCCTGTTAGTGCTATGTAGTTCATTGCGATTCCTACAAACAGTGAATGGAGCTTGCGCGAGTTGGAAATGGCAGTCACAGTTTTTAATTGTTGAAATCCGGACAGTCAAGTTTGTATCCGGACTGGTAATTTTTTTAAGTTACCAGTCCGGCTGTCTGGCTTGGAATTTTGGGAGTTTTAAACACTGTTTTAACAGATTCAGCTGTAAGTACATGCAGACAGGATGACTTGTCAACATGTGAATAAGTGTTCATGGTACATGGAAGCATGTACTGAGTTGATGAACAATCAAAGAACAGCTACCATGTAACGTGTGTATGCTAACATTACAGTAACTCACGGGCACAAACTGACTCACCTACACCCTGTTCATATTTTTCTGAAACAACCATAGACACCTGCCTTTAATTTGTGTCTCCATATATTATGATGGTGTTCTGTTTCAGCTGTAGGCGAGCCGCCCCTGTGCATGGCTGCATCAGCGTTGTTTGCCGTGAAACACGCCATCGAGGCTGCCAGAAAGGAAATATCGAAGGACGAATTCTTCCCACTTGGTATAAATCATTACAGTTATTAACGCTATGCGAACTCTTTAAGCATTGATACTGTTTCGAATTTCAAATGATGGTGCCCTTTCTATAATCCAAAATTGAAAGTGTCCAGAAATAAGACCATCCATACATAGTATCTGTGGATTGAAGTCAGCAATCCTGCATCTAAAACATGTGAAGTAAAGTAGCCTAATGTTTGAAGCTTCTGCTCATCAAGCCGTAGGCCCTTGTGCAATACATTATGGGTACAAGGCGTGAAGCCAATTTCTGGTGTCTTGCTTGTTCACATTGCTGGAACATTGCAAAAAGCAGCGTAAAACGACTCAGCAACGTCAGCAACTAACTGTTACCGAGCAAGTGAATTAGTTTAGTTTTACGCCGCTTTTAGCAATATTCCAGCAATAGCACAGCGGGGTACACCAGAAATTGGCTTCACATTGTACCCATGTGGGGAATCGAACCCGGGTCTTCAGCGTGACGAGTGTTACCGATCAAGACTTCATCAAACTGTTATCTTTGCAGATGGTCCAGCCACGGTGGAGGCTATTCAGACAGCATGTCAAGTTGACAGCTCACAGTTTGTGTATGGGACGTAGTTACACATGTCCATCAGCAGACCACAGGGCCTTGTTCATCTGATGTAGGACGCGCTCAAAAGAAATGTGGAGCCAGGAGGACTATGTGAAGCTTCAGAGAAGGACTGTGGGAACGTACCTATGAGCTATATTTATCTGCCATCCACGATGAATGGCAGCCGACGTGTGGAGCTCATATGTGCCTACCATATGATACAGATCATCCACATCACCTAGTTTCATTTAATGTAAAAATACAGTTTGATATTTCAAGTGCTGAATTACATGAACACGTAACTCAATACTCAACATAGACATATCTGTGGAGTATCAAGGTGACATCTATGTACAGCAAACTTTTACTCATGTTGCATCCAAAGCTGTATTACACTTGGACATCCAATCGTTGTATATCATTAAGAATCCATTGTTATTAGCAAATCGGAGATTACACGCAATGATATATTTTGAAATATATTTTGAAGTGATACTATTTTCTTACATCCACTGAGTTATCATGTTCACGAGGTGACATACTTCAATACTTCCATGAAAATAGATATATGTCTTCACTCGTCCCCTGGTATAAACGTGTTGTATTCCAAAATGAGAAAATACATTGATTCATATATTTTCGATGTCTGCATTTGCTTATCAAACGTATATGTGTAATTTATATCATACACTGAAACATGATAAAGGACCCTTGATTCGTTCATATTACTGTAGTTAATGGACCTCAGATTTGTTCATATTATTGTAGCTAATGGGCCTAAGATTCCTTCATATTATTGTAGCTAATGGGCCTAAGATTCCTTCATATTATTGTAGCTAATGGGCCTAAGATCCCTTCATATTATTGTAGCTAATGGGCCTAAGATTCCTTCATATTATTGTAGCTAATGGACCTCCGATTAGTTCATATTATTGTAGCTAATGGACCTAAGATTAGTTCATATTATTGTAGCTAATGGGCCTAAGATTCGTTCATATTTCTGTAGCTAATGGACCTCCGATTAGTTCATATTATTGTAGCCTAAGATTCGTTCATATTATTGTAGCTAATGGGCCTAAGATTCCTTCATATTATTGTAGCTAATGGGCCTAAGATTCCTTCATATTATTGTAGCTAATGGGCCTAAGATCCCTTCATATTATTGTAGCTAATGGGCCTAAGATCCCTTCATATTATTGTAGCTAATGGGCCTAAGATTCGTTCATCATTGTAGCTAATGCTAAAGGCCTCCGATTAGATTCGTTCATATTATTGTAGCTAAGGACCTCCGATTCGTTCATATTACTGTAGCTAAAGGACCTCCGATTAGTTCATATCATTGTAGCTAATGGGCCTAAGATTCGTTCATATTACTGTAGCTAAAGGACCTCCGACTCGTTCATATTACTGTAGCAAAAGGACCTCCGATTCGTTCATATTACTGTAGCTAAAGGACCTCCGATTCGTTCATATTACTGTAGCTAAAGGACCTCCGATTCGTTCATATTACTGTAGCAAAAGGACCTCCGATTCGTTCATATTACTGTAGCTAATGAACCCCCGATTCGTTCATATTACTGTAGCTAATGGACCTCCGATTCGTTCATATTACTGTAGCTAATGGACCTCCGATTCGTTCATATTACTGTAGCTAATGGACCTCCGATTCGTTCATATTATTGTAGCTAATGGGCCTAAGATTCGTTCATATTACTGTAGCTAATGGACCTCCGATTCGTTCATATTACTGTAGCTAAGGACCTCCGATTAGTTCATATCATTGTAGCTAATGGGCCTAAGATCCCTTCATATTACTGTAGCTAAAGGACCTCCGACTCGTTCATATTACTGTAGCAAAAGGACCTCCGATTCGTTCATATTACTGTAGCTAAAGGACCTCCGATTCGTTCATATTACTGTAGCTAAAGGACCTCCGATTCGTTCATATTACTGTAGCAAAAGGACCTCCGATTCGATTCGTTCATATTACTGTAGCAAAAGGACCTCCGATTCGTTCATATTACTGTAGCTAATGGACCTCCGATTCGTTCATATTACTGTAGCTAATGGACCTCCGATTCGTTCATATTACTGTAGCTAATGAACCCCCGATTCGTTCATATTACTGTAGCTAATGGACCTCCGATTCGTTCATATTACTGTAGCTAATGGACCTCCGATTCGTTCATATTATTGTAGCTAATGGGCCTAAGATTCGTTCATATTACTGTAGCCAATGGACCTCCGATTCGTTCATATTACTGTAGCTAATGGGCCTAAGATTCGTTCATATTACTGTAGCCAATGAACCCCCGATTCGTTCATATTACTGTAGCTAATGGGCCTAAGATTCGTTCATATTACTGTAGCCAATGGACCTCCGATTCGCTCATATAACTGTAGCTAATGAACCCCCGATTCGTTCATATCACAAAATCAAAACAAAATTATGATAGTTTGTTAAGTAACGTTTTTATTTTTTAGACAAACGTTATGAAACTTTTTTCCAGAGTTGGTCTGATGTTTTCATTACATTCTGCTTTTAAGTAAATGTTTGATCATGAACCGATTTGGAGTTAGATTCTGAGTCATCGGTATCATTTTGACCCAAAAAGACAGTAGATATATGTTGATGTACATATATATGTTGGTGCAAAATGTCTTAATTTAATAATCATAATTCATTAAATGAATTAATAAAACTATAGTTTATACCTAATGTTGTCTTTTTTATCTGGGCACATACCATTATTATCAAGGGTACAGCTATATTAAGCCTGATGCAACCAAACATAAAATGTGTTGTTTCAAGCGGTCTGTCTTTTGGGAGATAGGTGAGGTGAGGTGAAATTGGGTTTAACGTCGTGCTTGAGAATATTTCGCTCATATGACGACGTGCATGCGTGTGTATGTGTATGTTCGGCTGCTTGTACTAGCCCAGACTTAAGCTGGTTTTATAGTGCTAGCAGTATATGTTATTCTGTTTCAGATTCCAGACGGATAGTCAAATGCTCATTGTAATAAAAGCCAGTGTAGGAACTGAATAAACCACTCTCTCATACGTACTGTATAAGATCAATTTAACAAGGAATTCATTAATAGCCCCGTATTTTGCGTACATAGTGCAAAATGGGTTTTTATTTTTAAGCAAATGTCTGGGAAAATGTTCTGAGTAGACTTTTCATTATGTCAAAACCAAATTGAAAGCATCCATTGATATAATGCCCTTTTCCCCCGTTTAACGCCAAATGTGTTACTCCTGTTGTTACTTCTCATGATGGAGTCATCAACAGTACAAGGTACCGATAGGTTGGCATTTAACTTCCATGTTCAACAGTAGGTATGTAGAATATTAAGTTGCGCTTGTAACCCACTTACTGGATCACACATAAAAGTAACATCATCAGAAGAAACAGTTGATGTAAATCAGGGAGTAATTGTACTCCTCTACAACAAATATCAAAATCATCGGCAGCCAACTCATTGATGAAGTAGTAAATAGAATGAGGCTTAATACACATCCCTGTTTTAGTCCAATAGGACAACCAAAAACGCAGTACGCTAGTATGTCTGACAGTGTCTGAACCACATTATTGCCCCAGCTGCTCAGCCCTCCCTGCAATGTTAAAAAATGTACACCTATTAGACTAGTATATTTTAGTCTCTTTCATCTTATAATCCCCTATTTATGGTATAGTATGACCAGAATTTTAGGAATATGTTTAATTGGATTTCTAGTATAAACAACCTTGACGGCTATCAAGCGCTTGGTTCATTCAAGAGAGACAACTCCGTTAATCCTTTTTCATTAGTTTGTGAAGAGTTATCACCCTTTGTTTACTTGCTAGCAGACGACATTTTCAGTGATCCTCAGTTTGGATGATTAAGAGAAGAGGAAGTTGATTTTAGAGTATTATAACAAGGACATCAGATCAGCTAAAGAGTTTTCAAGTAGAACAGGCATTACTTTGTCCACTGTTTATCGTGTATTGAAAAATATTGCAAATGGATATGGCATTGAGCACCAGGGAGGCGCAGGTAGGCCCAGAAAATTGACTGTCGGTGACAGGAGGCGGCTTGGTGTTCTTGTTTCTAAAAACAAACGGAGGAGTTTAGAAAACTTCAAGCTGATACGATTGATGGAGGGATTGTGGCTGTCTGTAAGGAGACAATTAGAACTGAGCTGCATGCAATGGGTGGGCAGAAAAGTCGAGGATTTCTATCACCGATCATGAAACCTGAACAAAAGGAGCGAAGGTTGAACTGGTGCTTACAGCATAGAAATTTTAAGTGGGACAATGTGATTTTCTCAGATGAAAGTTCTGTGTGGCTGTTTCCTAATACACTGAAATTCTGGACCAAACAAACTGAAAAAAACTTTGTATCAATGCCCAAAGTACAGTCCGAAATTTAACGTGTAGTGTGGTATATCTGTGTTAGGGGCAACGCCCCTCTGTGTATTTGAAGGGAATATGAACAGTGAGCTGTACACAGATATTTTCGAGGGAGATTTACTTCCATTTGCTGACGTGTTCTATGGAAATCTTTGGATTTTACAGCAGGACAACGACCCAAAACATCGTTCAAAGCATCCACAAGCCTGGTTTCGGACCCACAATATGACATTATTAGATTGGCCAAGCTATAGCCCTGACCTAAATCCAATAGAAAATGTGTTGGGACTTATGAAGGAAAGTGTCAAAAAGCAAAATCTGACAAATATTGCTAAAAAAAAGAAGAGGTGGTCCGATATTGGGGCATCAGTAGTATGCCCCGCCGCATTGAAGCCTGCATTGCTGCCCATGGTGACTTGACAAAATACCAACTGCTCACCTGTCTTTGAATCTGGAGTTATGTTCTGCTAATATTCCCATTTAATACGTGAGTAATGAGTGCAAAAAAATATAAAAAATTACATCTTAAAATTCTCAATAATTTCTGGTTGTATTGTATATACATGCTTAAAATTACTCTGGCTTCATGTACATTACTAGTATATATTTCCGGTATATCTGTTATTTAGCATTCACCTGACGAAGGGTAAGGAATAGCCCAGAAACGTTGTGTATACAATACAGAAGAAGTTGACATCCCTAACATTTTGTCTTATACTTGAATACCAACTTCTATATCCCTCTCAAGAACCTCAACAGTGAAAAGCATTTATGCATGTGTACTGACCTCCACTTTCCATGGATAGAGCGAGTTGCACGTGCAAATCGCTGACATTAAGTAGCAGGTGGATTTCCATATTGACAATTTGAATAAAGATTGTGCCATGTGTAGCAGAATATAGCGGACGTTAAAGAATGTAATAATGACATTTCAACGGCCTGATCTGTTTTTTCATACTGTTAAGACAGTTTGTAAAGCATTCAGTTGTATATATTTCAAAGAAATACGAAGCTTTTACAACTTTTGAGAAATAGTGTCACCAATAGCTTGACCCTTCATTAATGACGCTGAGTATATATTCAGAGACTAAGCCTTAGTCTAGATGTACGCTTGCTGTTACAGACGAATACATAAATCATATTCAACATTTTAACAGGTACAGGGATAAGAGATAAAATATTTATTGTGCAAACGTTCCACACAGAAACAGTAACAATATTCTAAAAACTACATAAACAAAATATATCATGAATCATATATATATATATATATATGATGAGTAGCAAAACATATAATAATAGCACATTGTTTAGAACACGTATAAGTTCATTTCAACACATAGTCTACCTCCTGTTTGTTCTTATCTTGTTATTATTTTCTTATCCCTGTAGTTATAAGGATCATGTAGAGGATTATGTCTTGTGCATTGTTATACTTTCACTCCAAGTGTGCAAGTACTCCCAAATATACTTTGTATTTATAATATGTATCATAAACTTACATTTATGTATGCATAAATGTTTCTTTGTGTTATGAAATAAATGGTTTCGTTTGTTATACTGTACCTCATAGTTGTGTTCTCTGTTTGGACTGCATGCGTTTGTATGGTTTTGTAGCTTTATGTACTTCTGTGGCCGTATCACGGCGGCGGAGCAATACCTGAATGGGTTCCATACGAAGTACTGACCCAATGTCATGCAGGAATAGAAGTGAGTGAATTTAGTTTTACGCCGCTACAAGCAATATTCCAGCAATTTCACGGTGGCCGAATGTTTCCAAAACAGAGTGATGAAAACATGACATGGAGATTCGTTACGCACGATGCATACTACATTAATCATGATACACGTTCCAGTGTACACGACGTCATGCAATAGTTCACTTACGATCAAACATACTGTAACACATCCCCCAAGTGGGCGTTGATGCGCTCTGTATTCTGTAATGTATATAGTACATATAGCAGGTTGCTCTACGTTACTACACGATACATAGTTAAAGCCGTGACCAGGGTGCATTTGTGAAAAAAGGTATAATGGGTCTAATATGTAAGTTAAAAAGGAATAAGTAATAATGACATTGTTTAATTATTTCGGCAAACGTTCCTGCTTGATTAGACCACACAGTATGACCGAAGTTTTGTTGGGAGTGACCCCATGTATAAACAGCACATTCTGGACTAAATAGAAATGATGTGAGGGATATCAAGGTTCTCAGATTACATAAAATGTGGTCATATACGTGTTATGAACCTTAAACAAATAATACATTTCCCGTTTTGCTGATAAAACGATGTATTTAACTAATAATTCTTAAAAACACATGATACATGTTTAACGAAGTGAAGAACATTGCAAAAGTTTTTCTTTCACGCAAGAAGTCGGCGCGAGATTTCTGTTGACAGCTGGTGAGATACGGGCGGGTCGAGTTACCTCCAGCCGCAGCCTGAGAATACAATGACGGAGACTTGCCGCCAGTCTACGTAACCCAACCCTGCCCAGGTTCTAGGTGACTGGCTCTTCACAGTGACTCCCGGCACACGGCACATGGGAGCCAACCCCTACTCACGAGAAACATGTTCTGCTCGTCTGCACAGCACTTGGCGCCGGTGAGAAGATAACCGCGTATGTAATGTTTACTTTTGTTGATTATAAATTGAAGCTTAACATGTATGTATTAAAACTCAACTCATTTACTATCCATACGCTATTTACTCGAAACACCCAGATTTCCCCAACATTGAAACTCGGATTTTCCCAAATTGTTGAATATTACTTAAATATCGATATATTGTACTATAATAATAACTGCACATTAATGACTCATATTATTTATCATTAACACCAAAACCGAAACAGCATGACTGTGCAAAGTAATTCGACCGACTCCGAAAATAGACGAGTCTATGTCAGCCGTGGTCACAAGCTTATCAGGTGACTGACACAACACCTGCCTATAGCATTACAGGTCAGGGTCACTGGACAGGCAGTCAAGACGACGCAGACATGTCGACGAAGTCGCAAGGGAATTTTGTACATTGCCCCGTTTGTAGAACAAGGTATGTGTTTACAACTTGCTTTCGTTTGACAACATGTACACTACAGGCAATGCATGTGTCGAAAACGGATAGTTTCGTTTCACAAATGCAAATTTTACGATATATATTGTAAGAACCATACTTTCAGTTTGTTACTGTAACGCCATCTTTTTGTTGTTGACAAAACGTTTGTAGTTCAATGTAGAGTTTAGCGACCTTCGCTGTGAACTTCCGCGTTCCCGCATAACACAACGGTTTTATCCTAAAACACAACGGGTCAAAACGACGAAGAATATTTTGTATAAAACGGCATCAAAGCGGTTTTCGACACCCGACCCTCGTATCGGCATGCGCAGGGATTAAACCGGCATTTTACCATTCGGCATATATTTCTTCAACAAACTTACTAACTTCCATCTTCATAAACGAAATCCACATCTATTTTTTCTAACATTGATAATATTGAAAATATTGATGCAAAAGGCTTGTGATATCATTTCTGATTGAAACAGAAAACATTTTCCTATCTATCTAACCATTCAACGAAAAATATTCTCTGGTTCCAGCATAATGATAACCAATGATTAACTGTACAAAATACATAGTTTAAAACATAAATAGCATAATACATTGTAAACATTATCGCTATACATTCATATAAATATGATTTATTATATTCATTTTGAACAATACTTTCCTACAATATTGCTATATATTTGTTGAGCATTTATAACTGTTTTTCTGCTTTAAAATCCCGATAGAATTTATGTGTCATATTGGAAACATGTTCCTCTTGATTACACTTCAAACAGTATCATACTATTCACCTAACAGCTGGTTATGATTCTGACGTGATGTGACAAATTCATCAACAACAACCATACATCTATATAATACATTTATTAAATTTGAAGCAGCATGATGTATTTTACATATGTCTCATTAAACCGGCATTTAATATTCCGACAACATTGATTTAGATCTGATACATTTATTTTTTTATTTGCATTTTCCAACCATGCAATCGTTTCACATTCTCCAACTCCTTAATTTCTGGTGTCTCCCGTCGTGCTATTGCTGGAATATTGCTAAAAGCGGCGTAAAACCATACTCACTCACTCATGCGGACACTGCAGTTGACTGGTTAACCTTGCATGAATTTATTCATCTACCGATGAAGGGGCGTCATGTTTGTGTACCAAACTCATGCCAACTCGAGCCCTTCTTATATCTTACACTGAGTATTGCCGTTTTATAAATAGACGAATAAATGTTGTAGCAGAAGCATATATTGTCATGTTATCTATTTTCTGATTACATATGCATTGAGATATTTAATCGGAATGTAATACTTTACCAAACATCCCGATAATCCGGAGGCTATTATTTATGTTTAGAAGTTTAAACGGTGTCCTCCCATTACGCAGACAGGCAGTTCGCAGACGCCTTTTCAACAACATTTACGGTTCAATGAACAGATTAGCTACTCCCTGTTACCTACACATTGACATTTGAATGGAATAGTCCAAATAAAAACACAAGGAAAAGCTGAAACTATATTAACATGTATTTACTTTGAAATATGGCCGAAAAGACATTAATTTGAATTTTGATTGCTGCAATATTTAAAAACAGTTGATTTTCACAAACATCTCGGTTTAACCTTCTCGTCTGACGGGAGTTGTCATAATTACATTGAAAACATTGTCAAGAAGACATGTAGAGTTATTGGAGCACTTAAGAAATTACTGAATAGAAAAGCATTTAAATGACGCATCATGTCAACACGGCCATGGATGTGAGAATATGTTTCATTACAGTCTTCCTTGAATGTTCATTGTATACTGTTCAAAGACATAAACTGTTACAATCGTTAGAAAGTATTGTTAAATTAAAACAAACAGTGACAAGCCTGTTTAATATTCGACAGTAACTGATAGTAAAACAATTTTGAGAAGCGAAGACAGTTTATCATTTGATCACAACAAAGTTCCATTTACACACAATCAAACATCTCAGTAACGAACCTCACCCTACTCTACTCCCTAGACAGTGGACTGTTCCATTATACCCGTAGGTGTTACCCTAATTAACCGTCTACTTCAGTGTCTGTCAATTGACTGTCTGTCAATTGGTTGTCTGTCAAATGGGAGATAACCGTTTAAACTGTTGAGATTTGGTTTTATTTGCTGTGAGGAACCTCGTCACTGTTGATAGAGCTGTTACAGTTATCATCTCGCATATTTGATTCTCTTTTATGTACACACAGAATGTTAGCGGCAGAGAATGTTTAGTTACATGGTGCCCAAACATATCCATCCATCCATCGGCTGTCGTGAGTCAATATCAAACGACCGGCGTAACGTCTGTCTCAGCGCTACGACCTACTTTAACGGCTCACCGCTCGCTCTCAACACATCACGTGCCGCGCTCATTGTTATCACGAGAAACATGTTCTGCTCGTCTGCACAGCACTTGGCGCCGGTGAGAAGATAACCGCGTATGTAATGTTTACTTTTATTGATTATAAATTGAAGCTTAACATGTATGTATTAAAACTCAACTCATTTACTATCCATACGCTATTTACTCGAAACACCCAGATTTCCCCAACATTGAAACTCGGATTTTCCCAAATTGTTGAATATTACTTAAATATCGATATATTGTACTACAATAATAACTGCACATTAATGACTCATATTATTTATCATTAACACCAAAACCGAAACAGCATGACTGTGCAAAGTAATTCGACCGACTCCGAAAATAGACGAGTCTATGTCAGCCGTGGTCACAAGCTTATCAGGTGACTGACACAACACCTGCCTATAGCATTACAGGTCAGGGTCACTGGACAGGCAGTCAAGACGACGCAGACATGTCGACGAAGTCGCAAGGGAATTTTGTACATTGCCCTGTTTGTAGAACAGGGATGTGTTTACAACTTGCTTTCGTTTGACAACATGTACACACCAGGCAATGCATGTGTCGAAAACGGATAGTTTCGTTTCACAAATGCAAATTTTACGATATATATTGTAAGAACCATACTTTCAGTTTGTTACTGTAACGCCATCTTTTTGTTGTTGACAAAACGTTTGTAGTTCAATGTAGAGTTTAGCGACCTTCGCTGTGAACTTCCGCGTTCCCGCATAACACAACGGTTTTATCCTAAAACACAACGGGTCAAAACGACGAAGAATATTTTGTATAAAACGGCATCAAAGCGGTTTTCGACACCCGACCCTCGTATCGGCATGCGCAGGGATTAAACCGGCATTTTACCATTCGGCATATATTTCTTCAACAAACTTACTAATTTCCATCTTCATAAACGAAATCCACATCTATTTTTTCTAACATTGATAATATTGAAAATATTGATGCAAAAGGCTTGTGATATCATTTCTGATTGAAACAGAAAACATTTTCCTATCTATCTAACCATTCAACGAAAAATATTCTCTGGTTCCAGCATAATGATAACCAATGATTAACTGTACAAAATACATAGTTTAAAACATAAATAGCATAATACATTGTAAACATTATCGCTATACATTCATATAAATATGATTTATTATATTCATTTTGAACAATACTTTCCTACAATATTGCTATATATTTGTTGAGCATTTATAACTGTTTTTCTGCTTTAAAATCCCGATAGAATTTATGTGTCATATTGGAAACATGTTCCTCTTGATTACACTTCAAACAGTATCATACTATTCACCTAACAGCTGGTTATGATTCTGACGTGATGTGACAAATTCATCAACAACAACCATACATCTATATAATACATTTATTAAATTTGAAGCAGCATGATGTATTTTACATATGTCTCATTAAACCGGCATTTAATATTCCGACAACATTGATTTAGATCTGATACATTTATTTTTTTATTTGCATTTTCCAACCATGCAATCGTTTCACATTCTCCAACTCCTTTATAGTACTTTTTATAGTACTTCACAGTACAATAAATCATCACAAGGCCAGACACTTCGGTGTACCCCACCCGACTGCTTGGCGATCGCTACGCTCGATTAAAACTTAATCCAAACATATTCATGGATTATTGGCAAATCGATCACTACTCATGACACGTACCAATTATTTATTGTTATTTCTGCAAGTCGATTGAAAGCCGATTTTGACCCTCGACTAAACGATCTTGACACAAATGGATGAGGTTGGTCCGCACATAACGGGGATGTGGTCGAAGCATGTCCTCTGATTGGTCAACGCCTGTAAATCTGCACATTCTTTAGAAATTCGCGGGAATTGTGACTTTCACCGACTGCATGACTTGGAAATGTAAGAATTCTTTTTTCTAGCAATGGCTTCGCGAAAGAAAGCATAAGCTGTAAATGTATCTTTAACAAACCGCGACCAATCAGAGTGCTTGCTTCGACCATTAAACAATATTAATGTAGACTCAGGAATTCGAACCCAAGACGATCATAGGATTCTGTCATGCTAAAGGGAGGTAACTTCACATAGAAAATGGCGAGGCGCTAAACCATAAGGCCATTCGTTGCCCACGAAAGGGAAATACACAGAAAGATTACAATATAACATACATTTCCGTGTTTACATTTATTTAAAACATCACAAAAATAGTATAACGATATAATATTTTCGCCAAACCAAGATCCGTATTCCTTTTACCGAATGGCGTTGCAGTTATAATTATACCTGACACAATTACTAAGCTTTAAATCAAGAGGTAAGTCGTCAGGTGATACGACATCGTATCATGTTAGGATGTTATAAGCCGATTATCTTCGGCACAGGTATCAGGTGTCAGGAAAATTGTATCATTTAATTTTCCTCAAATTTACAATGCGGAAACACAAGCGTATTAATCTCTTTATCATATAATTTCAATAAAGTGATAAATGATTCAGCTATATTTTAGTCAAAGAAGAGCGATGGGGTAGCCTGGTGGTTAAATCGATCGCTCGTTACTCCAATGGATTCGATACCCTACATGGGCACAATGTGTGAAGCCTATCTCTGCTGTTTCCCCGCCGTGATATTGCTGGAATATTGCTAACAGCGGCCCAAAACTAAACTCACTTTAGTGAAAGATTTATTTATAACAGTGTAAGGTAACAGTGTCGTTGTGGACCACTTTATGTAAATTTTATATGAAGCGGTGGGGGTAGCCTACTGGTAAAAGCGTTCGATCGTCACGCCGAAGACCAGGGTTCGATTCCCAGCATGGGTACCAGGCCCGAATCTGGGCCCTTATTCTCGAAACGTTCGTAGCCCTAAGAATTCGTAACTTTGATCGTAGCCAACGTGTTAAGAATGGGCTTAAGAAGTTCGTAGGGCTACGAACGTTTCGAGAATAGCTAGCCTGGTGACCAACTGTGTTATTATTGTAATATTGCTAAAGGCGTTAAACTCACTATTTCATATCGCGTATCCACCTCATATGCTGGGAGATCCGGGTTAGAATCGGTTTTCAGCAACCCATCCTTGTCGTAAGAGACGACTTACAGGATCGGGTGGTCGGGCTCGCTGACTTGGTTGACACGTGTCATCGTATCCCAATTGCGCAGAACGATGCTCATGCTCATGTCTGGTCCAAACTCGATTACTTACAGACCGCCGCCATAGAACTGGAATATTCCTGAGGATGGCATTAAACTAACCTCACTGACTCCAGATACTCCAACCATTCGTTCATTCAATATGTCAAATAATGTTTTTAATTTATATTCAGTACCGTCTACATTTTAAGTTTACTGTGTGATTGCTTTTTGTTTTGTTTTTTAAATAGTATTTTTTTTCGAAACCACTGTTTATTTTAACGTCCCTGTCTTGTATTTCCAGCCACGTTCCCACCAACGGAGCACTGAAGAATGGCGTCTATGCTTCTACCTGTGAAAACTGTGGCCACTTCTTCAAGTTCAAGGCCACAGGTCCTCTCAAGTCTTCTGTCACGTTAACCATCAACGGGACTTCCTTCACAGGTACAAACACAGCTAAGACTATAATAGTTGAGACATGCCTGAATCAGGAAGTTTTAGTCCAAATGAGTTTTGCTTCAGTGACTCCATCAGTGCTGACTGCCTGACACTAGAAGTGCTTGCTGTAAGCAATTGAAAAGCTATTGAAAGAATAAGGGTATCCATGTTCATGTTACTGTGTACATATATTTGGTAAAAACATATTCGAAAGTTTCTTTTCTGATTCCAGTTGGCAACGAATATGCCGCAGCCCTGTCCCTGAATGAGTTCATGAGGTCCCAGGGTGTGTCCTATGGCACCAAGGTGATGTGTATGGAGGGAGGGTGTGGCGTGTGCCTCGTCACTACCACACTGTATGATCCCATCACAAAGGCCGTGCAGACCTACACAGTCAACTCGGTAGGAACTGAATGCGTTGCTGGAACACTGTTCATCATTGCATTTAGATAAGACGAGACTCATGAAGACCCGGGTTAGAATTGCTCTTCAGTAACCCATGCCTGTCGTAAGAAGGCGACTAACGGGATCGGGTCGTCAGGCTCGCTGACTTGGTTGACACATGTCATCGTATTCCAATTTCAAAGATGTATACTCATGCTGTTGATCTCTGGACTGTCTGGTTCAGACTCGAATATTTACAGACCGCCGTCATATAGCTGGAATATTGCTGAGTGCGGCCTTAAACCACAACCAAAAGATAAGATGAAACTATGTTGCATGCAAACGAGAGGCCCACGATATTTGAATGTCCTTGTAATATTATTAGAGGGGTCTGTTAACTGTTACGTTAACGTGTCTGGGGGCAATGCCTTTCAACCATTCATCCTTCAGTGTCTAAACATATCTGATTTCCTTTAGTGTCTGGTACCTCTGTACACGTGTGACGGCATGCAAGTGACAACCATCGAAGGTCTGGGCAACCCCAGGGATGGCCTACACCCGATACAAGACCGTCTGGCACAGTACAATGGCTCTCAGTGTGGCTTCTGTAGCCCCGCCCAGGTCATGAATATGTATGGGTAAGATATTCAGGCTATATACTCCAGCCATAGCTTATGCATGATTATAGTTCAGTCGCAAACTTGTTTTGTCAAGAGCATTCTTCATACATATGACGTGATGTCTAGACTCGATTATTTACAGATCGCCACCATAAAACTGGAATATTGCTAATAGCAGCGTTAAAGAACAAACAAACAAATGTATGCAGAATTTATAATACATGTATACAGATATATTACAACACAATTGTTCCTGTGGTTTAGGGTGGACCGATTCGTTGCACAGAGTTGCGTCCCTTAGTTTAGACACGGTCTCGGGAGGAACACGTATTGCGTGTTCTGTTAAAGGTCACATGCAACCAAAAAATCAAACATAATTAAAACACAATTATCACTTCTTCATGACATATAATATGCATTGCTGATTATGAAAACACAAATAAACAAAATTATAAGCGTATAATCGCAAATCAAAAGTGCAATATTTTGTACTTGGGTTTACCTCCCTCGAAACAAAGCAGGCGGGATACCGAACCCAGTCAGAGCGGGTGGGTGTGCACTCAAGCGTAACGGCTGGTTCATTAGCAGATGCTGCCTTCACGGCTTATTGTGTGTATATATATAGAGATGTTGGGTTTTGTAATTACATGACCAGTTTTTGTGTATAACATTTTGCAATCAACAGACATCATAACATGTCATGTGTTCAAGTATCACACCTGCCTGTCTGTGTAATTACATTATGTGACAGAGACCGAACTCGGGCCATAAATCAATGCGTTTTGTTTATGGTGTATAGCCTGATTGGTGTTAAGTTCAAATTGCATGTGGTCAGTGATCGCAGTTGTGTACTGAATATTGTCATTAGCAGACAGGCAGGCAGACACACAGGTGTCAATAAAACAAGACATTGAGTTTTGTCTGTGACAACGACATATCTATATCACAGTTAAACATTCTGTCAACGCTAAATAATGACATTGCTTTTAAGTATCGAAGTGAGAAAGTGACTCGGTAAGAAGAACGTGTGGTGAAATAGACAAATGAAATTATATAAACAGTTTATTTACTGTCATAACACATAAAAAGCTCGCGCCTGTGAGATATCAACAAAACATTATGAAAATAGCTCACACCAAAGCCTTCACCGAGTTTTCACCAGACAGCCCGCTCCAAGTTGCGCGAACCTATTTCACTGCGCACATGCTATGAGCGCAGCCCAGCTGTTGAAACCCGTTTTCCCCAGAAAAGTCTGGGGAAATTTAGTGAAACGTTTGAACTCCGATTTCGCGCGTTTTTTTTCATCGCGTTATTTTTTAACTTTATAAGTTGAATTTGCATTTTTGATGATTTGTTTCGGTAAGTCCATACCGAAAGGTATCAGAATCTGCAAAGTTGTGTTTTACGTTGCATGTGACCTTTAAACTGTTTCTGATATCAGTCTCGTTAATCCAGATATAACTCACTGCTAAAACGCATAACTAGATATTGCATTATCACTAAATCATTACACTCGACATTAAATCCTCACACTTTTCTCTTTCGCCAGTCTTCTGAAGAGGACACCCAAACCCACCATGCAGCAGGTCGAGAATGCTTACGATACTTCCATCTGCCGGTGTACAGGTCAGTTATAAAAAAAGCATGTTTGGGTACAGCAGTACTTATTATGAATGCCACAGTCAAGAACGTATTGAGTGCTATCTGTACGGCAGTACGTGCTGCCACTTACGTACGCGCGAACACCTGGTGTCATCACTAATTTCCCTTGAACCGTCCATATACTCTTCTCTGTTATTTTGTCTTGCACGCCCAATGGATATGTTTTGTGGGATAATCGAGACTGGTTATTTGCTGACGTTGACGTTGACGTTTAATATTCCTGTGTAGTTACGGATACATCATGATAGAACTTGAGATGCAGAAGTATTGAAAATTAGACAGAATAAACAACTCAACCGCTCTACGTCTTCAAGTTTCTGTTCTCGAACTATTGTTTGCAGCAAAGTAAGCAGGACCCTGTTTCACAAAGCCATCGTAAGTCTATGTTACAGTATAGGAGGTACGACAGTCGTAGCGCTAATATAGCTTTGTGAAACAAGGCCCTGGCTTCGAACGTAAGTGATTTAATTTATGTCTTATGTCATTGAAAATATCCATACTAAGGTTTCAGACAGTGTTTCCCGAAATGATGTACAACCATAAACATTTCTGTATTAGGGTACCGACCAATTCTGGATGCAATGAAGTCTTTCGCTGCTGATGCTGCACCAAACCTTCTTGGAGGTGCCATAGACATCGAGGTAAGGTATTGTTCCATATTTGTCGTTCTGCGAATCCAAACACTTTATCTCATACAGATAAGGAACCGTCCTTGGACGAATGGAATAATGACTGTCACTAACCTTACTGGTCCTATAGTTGTGATTTGGCGTTTCATGTTTGGAAATTATTTCCTAAAGTACAAGGAGAGTTGTTTCTTCTAGGAACTGGACAAGAAGATATGTAGCAAGACCGGGAAGACCTGCACAGGACGCTGTTCATCTGAGAGACAGACTGACCCGGAGCAGGTGCCCCTCAACATTGTGCTGCAGGGGTCACAGTGGTACAAACCCACCACCAGGCAGCAGCTCTACGCCCTCCTCGGCCAACACCAGGGAGACAACTACAGACTTGTGTTCGGGAATTCTGGATATGGTAATAGAATCTACACCCGGTAGACATTATCGGATGAAAAACCCATACAGACATACATGTATCTTACAGCTCGACATGTCGCCATGTGTTCTGATGTGTTTGATCTATAGTCTTCGCAATCATCAATGTGCGGGATATTTTTTATTTTAGTTTTGAACACCTGGGCAGAATGTAAAAAAATGCACTTATAAAAAATATTTAGTCTAAATCGTGAAATTACATCTGATTAAATGCTTCTAGATGTGTAGTTGTCAGTAAATCTTTCTTCTTGTATTTTGATAGAAAGATTTGAAAATGTTACTTAGCTAAACAAGTTTGGACCCGATCGCATAATTGATATATCGATACCTGTATCTATTTCCATCTGATCCGGATAAATATGATGTTGTAAATATTCAAATAGAGGGCATTTGTTGAGAAAATCAGGCCATTCGTTGTAGCCACATTCTTAATACTGAGGTCTCCTCTGCAGCTTTTAATTTAGCTTTATCGTATAACTACGTATTGTTAAAGACACATAGTTACATAGTTTTCAATTTTCCAGGTGTCTATAAGGAGATCGGTCCATGGATGTATGATGTCCTCATTGATCTGCGTGGAATCCAAGAGTTTTATGACATTTCCGTAAGTTTATCCAAATTGTCTTAAGCCAAATCGGCATAAAGCCTGGTGTCGAATTAAATTGTTTCTTGGGTGAAGACTTAAATATAGGTTCGGATATCCTCTTTCTCATATTTATCATATGAATACCTCCCATGTCCAAAGAATGTGTAAACAATCATGCAAAGGTGTTCACTGAAGTGCGGCACCTGGTGTCATTAATGTTTATAGTGCTCCATAAGCACTGAAGCATAAATGATCCATTCATATAATATTTACAACTATTTGTTCCTTTACGTCAAGCGTAGAAAAGATTTATTTTCATAATGGATAATGTATGGTTTTGTCTCATAAATATTTAGTTATACGACTCATGCTTACATTAATTTGTTGACCTGGTCCAGAAACATACAGCCACGAATACTGATGACTACAACGTTGTAACCAACATTTACCCACTCAAAATCTCCACGAAAGGATGTACACATTCATAAATAACTGTCATCACTGATTTTCATGTGATCCCTTCAACTAGTTCCAAACACCATTTTGACTTCTATACTCCCCATCAATAGTTTAGACTCACTAGTGTAAATGTAGCCACTAACTTAAGTCAAGTCTTCTAAACTAGATTTTGCAACATTTTCCATACTGTTTAAAGGTACTGTTTACACATGAACTGATTTGTAAAACGAATTCGTAACTTTGAAAAGATTATTGTTATGGGTTAAAAAACCCGATGAAACTGAGTGAAAATTGGCGATTTTTTAACAAAATGTTACACCACAACACTGCTGTTCACATGCACGATCTTTGCACATGCTTTTTAGCAATTTAATGCATGATCCTCGTGCAATTCATTTGCATAAAGTTGTCAGCTGGTTCCCCGAAGTTAGTGGAGAAATTCATCTTCGATGTAACCACACATATATGCATAACACAAAGTGAGTGCTTTAAGTGAGCCTAAACTTTTGATGGGTATACATATAATCGATATTTAATGAAGGTTGGGCTCTCTGGCGTTGACGTGTTAATTCTACAACATATTGACCTGCTGCCAAATTATGATAGTATGTGCCTTATTGTTTCTACTTTTATGGCTTCTTCGTTCACAGATTGACTCCTCCAAAGTGATGTTTGGACCTAGCATCACTCTGACCAACATGTTGGAAGTCTTTGAGAAAAACAGCACCAACCCTGCTCTGTCTTACTTCCGGGACTTCGCCAGCCATGTGGCTGTTATTGCTAACACCGGAGTTAGAAACGTGAGTAGGCTTTTGATATCAGTTAATATAATCTCTGATGTTTATTTATTCAATATGACTGACTGACTGACTAAGTTTAGTTTTACGCCGCTTTTAGCGATATTCCAGCAATATCACGGCGGGGGACACCAGAAATGGGCTTAACACATTGTGCCCATGTGGGGAATCGGCGTGACGAGCCAACGCTTTAACCACTAGGCTACCCCACCGCCCCTATTCAATATGAGAGACGGCGGGATAGCCTAGTGGTTAAAGCGTTCGTTCGTTCAAACCAAACTCACTTTACTCACTCATTTCGGACCGATGTTAGGGCTGGATGAAGATTAAGGAAGCAATAAAGGTCCTCACTCTCCTTGTGGCTAAACTACATTGACGCATCTCGATCAGATTTTACCTCAAAACATTTATTTCAAAGATATTAGGAAGTCCAGGCAATAACTCTAATTTTCTTTAGTCTATAGTGTTTTAAATAATCAAAATATTAGTGTACGAAAGTTGAACGTTTGTGTTTCAGTTGGGAAGCTGGGCCGGTAACCTGATGCTGAAGAACCTCCACACTGAGTTCCCGTCTGATGTCTTCACCATTTTTGAGTCAGTCGGAGCAACCTTGTCGATCGGTGAGATGGGAAAAGCTTCATCAAAGATATTATTTTGGGTGTTATCACCAAAATAAACTGCGATATATGATACTGCAAGTCGTTAATTAAATGCAACGATCTAGCTTACAATAAGAATCTGAAATATACAAGTTAAAAGAAATTAAGGATTACCCAATTCTTATAAATTTCTGAATTTTTCCGTTTCTGTCAGAAAATCACCCTTCTTTCATTTTAAGGTGAGTTGAGGTGAAATTGGGTTTAACGTCGTGCTTGAGAATATTTTGCTCATATGACAACGTGCATGCGTGTGTATGTGTATGTGTGGCTGCTTGTACTAGCCCAGACTTAAGCTGGTTTTATAGTGCTAGCCGACTGAGATACCATGCCGCAGTGAAGCATGAATACCCCACTCAGACACATTATACTGACTCCGAGCCGACCAGTCCTTGTTGTACCCATTATTGCGGAGCGCCAGGCAGGGACCAACAAGTACCATATTTTAACGGACGCTGTTTCATTTAAGATTAACACCTGTTGCAGGATCAAGTGATGGCACAGAAAACACCTACAGTCTCATGGACTTCCTGAACCTAGACATGAAGGGCAAGGTCATCCTGTCTGTCACACTCCCAGCATTCCCATCAGGAGACGTCTATGTCAAGACCTTCAAGATTACCCCAAGACACCAGGTACCTAAACCGACTATATACAATAAAAACACAACGTTCAAAGGGCGATGGGAAGCTTTTCAGTCTAGTGGTTAAAGCGCTCGCTCTTCACGCCGGGTTCGATTCCCCACATGGGTCCTATCGGTGATGCCCATTTCTGAAGTCCCCACCGATAATTTGCTGGAATGTTGCTTAACGTGGCGTAAAACTATATTTACTCACTTCGCGCGATCGAATTCAGGCATACAACTGAATCATCATTCGTATCCTACTGCGTTAATGTACATGGACAATGCAAAACGCCAGATCCGGAGAACTCAGTCGAGACTATTTTATTTTTTTTGTAATCGTTCTCTGGTTTTGCCGTTTCAAATATCCATCCAGTTTTCGTCTTGATCTAAGTACGCAATTTCTTCCAGAACGCCCACGCCTATGTGAACGCAGGCTTCAGGATGCAGCTGGACAGAAGTAACAACTTCCTGGTCAAGACAAAACCATCCCTGGTGTATGGCGGCATCAGTAAAACGCTGGTACGTTCAAATAAAAACTATCAAACCACATTTTGGATAACCATATTATCCATAGAAAAACCATTGTTAACAATAATGTGGATTTCTAGATAAACAAATATTTAACCTGTAGAAGTTATATGTCTTTCCAAGCACAGTCACTCAACATGGTAATATCGAGTCCACAATAAAATATTTATATTTGTTGGGAGTAATGTTTGACATACATGTAACTCATCATGTTAAGTATATGTGAAACTGGTATATGACCAATGGTATATGGTATATTTTGGCAGGTCCATGCCACCAACACAGAGACGTACCTTCAGGGCAAGCAATTGGGAGATCCAGCCGTACTCAACAGTAAGCGCCAAAAATGGTCTAGTTTTGGGATGATAAAGTGACTGAGTCGGCTTTAGAAAGTGACTTAGGTGGCTTTAACGCTGTGTACAATCACTTTCCAGTTAGTATCCCTGGGTATCAGCTATATCTGGGTGGAAAGCAGTATCACTTCATGTTTTCCTTCAATAATGAGTTAACTCCCTTTGGTATAACTTGAATAACGTTCTAAAGTGAATTTTACTCTACCTCAGTCAATATAGAACAAACTTTATGGATAACAACTTCTTTTTATTGGTGAGTGCGACGTTTCGATACAGATTCTTGTACCCTTGTCAAGCATAATGGAACATGTAGGACGTCGCACTCACCAATAAAAAGAAGTTGTTATCCATAAAGTTTGTTCTATATTGTACTTCCCAACTTCTAAAATGCCACTCAAAGAAGTCTACCTCAGTCACTTGTTATATCAGTAATCGTTACCCATAAAGTCTAGTTATAAGTTGATGTGATGTTTGCGATATTAACCAAAGTCCACAAGTTCGTGGTGGTGTTGACAAACCCGCAAACATAATTTTGACGAACTGGGATTGTAACCAAAAACACAGGTCTCTCTGTCTCCCGAGTGATGAGACACTTCAAATGCAATCCGCTGGGCTGTTCGGGTGCAGATAACACATCGATCATATGATTACAAAGATTCAAAAGCAGTACCTTGTTTTTGACATCAAAACCACATTTAGGATATGGCGTCATGATTTGATAGATACTAGCTGTCAGTGTCTTTGAGAAGCGTCGAGAATCCCCATTGATTTCCATTGATTACCTGAGACTCTAGGCGAGTGCTGATAGGAATAGTTTGAACATAAACACCCCTTTCTTAAGACATCTTTGATGAAGTACAAACAGTCCAATGTGTTAAGCATACATTTATAAACAGGAGGCCAAGGGTGGCCCAGTTGTCTTTGTACCTTGATTTCGCTGCTCAGAGTTGCGTCCCTTGAACGCTTCAGAAAACACATTCGCCACCACTCGCCATTTTCCGTAACCTTCAAGGAGATCGCTATTTGGCCTGTGCCGGAATAACACGAGTTGGTCACGAATGCAGAAATCACTGACTGCAGCTTAGATTTACAGTTTCGCCCTGATTACGTTCCTTTGTTTGCACCAAACATTGTGTTCATCAAAGTGGTAAGCGTGTGAAACCTTATGACTTTGAGTTGCCTTGCCAAATTAAACTAACACCCATCGATATAATTGGAATATTGTTCAAGGTGGCGTTGAATCTAACTGCCTCACTCATTCACTCACCTTTGATGTATGTATATTTTAAATTAGTTAATTCGTTGTCTATTTAGGTGCTATAACGACTCTGTCTGCGGAGCTGGTTCCCGACACCACCCCTGGCTTGTCCAGTACAACCTACAGGAAGAGCCTGGCCATATCTCTCTTCTATAAGGTTAGTAACTCGGCATACATAAAGGAAATATTGTACATTGTTACATTTTGAGACGTTTCTTTCATATATACAGATGACTGACTTTGCTCGCTTGTGTTTTGCATATGTGCCGTGTCGGCCCTGACGTGAAAGCATGACTTCAGCACTCTAAACGTAATGAGCCCTATTTACAAACTCATTTCAGTGCGTGCTCGGCATGTGTGGTGAGAAAGCAGCGGCAAGATTCCAGAGTGGAGGTACCAACTTGATACGGCCTGTGTCTTCAGGCACTCAGACATATGGCAGTCGTAAAGATGAATATCCCCTGACTAAGCCAATGACCAAGGTGGACGCGACCCTACAGGTAAAATCAGTTGATCAGTGATGAAATCTTCTCCTGCTGTACATTGTGCTTCTCTTGTTTCTTCTCCTGTTTCCCACACTTCTTCAGCTTCTTTTGTTTCGCCAGCTTCTGTTTCGTCTGCTTCAATTTGTTTTGTCTTCATCATATTTTCCTTCTGGTATTTTGAGGGTTTTCTTTTTGCCTCTGTTGTGTTTCATCTACTCCGGTTTCTTTTGCTTCAACGTGTGTTTCTTAACCTGTTTGTTGTTGTTGTTTTTTCTTCAGCAGCTTCTTTCGGCTTCAGTTTGTTTTGCTTCTTCTCTTGCTTCAGCTTCTGCCTCTTCGATCACACGTTTCTTCCTGGTTTTCTTGTTTGATGTTTCTTTTGCCTCTTTTGCTTCTTCTGTCGTTCCTCCTGCTTTATGTTCTGCTGTTTCGTCCGCTTCTTACCTTTTCTTCTTCTATGGGAAATGGTATTGTTCTAATTGATTCTGTTCATCTCTAATGCGGTTGACAAAGTCCAACAGTCAAACAGAAACGTAATGCATCAGATAATACCACAGGTAATCATGTATGTGTCAGTTCAGAAGCAGACAAAGAGTTATGTTTAAGTCCCATACCTTCACATGAGATGTACTTCTGATATGGACATACTACGTATATCAATAAAATATCAATAAAATATCGATACAATTGCCGTATACGGGACTCCAGTGCTCGCCCAACCATCCGCTTGGGCGAAAAGGGAGAGATTGACAGGTATGGGCACGTCACATGGTACGTTTGCGCTGGAAAGGGCAAGGGAGGTAACTCGTGGGTGAGTATTTATACGTCCGCTTCGGGAACTTCAAGGGATTCAAGTGTTCCACTACCATTCGAAAGGGAAAGGGAGATAAGCAAAAGATCATGAGTCAGGATAAGTATGAAATATCAATTTTACTTTAAAAAATACATTATCATTATTAAACAACATTTGTTTCAGACATCAGGCAGGGTGCAGTACGTCAATGATGTACCTCCTGTTCAAAACGAAGTCTTCGCATCCTTTGTCATCACCAGCGTCGGCAACGCTGACATCGACAGCGTCGACACTTCTGATGCCCTGGTAACCATAACTCTTGAAAAGATCACTTTAAGCCCGTAGGAATTATCACTGGAGAATCAGTTTAACAAAATATGCTCTTCGTATCATGAAGACCCGTGCAGATCCTGGTTAGAATTAATCATCAGCAACCCCTTGTCGTAAGACTAACGGGATCAGGTGGTCAGGACTTGGGACAGGCGTGGCATCTTAATCAGGGTCGTAGCTACTATTATGAAAACAAGCCCGGCCCTACACATGATTGTTGTTTAAAAGGTTGGGCAAACCCTCAATACTATCTAAATATAAAGCTTTGCAACCTGTCGGGATTATACAAAGAATTGGCTGCTACGCGCCTGTTAATTGCTCAGATCGATGCTCATGCACATATTGTCCACGTATTGTCCACGTATGCAAGGAGTTGTTCTGTATGTATAAATTGTATTTTATAGAAATATCCAGGAGCCCTGAAGTACATCTCTGCCTCTGACATACCTAAGGGAGGCAGCAACAGCTTCCGACAGCCAGGAGCTGGTGTGGAGGAGGTACTGACACGTTTATCATGTCACTGCAAAGTTCAAAAGGACTATCTATACGTACCGTGGCCCGCTATCAATGTTCATCACCATGGGTAGATTTGGTGGCTGTTAGATCTTAAATAGATACCTTCAGAAGTGGCGCTCGGATTTTTTAGCCGAATGGTATTATATTTCCAGTGTGGTTCCTGGTCATCAACATTTGCCTTTTTACATCTGGCTTGTTTTTCGAGGACTGGGGTGCGGATATGAACTATGATATAACCTTCTTTGTTTGGGTGGATCGAAGCAATTATGTGGGTAGGGGATTGCTTGCATCCGTTCTGTTTAGATTTTGCAAGGCACATCCTTTTACCATAATAAATGGTAAATAAAAGAACAAAGTCATGCATACTTCTGCATTCCTGGGTCCATTTGACCACAAGATGTATAATGATCTTCTAAGCTAAGGTACTACCATCCCACAGTGACCTTTGTGTCTCCTTCCAGATCTTTTGCAGTGGCCAGGTACTTTACAGCGGTCAGCCAGTTGGTATCATCGTTGCAGGTAGGTCGTTCAACTATTTGGGTTCTAGTCTGTCTGTCCTTCTCATTGTATTGTACACTTAACCTTCTACATGTTCAATTATTTCGATCTGAGAACCCATGAAGATCCGGGTTAGAATTAGTCTTCAGCTGCCCATGCCTACCGTAAGAGGCGACCAACGGGGTGGTCAAGCTGGCTCACTTAGTTGACACATCCCAATTGCGTAGATAGATGCTCATGCTGTTCATCACTAGATTGGACCCGTGAAGGTCCGGGTTAGAATGAATCTTCAGTAACCCATGCTTGTCGTAAGAGGCGACTAACGGATCGGGTGATCAGGCTCGCTGGTTTGGTTGACACATATCATCGGTTCCCAATTGTGCAGATCGATGCTCAGGCTGTTGATCACTGGATTGCCTTGTACAGACTCGATTATTTACAGACCGCTGACATAAAGCTGGAATGTTGCTGAGTGAGGCGTTAAACGACCAATAAACCAGACCGCCTCCGTGGCGTAGTGGTTAGAGCGTCCGCCCGGAGAGCGGAAGGTCGCGGGATCGATCCCCGACCTCGTCATACCAAAAGACGTTAAAATGTGGTACTTGTTGGTTCCTGCCTGGCGCTCGGCATTAATGGGTACAACAAGGTCTGGTCGGCTCGGAGTCAGTATAATGTGTCTGAGTGGGGTATTCATGCTTCACTGCGGCATGGTATCTCAGTGGGCTAGCACTATAAAACCGGCTTCATTCTGGGCTAGTACAAGCAGCCGAACATACACATACACATACACACGCATGCACGTCGTCATATGAGCGAATTATTCTCAAGCATGACGTTAAACCCAATTTCACCTCACCTCACCTCAACTCACCAATCGATCTGGAAAGTCAACTTAAGCCCAGCGGTTAGGCAATGAACATCAGTACTGTCAGCAATGGTGTTACTGCTAGCGCTTTGTGAAATATTACACATGCATTATGCCTAGTGATCAAGGCAGGACCGTAGTGGTTAAGGCAGGACCTATAACATGTTCTCCTTAATTAGGCTAGCAAAAATCAGTGTAAGGCAGGAACCTAGTGGTTTCAACCGACATTTGGCCTCCACTGTGGTTAAGGCAGGAGCCTAGTGGTTAAGGCAGGAACCTAGTGGTTAAAGGCAGGAACCTAGTGGTTAAGGTGGTTAAGGCAGGAACCTAGTGGTTAAGGCAGGAGCCTAGCGGTTAAGGCAGGAAAAAGCGCTTGAGGGAGGAGCCTAGTGGTTAAGGCAGGAACCTAGCGGTGGTTAAGGCAGGAACTAGTGGTTAAGGCATGAGCCTAGTGGTTAAGGCAGGAGCCTAGTGGTTAAGGCAGGAGCCTAGTGGTTAAGGCAGGAACCTCAGTGGTTAAGGAGCCTAGTGGTTAAGGCAGGAACCTAGCAGTGGTTAAGGCAGGAACCTAGTGGTTAAGGGGAGGAGCCTAGTGGTTAAGGCAGGAAGCCTAGTGGTTAAGGCAGCATCCTCTCAGTGGTTGAGGCAATTCCCACAATGTGGTTATGGCAGAAGCTAGTGGTTCTGGCAGTCCGCCGCTGTGATATGGCAGGAGCCTAGTGGTTAAGGGCAGGAGCCTAGTGGTTAAGGCAGGAACCAATGGTTAAGGCAGGAACCTAGCGGTTAAGGCAGGAACCTAGCGGTTAAGGCAGGAACCTAGTGGTTAAGGCAGGAGCCTAGTGGTTAAGGCAGGAGCCTAGTGGTTAAGGCAGGAGCCTAGTGGTTAAGGCAGGAGCCTAGTGGTTAAGGGAGGAACCTAGTGGTTAAGGCATGAGCCTAGTGGTTAAGGCATGAGCCTAGTGGTTAAGGCAGGAGCCTAGTGGTTACGGGAGGAACCTAGTGGTTAAGGCAGGAGCCTAGTGGTTAAGGCAGGAACCTAGCGGTTAAGGCAGGAGCCTAGTGGTTAAGGCAGGAACCTAGTGGTTAAGGCAGGAGCCTAATGGTTAAGGCAGTGGTTAAGGCAGGAACCCTAGTGGTTAAGGCAGGAACCCTAAGGCAGGAACCTAGTGGTTAAGGCAGGAGCCTAGTGGTTAAGGCAGGAGGAGCCCTAGTGGTTAAGGCAGGAACCTAGTGGTTAAGGCAGGAGCCTAGTGGTTAAGGCAGGAACCTAGTGGTTAAGGCAGGAGCCCTAGTGGTTAAGGCAGGAACCTAGTGGTTAAGGCAGAACCTAGTGGAAGGAGCCCAGTGGAGCAGGAGCCTGGTTAAGGCAGGAACCTAATGGTTAAGGCAGGAACCTAGTGGTTAAGGCAGGAGCCTAGTGGTTAAGGCAGGAACCTAGTGGTTAAGGCAGGAGCCTAGTGGTTAAAGAGAACCTAATGGGAGTGGTTAAGGCAGAGGCACCTAAGGGGAGGAGTGGTTAAGGCAGGAACCTAGTGGTTAAGGCAGGAACCTAGTGGTTAAGGCAGGAACCTAGAACCTAGGTTAAGGCAGGAACCTAGTGGTTAAGGCAGGAACCTAGTGGTTAAGGCAGGAGCCTAGTGGTTAAGGCAGGAGCCTAGTGGTTAAGGCAGGAACCTAGTGGTTAAGGCAGGAACCTAGTGGTTAAGGCAGGAGCCTAGTGGTTAAGGCAGGAGCCTAGTGGTTAAGGCAGGAAGCCTAGTGGTTAAGGCAGGAGCCTAGTGGTTAAGGCAGGAGGAGCCTAAAGTGGTTAAGGAGGCAGGAGCCTAGTGGTTAAGGCAGGAACCTAGTGGTTAAGGCAGGAGCCCAGTGGTTAAGGCAGGAACCTAGTGGTTAAGGCAGGAACCTAGTGGTTAAGGCAGGAGCCTAGTGGTTAAGGCAGGAGCCCCTAAGCCTGGTTAAGGCAGGAACCTAGTGGTTAAGGCAGGAGCCTAGTGGTTAAGGCAGGAACCTAGTGGTTAAGGCAGGAGCCTAGTGGTTAAGGGAGGAACCTAGTGGTTAAGGCAGGAGCCTAGTGGTTAAGGCAGGAAGCCTAGTGGTTAAGGCAGGAGCCTAGTGGTTAAGGCAGGAGCCTAGTGGTTAAGGCAGGAGCCTAGTGGTTAAGGCAGGAGCCTAGTGGTTAAGGCAGGAACCTAGTGGTTAAGGCAGGAGCCTAGTGGTTAAGGCAGGAACCTAGTGGTTAAGGCAGGAGCCTAGTGGTTAAGGCAGGAACCTAGTGGTTAAGGCAGGAGCCTAGTGGTTAAGGCAGGAACCTAGTGGTTAAGGCAGGAGCCTAGTGGTTAAGGCAGGAGCCTAGTGGTTAAGGCATGAGCCTGAGCCTAGTGGACTTTAAGTGAGTTAAGGCAGGAGCCTAGTGGTTAAGGGAGGAACCTAGTGGTTAAGGCATGAGCCTAGTGGTTAAGGCAGGAACCTAGTGGTTAAGGCAGGAACCTAGTGGTTAAGGCAGGAGCCTAGTGGTTAAGGCAGGAGCCTAGTGGTTAAGGCAGGAGCCTAGTGGTTAAGGCAGGAACCTAGTGGTTAAGGCAGGAACCTAGTGGTTAAGGCAGGAACCTAGTGGTTAAGGCAGGAGCCTAGTGGTTAAGGCAGGAGCCTAGTGGTTAAGGCAGGAACCTAGTGGTTAAGGCAGGAGCCTAGTGGTTAAGGCAGGAACCTAGTGGTTTAAGAGCAGGAACCTAGTGGTTAAGGCAGGAACCCAAGTGGTTAAGGCAGGAGCCAGTGGTTAAGGCAGGAACCTAGTGGTTAAGGCAGAGCTAGTGGTGGTTACGGCAGGAGCCTAGTGGTTAAGGCAGGAACCTAGTGGTTAAGGCAGGAGCCTTATGGTTAAGGCAGGAACCTAGTGGTTAAGGCAGGAGCCTTGTGGTTAAGGCATGAACCTAGTGGTTAAGGCAGGAGCCTAGTGGTTAAGGCTGGGGCCTAGTGGTTAAGGCATTCTCATCCCACTGATTCAATTCCCACATTGTGACAATGTGTGAAGCCCGTTTCTGGTGTCCGCCGCTGTGGCATGACTGGAATATTTACCCGTTAAACCAATACTGGAAAAGGATAAAGCTCTATCTCCATCAGAGTAACACATCTATCGTCGCAAAGAGACTTCCACAAAAGATACCCTTTGATGAAAATGCATCACATATGACATTACAAATTTCTTCGCCAAAATAGCTTACATTTTACATCCAAAACATCGGTTTTGATTGTTAACAAACCGAAAAGGCTGGAAGAATGATTGTTACACATATAAATCTCTCCATCCAATCTCAGAAGCTCAACATAAGACTCGCTGATGAAAGATAAAGATATCTGTGGTCCTGTGCAAAGAGCTTAGGTCACAAATCAGTTGAAGTTAAAAAAAAACATTGAGCGCGGCGAGGTCTTGGATGGGTGATTGTGCTAGGCTTGACTCGTGAGAGTTTTAGGACGTCAGTCCCGCCCTACAGAGAAGCACATGTGATACATGTGGTCTCACCTTAGGCAAGTGAGTTTGTTCAAAACTGCCTGTGTTCACCTAGCAGAAAATGGGTACCCGGTGGGATAAATAATGTAACTGTTAACCTTCTAGCGCCGCAGAGGCAGCTTGGGTTATACTGGGTAATAATAATCGGATTGTGATGTCAGCTTGCTAGCGCTATGAGCATTCACTTAGTGAATGGAGTTTAGCGCATTTTAAATGCGCATTATAAATAAATAAAATAATTTCTGCAAGCCTCAAATATTTGCAGCATATATCACCTCGTATCTGGTAAGGCACTTAGTCGAAATCATTGACATGGAAGGGTACAGATTTCATTCAAATCGTATCAATCAGGAATTGCAGCGGATGTGTCGTATTTCAGTGGACCAACTATCAGCTGACACAGCAGCCAGCATGGTGAAGGTTACCTACAAGAACGTCCAGCCCCCCATCATTACAATGGAAGATGCTATTCAGAAGAAGTCAGTATTTCCAAATGTTGCCCAGGAGTTCAAAGTTGGTGATGCTGCAGGTAAGTAATCAGGCACACGATTAACACATTATGATAATGATGAACTGTAGTTGCCTTGTATGTTCAAACTTCAATGATGGTTTTAATCTAATCAGAGACTCTGTGACGCTCCATAGCCTGAATTGTTTCTTGTTTGTAGCATCATTGATACAGTCCTGGCTAAGTTTAGGTCTTATTGCCATGGCCTATCTTCCTTTAAGGATTATCCATAAATGAACGGGTGATCAGTCGGTTATTTAAGCTGCATTTGTCTCCTACAATGATTTAATTCTTCCTTTTAGCCGCAATTGCTTCATCGGACAAACAGATTTCAGGCCGTATTAAGATGGGTCATCAGTACCATTTCCACATGGAAACGCAGGTCAGTCTTCGCCTTCATCTATAGCCACATATGAAGTCTGGTTTGAGAATGCAGCTTTCATCTATGGTCACCGTTTAGGCGTTGCACATATGGTATATGGTCTCCGGTTCAGCTGATTCACATTTGATATAGGGTCTCCGTTTTGGGGGATGCACGTTTTGATATATGGTCTCAAGCTTAGGGAATGCATATTTTCTTTTGGTGCCTGGTTTTGGGTTGCGGTTCAGCAGTGAGGTATTTCTGTTACCCTAGCACTAGTGCGTTCGAGTTTTTGTAGTGTTTGAAGATATATTCTATTTTTTTAAAATAGGTGAGCATCTGCTACCCAGCCGAAGACGGCACAGGCGTGAGTCTTCTGTCATCCACACAGTGGACGGATCTAGAACAGCTGATTGTAGCCAAAGCTCTCAACATCCCAGAAAGCAGGTACTTACAAAGTAGCCAGGTAGATCTTGACATTATCAGCCCCTAGGACCGGCGGCAATAAGTTACCAGCGCCTCAAAGGTTTTGCCAGTCCTAAGTACATGTGTCTGGTACACATTCTTTGTTTCGTAGCCATCCAAATCCGCTCAACCAAAGTTTCATATTTTTGTTTTCTTCACATTTAGACTTTTCTCCACACATCTTATCCTTTTCGCACTTGCTGATTCATCGATTTGCCTTTCGCTTTATTCCGTTTGTGTTGTTCTGTATTGCCCGAAAATGATTAAAACATTCTTCTGCTTCCTCACCTTAGCTTAAGATAACCTCAAAGCAAAGCGATCATGGTGACGTAAGTTTTGGTTCCAGGCTACGTGGCTAAAATAGTAGCCGCCGTTTTTTATTCAACAGGTCACAAGGAAACATCGTTAGCAGGTTGAATAGTCTTTTAAATGTGTTTGTTTTGAATGTCGGTTTAAGCACATGTTTTGGCAAGACATTTTTTCAGCTGCTCCCTGGGACTGACAGTCGTACAAAGTACCGGTCCATGGTTAATTTTACCATAAAAACTGGTATTGCCAATGAATGCGAAAACGGCACCGTTGTAGGTGTTATAACCTTTTGGTAGCTTTTTTCAAGATGTGATGTGTGAATTTGTCTGAGAAAGTACTAAAATTGTATGTCTTATTTTCTTGAAATGTGTAAACAGATTTGTAATTCTTTGTGTTTGCTAGTGTCAACGTGGAGGTCCGACGCCTGGGGGGATCGTACGGTGCCAAAATAACACGTGCTCATTTAACGGCTTGTGCTGCTGCTCTCGGCACCCACGTCATGAGAAGGTGAGGCAGAGTTTTTTTAAGTGTGGACCGCTTCCCTGAACTTGTGGATAGACCCGTAGATCGGTGGCTCGTAAGAGGCGACTAACGGGATCGGTCAGGGTCTCTGACTTGGTTGACACATGTCATTGTATCATGATATCAGTCACTGAATTGGCTGGTCCAGACTCGAATATTTACCGAATGTTTACAAACAGCCGTCATATGGTTGGTATAGTGCTGAGTGTGGCGTTAAGCAACAAGCAAACAAACTCCCGAACGTGATGTCTGAGAAAAACATTGAATACAGCATTAAAATATTTGATATTTTTCAGACCAGTTCGACTCAGTATGAACTTCCACACCAACATGAAGACTATCGGGAAACGTTTCCCTTATCTGGCGGATTACACAGTAAGAAGCATGTGTTTAACATATTCACTGGCATCACATTTGTTCCTATTGACTTTACTAAAGTACAACACTTAGCTTATGTACACATGACCATTCCATGCCAAATTTATTTTATTTCTTAGTTGTTTAAAATCTTGAAAAATGATGTGGTGTTCATTTTAGGCCCCAGTAAACCTTTCCCAAAGTTCGATGGTAGGTATATGGATGACACATCAGAGACGAACATGATGACCGATGCACTGACCTTATTTGCACGTGTTTTCTTTAGTGAATATTTGACTAGCCGTAGCATGTGTTTGTGACGGCTGCCATCTGTGAAGCAGGAGAGGCCCAAATTTCTGGGTATAGTGTATCATTGGCACATTCTAAGGATATAGTCGGATATAGGATATAGTCGGCGAAGCTGTCAATGATGTCGAAAGTGTTTTGACGATTTTTATTTCAAATGCAAGGATTGGGACAATATGATCGCAAAGTGTTGGAATCGGGCAACACTTTCTCGCAGTCTGTTATTCAGTATGCGACATTAACGGCAATACTATAAACACAAAAGAAAGTATACATTTGAAAATTGGATTTGTCCCATAAATGACAAACGTTACTCGGCTGAAAGCAGTTGTCAAAGTCAAAACACAGATGATACTCGTATCAAATTCAACACCATCATATCAAATAACAATTTCTTGTTCTATTTTAGCCACCGTCAAACATTGGCGTATACTTTCTTTTGCCTGTCAGTTTAGATACAGAATATATAAGCTCCTTTCCCCGAAAACCCACTGTAGTATATCTTCCAAATACTTTAAAATGAGGAGAGCGGAAGGTCGCGGGTTCGATCCCCGACCGCGTCATACCCAAAAAAGTTAAAATATGGTTCTTGTTGGTCCCTGCCTGGCGCTCGGCATTAATGGGTACAACAAGGACTGGTCGGCTCGGAGTCAGTATAATGTGTCTGATTTGGGTATTCATGCTTCACTGCGGCATGGTATCTCAGTGGGCTAGCACTATAAAACCAGCTTCAGTCTGGGCTAGTACAAGCAGCCGCACATACACATACACACGCATTCACGTCGTCATATGAGCGAAGTATTCTCAAGTACGACGTTAAACCCAATTTCACCTCACCTCACCTTAAAATGAAGCGATGGTTATGGATCTATGGTCTTTATTTATGGTCTTCAAAATGTCAGCCATGTACAATGGAGCTTTACCAATGTTCAGATTATTGATTCCTTATACGTGTAGGTGGGCGTGACAAATGCTGGTAAACTGACAGGAATCCAATACACCGTGAATGCTGACTGCGGTATGTCCCCAAATGACTGTTCGCTGGCTTCTTTCCCACAATGGATGGACAATGGTAAGAGTCAAGTTTATAACCTACGAGGGCGAAAATATCGGGGTTCATATTTTTCATACGATGCCCTAGGGCAAAATATCATTTTGTCATGGTGACGTGACGTCATGAACATTGCTGTGACGTCACGTATCGTCTATGACGTTGCGTTCTACATGCAGCGACGGCGGGTAGCCAGCCTGTGTTTTGAAAGTAGATTTGGGTTTATTTTCCTCAATTTGACGACTTCGATAATAATAGACTATTATGTTCGTGCCCATATCATACTATGTTTACGACACTCGTGCCTAAATATCGGTATATCCCTCGCCCTCGCTCGGGAAATACAAACATTTAGGCACTCGTGTCGTAAATATAGTATGGCATGGGCATCCATATACAGTACAACCAGAAATTACTGAGAATTTAACCCCCTGGATGCCGAGTTTTTTTCAGGCGCACATTTTCATACGCTTTGAAAAGTGAACGTTGTGCTGACTTGTTAACCCCCAATTGTTGATGTTACAAAATACTATGCAGGTCACGTGAACATATGGTTACATTCATGGTAACATTTATGGCTACGCACAGTGAAAACATGTTTGAGATAAATTGCTACAGACTTAACAATCATAATATTCTTGGAATTTAACAAATTTGACAGTGAATGTTTGTCTAATACAGTGTTTGAAAGAAAAGGCATATACCTTTTTCGCAAACTTAGATACTTGGTGCATAAAAACATGACATAGAAGTCATCCTTCTATAGCACGTGTAGTACAATTAGAACAGATCAAATCAGTTTTACATTCTGTAGAAATACCATGTTTCCGTGCCCTATTTACACAGAAGTCATGAAAACCAATTCTTAATTTACATAAAGCTCTTATCAAAAATTTATCATGAAAATTTAAGATATACAATTCTGATTCAACGACTTATGACAGGCATAATCCCGTTAGTCGCCTCTAGCGACAGTCAAGGGTTGCTGGAGACCAATTCTTACTCGGATCTCGGATATGACAGTGGCCTTGGGACCAATTTCAGGAACCTTAGCATGTCACCAATTAACCATGTGTAGATAGGCCTTTATATGCTTTTGTATTCTGTAATATTCTTTATGTGCTCTTACCAAGCTCACCACAATCGATGCGTATTTTCATACCCCTGTATTGCATGAACATAATTTGTCAATACTTTTCAAAAACGTCAATCCCTTTCTATCTATAACAGTTTTAAGCCATATACAATGTGATGGTTAATGATGGCAATGCTTTCTCTTGGCAGCCTACTACTGTCCCACCTGGGATTTCAAACCAGTCGCCCTTAAGACGAATCTCCCAACGAACACAGCTTGTCGAGGACCAGGTATTACCACAAACTTTAGTTTACATTTTATGTTTTATCCTTATCAGATCCGTTGCATAGCAACGGTATGCAAACGGTTCGAACAGCTTATTACACATGTTCACGTGTTCGAACGTAGAGTATGGTTGGGTCAAATGCATGTGCCTTTGTATAGTCTAAGTACATTTAAATTCGTACAGCATTTGGTCATGCAACCTCAACAACAAACAAGAACAACAACCAACATCAACAAACAAACAATCCAACATCAACAAAACAAGAACAACAATCAACAAACAAGAACAACCAACCAACCAACAAACAAGAACAACAACCAACATCAACAAACAAGAACAACAACATCAACAAACAAAAACAACAACAATCAACAAACAACATCAACAAACAACATCAACAACCAACATCAACAAAGAACAACAATCAACAACAACAACCAAACAACAAGAACAACAAACAACAACAACCAACATCAACAAACAAGAACAACAACCTACATCAACAAACAAGAACAACAATCAGCGCCAAGCAATACGGCACTCGCTGAAAGAACAATGACAGGTTCCTTCTGTTGGATATCAATTATTATAAATATCAGATTTTTTGTGTGGAAATAATCGTAACTTTTATTCCTTAGGGTCCACTCCTTCCATCTTCATCATGGAGGCGATGATGGATCACGTCGCCAAAGTCCTGAACATGGATCCTCTGGAGTTCAGGAAGATAAACCTGTTCACCAAGGGTCAAGTGAGTAGATACCCAGCATGCTATGTAAATGTATATATGTATTCGCTTATCAAACGAAAAAAAGTAGAAAAAACATAATTTTATGGAAATGGCAGATCATCATCACAAGCCTTGAGATTTTGTTTGCCTTTTGTTGAAACTGAGATGGCATATCTAAGAGAAAGATTAAGAAATTCAGACGTTAAGTAATGCATAAAAGACGTGTCTCTTTGTGAGAAGAAACTCACTTTAGATAAAGGGGGATAAAATTTGCGTATACTTTGTTCAGGGCGACAGATTCTGTAACACTTAATAGGAAAGTCTCGATTTGTGTTTCGTTAGTATATTCATCAAACTTTCAGAAATGTCAATGAGGTGAGGTGAGGTGAAATTAGGTTTAACGTCGTACTTGAGAATATTTGGCTCATATGACGACGTGCATGCGTGTGTTTGTGTATGTGCGGCTGCTTGTACTAGCCCAGACTGAAGCTGGTTTTATAGTGCTAGCCCACTGAGATATCATGCCGCAGTTAAGCATGAATACTCCACTCAGACACATTATACTGACTCCGAGCCGACCAGTCCTTGTTGTACCCATTAATGCCGAGCGCCAGGCAGGGACCAACAAGTACCATATTTTAACGTCTTTTGTTATGACGCGGTCGGGGATGAACCCGCGACCTTCCGCTCTCCGGGCGAACCGTCTAACCACTACACCACAGAGGCGGTCAGTTGTCAAATGTGATTAACGAATGCGTCCATATATTTCCTCCAGGTTATACTTTCTTCACTCTGAAATCAGAATTGAATGTCGGCGAACATGATCAACATATATTTAATTTATTTCTCAAACAAAAACGGAACGATAAACTTTCAAAGAGATTCACGATCTTCGAAAACCTGTTTTCGTCTGTTAAACTTTAATTATTTTTTGTCTAAATCACGAAATACGTAAAAACAAATTATTTTAATGGCTTTGAGAAACATTTTCAGAAAAGTGCAAATGGAATGGTTTTGCAATATTGCAACATCACAGACATGGTGGCTCAGCTAGAGACGTCGGCTGATGTCCAGAACAGAAAACAACAGGTCACAGCTTTCAACCAGGTACAGTAACTTCCATACCTGCTGTAAATGTTTGACACTGGCATCAGGAGAACACTTATACCAATACCTGTTTTACTGTCCTGAAATAGGAATAGTGGTCGGAATAGTTTCGGCGTGATAGATCGATGCTCATGCTGTTGATCACTGGATTGTCTGGTCCAGACTCGATTATTTACAGACCGCCGCCATATAGCTGGGATATTGCTGAGTGCGGCGTAAAACTAAGCTCACTCACTCACTCACTCGGCGTGATAATGTTCTCGGTGGACACAATGCTCTGTTGTAGTCGTAATACATAATGACAGCAAAAACATGATCAACTATATGACATACACGTTTGCATATGTTTGTATTTTTACGCCGCACTCAGTAATACCCAAGCTCGATGACAGTCTGTAAATAATCAAATACAAACCAGAAAGCATCCTGATTTACATCTCAAGGGATCAACCTACGCATGTTGACCAAAACAGCTCATATCATAGACTACATCAAATGAAATATAGTGCGGAGGTCGTAAGTGACTGTGTACTATGAACCTGTGAAAATGGCTTCCAGTATTAGACGAATGCCACAAGTCACTTGAAAAGTATCAGAGATCCCTATTGTATTAGTGAACTGCACAGACGATAGGCTACTGCCTGCTTCTGACTACATGACTATGCCTTACCTAATTCCATCCGTAACTACTCGTGTCATTCCGGCAAGCCGGATGGCGTCGCGTACCCCTCTCGTGGCAATGTTTATGACTGGGCCCTGTCTAAGCGCAAACGGGCATGGAGATGAAAATAGTCTAGCACTATTACCAAGGAAAGATAACTCGTAATTTCCAAACATGACTCCTAGAATAGCATATATTCCGTAGGCAAAACAGCAATACAGTCATTCCCTTTGTAGATATATTTCAATGTTTAGAGTTGCTGATCTTTTAGCTCAAAGTTTATGTTTAAATTGTGCTTTGCATAGTTGAGCGAAGTTTCAAAGTACAACGGCGCCGCCATTTTCATGCTTCGAAGTGCGTTTTACTACGCGCGATTTGTTCGGTTTGCCACGATTCTTGGCAATAATGTCGTACGATAGGGGTACGAGTCTTCTTGTAGGTAACGGAAGAGGCGAGTAGTTACGAATGACCTCATTCTACTGCCTCACAACATGTAGCGAGACATTCTCTTCCCACAGAGGTTACTTGTCATATCTTCCTACGAACCTCTGTTCTAATACGGCCCTTTCATGGTGCGAGTGTTCAGGATTAGTGATTGGTTGCAATCAGATTTAGTTGTGCAATCAGCGACGTTGTTTCAAAAGTGATCATTCGCAAGCCTCCGTAATTTCCGTATGCTTCGGGTAAACTAGAACCTCTTCCCCTGCGCGATGCGCAAACGTTTCTTGTAGACAGAACTCAGTCATGTTATGGCGGATCAATGGCATCTCCATCGCCCCCGTTGACAACGGACAAGCTAGCCATTAAATGTCTTGTGTGTCACATCAACACAATTCCCTGCTGATGGGGGACATTTGTGGCCCCACATTTGTTTGTATTAGTCAAGCTGGATCTAAGTCGACGTAACACGTGTTCTGATTGGATAAAAAAAAGGGAGATAATTCGTGTTGCGACTTTTTGCCGCTAGGGGATTTTACGAGAACAGGGAAATATGGCCGTATTAGAACAGAGGTTCGTAGGAAGATATGACAAGTAACCTCTGTGGGAAGAGAATGGTAGCGACATGACTTCGGGGCGTTGCTGAAAATGTATGTTAAGTAATGTCAGGTAAATACTCATTCGCTTGACAAACATACGTGAACTTGCTCATTTTGTTGATATAAAGGCGAACAGATGGAAGAAGAAGGGAGTTTCCGTGATGCCTCTCCGGTGGGACCTGAACTACGCGAACGCCAACTACAACGTCTACCTGACCATCTACCACGGCGACGGCTCCGTCGCTATATCAATCGGGGGTGTGGAGAATGGCCAGGGAATAAATACCAAGGTCAGTGAGTTATGTGTAGGACTGGTGGGTGTTTAGGTGCATTACTTCATACACATAATATGCAACAATCTTACATCTGTCTTTTATTCATTTGATTGACATGGTTCCGCATATAAATTAGTTTTACATTATTGATACCCAAAGAGATGAAGATCTGATACGTTCAACTGGCGCTTGTAGACCCGTGGAGATCCGAGCTAGAATTGATCTAAAGTAACCCATGCTTGCCCTAAAAGGCGACTAACTGACTCGCTGACAATTGCGTAGGTCGATGCTCATGCTATTGATCACTGGATTGTCTGGTCCAGACGTGATTATTTACAGACCGCCGCCATAGAGCTGGAATTTTGCTGAGTGCGGCGTAAAGCCAACCTCGCTCACTGACACACTCTAGCTCCTGTGATATACCAAGCTCTTAATGCTGAAAGATGATGTTTGGAGTGCATGATAATCGCGAACATCTGTGACATCATATTCTGTTATCCGATTATGCAATTGCCAAGATATAATGGTATAATACTGTTTCAACAGATAATCGAGACTTTTTATGTGTTGCAGTATATACATATACATGAAACTCTGATGGTTATCTACGAACCGTAGTTTGTTTTCGATGAAAATGCAATGATACGAAGTTTTCTCACAGATGATGCAAGTCTGTGCCTTTGAGCTGGGTATTCCCATGGACACAATAAAAGTGAAACCGACGACAACCCTGGCTGATTCCAATTCCATCACTACTGGAGGCAGCATCACCAGCGAGGTCAATGCATTGGTAAGACACACACCTTTCAATTTGACCATCTTAAGTTGGACTAGCAAATGGGACCCTTATAAATCTTATAAACATCAACATTGCTTAAGATGAAAATGACCCGTGAAGATCCGGGTTAGAATTGGTTTTCAGAAACCGATGCTTGTCGCAAGAGGTGACTAACGAGATCGGGTGGTCAGGCTCGCTGACTTGGTTGAGACTTTAAAAACATTTTTCTCTTTTCTTATCACTGTAACGAAAAAACCGTCAAAACGATTCCATTTTGTTATGGACCATGTAAATTTTGAGACACAAAACTTTAGCAATATTTCATCACCTAAAAAATCAAATACCTGGTTAGAAATCTGGGTTAGAATTGGTCTTCAGCAACCCAGGCCTGTCGTAAGAGGCGACTAACGGGATGGGGTGCTCAGTCTCGCTGCGCTGATAATGTGGCATAACCCAATAGCATGCTTGTCGTAAGAGACAAATAACGGGATCAGGTGGTCAGGTCACTGACTTGGTTGAAACATGTCATTGTACCCCATGATGATGCTGTTGATCACTGTATTGTCTGGTCCAGACTCGATTTTTTCACTGACCATACAGCTGTACTATTGCTTAGTGCGACGTTAAACAATACACAGATGCAAAAAAATAAATAATAAAAGCAGTTCTTAAACATGTTGACACAATTTTTGAAAATCTAGGATTGAACACGTTCATGTTATTTAATTGCAAAGGGAGTCATTCAGTGCTGTCAGCAACTAAAGACCCGGATGGCCCTGGTCAAGGCCAAGATGGTAAACCCCTCCTGGCAGCAGCTGGTAGCTAAGTGCTACAGCGAAGGGATGGACCTTTCTGCCAGAAGCTTGTAAGTCTGCATAAGTTAATTGTCACACTATATAATACTTTAAAGGGTTTTCTCTGTCTGAACATATACTCTTCAAAAAAAGAAACTTGATATAGGAAAAATTTGAATTTTAGGAAAATGTTTGACACAAACCAATCAATGCTGAATCCCAGCATGTGGAGGAATGGTTGCCGACGACAAAACGTTTGAAAAGGGAAACGTTTAACAAAAACGTAACGTTACACTCACGTCTGTAGTGAATCGCTAAACCCACCCTATATGAAATGCATCATGAAATTGTGTATCACCCTGAGCTGAAGCCTATGACTGAAGGCTTTAAAAAGCCACATCAATGGTACTCCACAAGCCACTATAGACGGCAAGAGAATGAAATGACTGACAGAAGCTCAACGACACAACGCCTTCAGCGTGTCCAGACAGACCATCCCAAACCTTTGGACCCGATACAAAAATACTGGAAGTGTTAATGACAGACCCAGGTCAGGTCGACCTTGAGTTATCACCGCCGCCCAGGATTGCTACATCCGGTTGAGACATTCTTGTTCAAACACCGCGGCCGCATCATCCACAACAATCCAAATCCCTGGATTGCGCCGAATCTCCGACCAGACAGTGCGTAATTGGCTATAGAAAAACCAGACATTTTGCCAGAAGACCAGTCCAACGTCACGTCGTTCCCTACATCAACGTCAACGGTTGATGACAATGCTCGATCTCACGTTGCACGTGTTTGACAGGTCTTCCTCCAGCAATGTTCAGTCGTTACCTTGGCCTTCTCGATCACCCCCATTTAACATCTATGGCATACTTTTGATCGACGCTTGGGCCAGCGTAATCAGCCACCTCAGACACTTCAAGAACTGCACACAGCACTTCAGCAAGAGTATCAAAACATTCCTCAAGACAGCATTCGGCATCTCCCTTTTTCTATGACGTCACCGCTGCCAAGCTGCTATGGATGCTCATTGTGGTCTCACCAGATACTGACATTTTACTCTTTAATAGCCCTTTGTGGTTTTACCAAACACTTTCTGGATAATCATGTTTTGGAAATTTGTAAAGTGATGATTTTTCTGTAACTGACCAATGATGCCATGTTTGAATTAGTTATATGAACTCAGTATATAAACTCCAAAACAGCATGTCATGTTTCTTTTGTTTGGAAGAGTATACAATTCCATCAATGCTAAACTGAAGCTTGCCGTGCTGTCATTAACATGGCGTTGTTGTCATGAATACTCCCTAAAAACAAATTACCACAATGCAACTCTTGAACCATATGCCTTAACCGGTAATGGCATGTATTAAAGGAATTCTACATTTGGATCCAGTTGTGACTACTCCTCAAAAGTCGAAGCTGCTTTCGACATCCAGCCAACGTAGGAAATATGAATGGCATGCAAATGAAACCTGATCGAGCTATCCGGCACACATAAATTGTGTAACAAACAGCAACAATACAAATAACCATCTTTGCTAAATCTGTCCGTAGAACGATTCCTACTGCATCATGAGCAAGTGTTTGTGAAATACGATCACTTATTAAACTCCGATCACTTATTAATGAGACAAGTTGGCTTCTTTGAGAAGGCCTCATGGCCAAGGACTCAAAAATACATACACGTACCTTTTCATGCTTTGTCTGTGCCTATCGACGAAGATATTATTAATATACATGTTTACCATTTTATAGGAATTGTATTGAATATAAGGAATTTCATTTGATTAAACAGTATTTGGTATATATAAATTTGGTATAAATATGTGGTATATATGAATTTGGTATAAATTAATCTGTGTTGGATACATGAATATGTTGCTCTTGTAGGCTCACCTAGTCTGGACAAACTAAAGCAGGGTGAAGCTCTCCTGACAGGAATCAGATGGGTTGACAACGAAACTATGAAAGGACGTATTTTCATGTTTTTCACAAACACGTTCGGAGAATATTTTAAACTTATATCAATCTGTGTTTCCAGCACCAATCCAACTGGCGTCAGTACCAACTACAATATCTACGGTGCAACGTGCACAGAGGTCGAGGTGGACGTTCTGACTGGGGAGAACCAGATAAATAGAGTTGACATCCTGTATGACTGTGGGGAGAGGTGAGACAAATGGGGGATACCATGTAGATGCGGTGAATTGTTTGAATCTTGAGGTTTAGTTTGAACTGCACTTCAGTAATGAAGAAGAGCCCGTCATCTCATTTTTAGAGTGAGTGAGTTTAGTTTTACGCCGCACCCAGCAATATTCCAGCTATATGACGGCGGTCTGTAAATAATCGAGTCTGGACCACACAGTCCAGTGATCAACAGCATGAGCATCGATCTGCGCAATGGGGTCATGTTTAGAGGAAAGTCGCTAGTTTTATGAATAGTAGAGTCTGTAGTGTATCGACTATTACACAACGTTATGTTTCATCGTTTCTGAAACACTGATGCGACGTAAACTGTCTCTTTCTCGAAAATCGTAAGAACAAGAGTGATATCGAATTATTCATAATTTCTGCTTAAACAAGACTGTAGTGCAGTATTTACCTGTTATATTTCACTTTGTGATTCACCATCCTATAAATATTTTGAAGTCACAGTAGCGTAATTACCATTCTTACTGACAACGTTGATATCACGTCACTGTGCAACGTCGTCACAACGTTGTGACAACGTAAATGGGATCCACAGAATAACGTTGTGCGGACTAAAGCATTACATTGTGACAACGTTGTAGCAACGTAAATGGGATCCACAGAATAACGTTGTGCGGACTAAAGCATTACATTGTGATAACGTTGTGACAACGTAAATGGGATCCACAGAATAACGTTGTGCGGACTAAAGCATTACATTGTGACAATGTAAATGGGATCCACAGAAAAACGTTGTAAGGACTAAAGCATTACATTGTGACAACGTTGTAGCAACGTAAATGGGATCCACAGAATAACGTTGTAAGGACTAAAGCATTATATTGTGATAACGTTGTGACAACGTAAATGGGATCCACAGAATAACGTTGTGCGGACTAAAGCATTACATTGTGACAATGTAAATGGGATCCACAGAAAAACGTTGTAAGGACTAAAGCATTACATTGTGACAACGTTGTAGCAACGTAAATGGGATCCACAGAATAACGTTGTAAGGACTAAAGCATTATATTGTGATAACGTTGTGACAACGTAAATGGGATCCACAGAATAACGTTGTGCGGACTAAAGCATTACATTATGACAACGTCGTGGCAACGTGAAATTGCTAGCTGGATGGTTCTGACATGCCAACGTTAAAGGTACGAACCAGCGATCGGAGGAACCTGACACAACTAAGTGAGTGAGGCAAATCTCGCCCCTTGTTGACTGGTCCTTTCGTAAGTGGATGGATGTGCAGGGGGATGTTTAGACTAAGGTTTAGTCTCTGAAAATGGATAGGGAGACCAGGATCTAGACTTGCTTTATTTAGGGGGGATGGCAGTAGGGAAATTCATGTGTTTCAGGGACTGTGAGACAGACTAGGGGATGTTGTTTACTAAGGACTATCTGTAATATAACAGAGGCGGTGACACGGGAAGCTTGCATTGTGAAATAAATCTTTTCCTATTTGCTGTTGTTGTTTTTAAGCATGAACCCTGAGATCGACGTTGGACAAGCAGAGGGAGCCTTTGTGATGGGCCTGGGCTACTGGATGACCGAACAGATGATCTTTGACCCTAAGACTGGCACCGCCTTAACTGCTGGAACCTGGGTGGGTTTACGCGAGCAGACAAAATGGACAAAATACATGCTTTAAAAACGATTCATCACAATGGCCTATAGTTTTCACCTTGAAGCATTAAATATCAAGACTGATATCAATTCACGAATGTTTTGGGATCATAATATCATAAATATATTTGGGATCATAATATCATAAATATATTTTGAGGGTTTTCTGTTTGGGCAGGAATACAAGCCACCTCTTGGAAAAGATATTCCCATCGACTTCCGCATCCAGTTTTTGAAGAATGCTCCGAACCCTAGAGGTGTCCTAAGGTCGAAAGGTATCTATGATATAATCTTTCATAATGTCAGATATATTCCCAGCTCCCCATTTATGTACATGGATAGCCATACTAATCGTTTATGAAATGGACAGAATCATGTCATAAGAAAAGATTTCAGCATTAACAGTGAATCATTTTGTCTCTGAATACAACCTTGCACGTCCGTCAAGATATGCCTTGTAGTGAAGTGGTCATTGCTTCTGCCAGAGGAGCAGAATGCTTTTGGTTCGATTCCCCGTCGCTTCATATCAAGAGATGTGAATTTTTTGGAACTTACTTGTTGCTACCATCAAATATAAGATATCTGTTATTTTCATATGGATTTGGATATGTGTGGATTTTCCAAGGTGTCGGTAACGAGTGGCTGTTTATGAATGAATTTCGTCAAAGAGCCGTCTATATGTTTCGCCAGAATTGGATGAATACCCTTAATTCATGTTCTAGATTTGATGTATATAGATCCTTTAAAACATTGATCGAACCTGAGACATATCTATCAAACATTACAAGCAAGAAATTTAGAAATACAGTTATTAGATATAGACTTGGCTTGACAGATATAATGATCAATACTGGCCGTAACAAGTCACTCGCCAAACATCTAAGATTTTGCCCTGTCTGTATGGAGGATATCAAGACTAATATCATTTGTTATTTATATGTGACGCTTATGCCGATTTAAGAAAGGAGTGCATTCCACAGAAATATCTGGGTCACCCTACAAGGGAAACACTTATAAGAATTCTATCATCAAAAGACGAATCTGTCGATGTAAAATTACCCCTGTTTTTAACACATTCGCTGTCGTTAAGGAAGAGTCTGATTTCTCCTGTCAACTAATTTCACAATGTTATGATGCTTTCCACTGTTTGCAATGTCCATACTTTGCCTGTCATTATAATAATAATAATAAATGCATATTTATAATGCGCCCCTTCCACACCCTAATGCATGCTCAAAGCGCTACACAATATTTACACTGGAGTATTTACAGATGAGATTATGCATAATATACTGAGAAAAGGTGGGTTTTAAGTCTGGACTTAAAAATGTCAATTGTGTCAGAGCTTTTAAGGGCACATGGGAGAGAGTTCCAAAGTACAGGTGCAGAGTAAGAGAATGATCGGTGTCCAAAGGATTTCAGTTTGTAGGATGGGATGACCAGTCGATTTTGTGTGTTTGAGCGCAAGTTGCGTGCGGGGACATATGGATGTAGGAGTTCAGACAAGTAGGAGGGAGCCAAACCATGGAGGCACTTGTAATACTATGTATACGGGCCAGAGGCCTTATGTACTATAAACCGCCATCTTGACTTGACTCTGATAAAAAAAAAGGACTGGTCACCCGTGAGTGCTGTATGTCTGAGTGGTGTGTCTATGACCAGCGTTCGAAATAATCGCCTGCCCGGAGGCCCAGCGCCGGTTGTTATTGTATCGGGCCTGCAGTTTCAGATATTTGCAGGCACTGGTGGCCTTCAATAGATTATCTGTCAATCTTTCCCGTAATTGCTTTCCATTATTAACGTTCGGGAATCATCCATGATCCATCGTGTTACGGATACCAGACAATTTCACTTCCTGGTATTTCAGCACTTTGCGCATAGGAATGTCAACACCAGTCTTTAACAAGTAAATTAAAACCCTCTCTCCGCCATAGGCTTCGCTAATGGATTTTGTTGAAACCGATTGAAACTGTGTACAGTGTAGTCTATTTTGTTTTTATTGGTTTGATTTTAACAAAAGGGCCTTTAGATTTCATTCAGGACCTGCAGGCAGGCGGCAGCAGGCCCTGATAGCCAGCTGGCAAATTAAAGTATTGCAAACACTGTCTACGACTATGGTATATCAGTGGGCTAACTCTGTAGGACCAATATTCCGATATGGTTGTTGATGTAGGCAATAACCGTGGATACGGGCTTAGGGGCAATAACCTTGGATACGGGCTTAGCTGGCATTTCACCTCGCCTCAGTATCTTGAGGGAATACAGTCAGCCGGTCCTGACTGGATGATACTGGACAAAATACAGTACATGTACTTCACTTTTACTTCACTTTTTAAGTGTCAATAATATTTAACTTGTGTTTCAGCTGTAGGCGAGCCGCCGCTGTGTATGGCTGCATCAGCGTTGTTTGCTGTGAAACACGCCATCGAGGCTGCCAGAAATGAAATATCAAAGGACACATACTTCCCTCTCGGTATGATCATTTATTAAATAATCGCAAAAATTCATAACTTTACTTAAACATAGGTTTATAATTTGAAATTGTATCCATTTAAAACTAGATAAATAATGATATGGTAACCCATCTTTAGGCAAATAGCCACTTTAATCTAACCTAATGCACTTGATACATGAGTAACCATAAACATGGTTTTCATGACACCAATCAACCATTTTGCAAATCATGGAAGAGTCATTGACAAGTACACAACACCATAGCAGGTAATGGATCCACAAGATGCAGTGACATACTGAAACCTAGGATCCATGCTTACACTAAGCTTAGATATTTAAACAAAATTAGAACCCCACATCACAGTTTTCTGTTGAATCAATGGTTTGATCCTTAGCAAAGTGTGAATAGTATATAACATGATCGGTTTAGGGGAGTTTATGCAACAATACAGTAATCATTGCTACACGGACTAAAACGTCTGTCTATAATCCTCCAGTGACGTCATCGAATTGTCTTGATATATTATAGTTGATAAATATTGTTTCGGATTTTTCTTTACAAGTTGGATAACTGCATGCTTGTATTAAACTCTGTCAATTTTTCAAAGATATCAGCCCTCTGCTTATTTCAGTGGCATGTCTCGGTCAGTTTCCTATACTGTCCCATGTCTTTTGTGGACATACCTCTTTGACAAAAGGGGCGGTGGGGTAGCCTAGTGGTTAAAGCGTTGGCTCGTCACGCCCAAGACCCGGGTTCGAATCCCCACAAGGGTACAATGTGTGAAGCCCATTTCTTGTGTTCCCCGCCGTGATGTTGCTGGAATATTGCTAAAAGCGGCGTAAAACCAAACTCAGTCAGTCTTTGACAAAATATTTATCCTTTTACGCAAATACCAATGCGAGGCTCAGAACGTGTCAAACAGCTTTGGCATCTTCGTTAAATGACGCATCTTTGGATATGCATGTTGCATTCATATACGTTTTCTGATAAGAGCGATGCTAGTTGAATGGGTGGAATTGTTTCGTCTTGGATCATAATCTGATTGAATGGTTGTGTATTCCAGACGGTCCAGCAACGGTGGAGATGATCCAGGCTGCCTGCCTAGTTGACAACTCTCAACTGGTGTTCGGGACATGAATACGATCAGCTGCCCCAAGAGACATTGATAAGCTCGTAAAAGAGACATAGATAAGCATGAAATACCAATGAGCCTGCGGAGGGAAGTGAATCGGTTTAATGTTTGTAATACGGATAAGTTTTGGAGAGCTATTGGGACGCAAAATAAATGTGCTTGCGTGCGTGTGTTTGGTGCGCGTGTGTATATGCGTCGCAGTCTAATTTGTTGTTAAAAGTTGTTGATTGTTGGTATAATCAGATTCCGAAGTATTTTGTATTTTTCACTGTGCTTGAGTACTTATTTGGCTCACCGCATTGATAATCATTTCTCAGAAAGACACCTGAAATTGTTCAACTGTTACATTTAGTTCATGAAGCAAACTGCTGTCCTGGTCCTCCATATTTATTCACATCTTTATCAACTGTCGTGATGACGTAATGACGCAGATCTACTTCAGTGCTGGGCCCCGTTCCTCAAAGCGATCGTAGCGCTACGACAGTCGTAAGTCTGTGTTAAAGTATGGGAGTTACGACTGTCGTAGCGCTACGATCGCTTTGAGGAACGGGGCCCTGATCCACAACTTAAGTATATTAAAAGATGGAATACTTCACTGCACAGCCAAATACTCAATAACCTAAGAGAAAATCCAGCTGAATGCGAGATGTAGGTATGGTTTGACTATGACGTCATGGTTTGGCAAAGTCTTCTAATGCGCCGGAATTCGCTGTGCAGAGTTACATCCCTTGGACACGTTAGGCGCCTGGGAGTGTGGGTTCGAATCCTTGACTATATTGCTAGGTTTGTCAGCACCATATTGCTACTCATGGGTTTTAATTGGGGATATTCCCCCATGTGAAGCTGACAGGCCTCTATACAACTCGAACACTGTTCCAAGCGGTGTTAGGGGCGGTGGGGTAACCTAGTGGTTAAGGCGTTCGCTCGTCACGCCGAAGACCCGGGTTCGATTCCCCACATGGGTGCAATGTGTTAAGCCCATTTCTGGTGTCCCCCGCCGTGATATTGCTGGAATATTACTAAAAGCGGCGTAAAACCAAACTCACTCACTCATTCCAAGCGGTGTTAAACCCAACCCACCTCAACTCACCCACCCGTTCACTCCCTTAAATCCTAGATATGCGTGTAGACGTACGCGATTAATCAGGTCGGATTGGAAACTGAAAAATTTAATCGACTGACATTATCAAACATACTTTAGAAATTTTAAGAGTCTAGGTCAATGTTTTTGTTACGGGTTACTTTTTATATTCCCTGCCTCTTATGCTGTTATAATGCATACTCTCCACAGTATACAACTATTTTATACAATGCATTTTGAGCCATGATTTTTTATGTATTGTTATACAACAGACAGAATCTTGTACCGAAATACATTATTGTGTATTCATCAATCACGTTCTTTGGTTACTCACAGTGCTTCAGTCTTGTTAATAAATATATGTTTCATTTGTTGTGTTCATTTTTTTTAGAAATTCTGTCAGTTACGCCGGAATTTTGTATATTTCATACACGGAAATGTATATGTACTTCACGGACAAGCAGCTTTGGACAACTCAGTATATTCTGTAAAGTGTAGTCGTTGCTTGTGTCAGGCCGTGTATGTCTGTCGTCGGTCAGAGCGTCATTTAAAGGAGAATACGAACGAAAAGAAAACTTTTGATATATTGTAAAGTATATTCTAAAAATCTATTCCGTGATTAAAATTGAACAAAAAGTTTGTAAAACAGCAATCAAAACACAAAAACGTACTCGTGTTTCCGCCTAATACCGAAACACCCGACAGTTAATGAGCAGAGGGAGGTATCACGTGACAAGACGTCACAAGTGCCTGTTGCTGATGGCTTTCTCTTTGATTTTACCTCACAACTTAACAGTGTCCGTGGATTCTGAAGCAGTAAAAGCTGTTCCTGGTGTCATTTCTGAAATGGATGTTAGACCGTATCAATACGATCCGATTTTACATCTTGCAAAACAATCTTCCACTGAAGATGAAGAAGAACAATCAAGCGAAACGGAGGCACCGCTTGAGGTCAAAATAAATTTAAAAATAGACCATATCATTTAACAAGATTACTATTTGACAGCAAAATGTCATACAGTTCCAGCCAGCAAACTCACCCCTTTAAATGACATCGTTGCTAACAGCAGAATGCATTGACAAGATACTCTCGGCCATTATCATGTGAACAAATGGGTGTTTGCGAAAAGATGAGCACATCCACCGGTGACGTCCGTCACAAACACAAACAAATGCTTGTGAACAGTATTTACCTGAGTGAGGGAGTGAGTTTAGTTTTACGCCGCACTCAGCAATATTCCAGCTATATGGCGGCGGTCTGTAAATAATCGAGTCTGGACCACACAATCCAGTGATCAACAGCATGAGCATCGATCTACGCAATTGGGAACCGATTACATATGTCAACCAAGTCAACGAGCCTGACCACCCGATCCCGTTAGTCCCCTTACGACAAGCATGGGTTACTGAATGCACATTCTAACCCTGAGCTTCACGGGTGTGTTTACCTGAAAAACGCACTGGGACGTTTGGTACAACGTGAAAGTGTGGATTTATTTCGGAGATATTTTATGCCTCATATTTGGAACTATCCTCCACTTGACAACCGCCACACGTTTGAAAAGATTTTTCAAATCACGAACTGTGTAGGATCTTTTTAATATCATCAGTTCTCATTTAGTTATAGCATTTTTAAAAGAATAGATGAAATATTGCCGGTGTGACGATAAATATTAACTCACTCACTCAATTGAAAAGATTTCTTGAGGCAGTGAATACTGAACTTTCATCAGAGTAGTGTGATATGTTTAAAATGTTGGAGAGAGTGAATGCTCGATTTGTGAAATGGAGACACCAAGGGTTGGAGCTGCGAAACGCGCGCGAAACAGACGAGACGACACACTACCCTCCACGCTAACCGACCGCCTCCGTTGTGTAGTGGTCCGAGCGTCCGCTCGGAGAGCGGAAGGTCGCGGGTTCGATCCCTGACCGCGTCATACCAAAAGACGTTAAAATATGGTACTTGTTGGTCCCTGCCTGGCGCTCGGCATTAATGGGTACAACAAGGACTGGTCGGCTCGGAGTCAGTATACCGTGTCTGAGTGGGGTATTCATGCTTCACTGCGGCATGTCATCTCAGTGGGCTAGCACTATAAAACCAGCTTCAGTCTGGGCTAGTACAAGCAGCCGCACATACACATACACACACATGCACGTCGTCATATGAGCGAAATATTCTCAAGCACGAAGTTAACCCAATTTCACCTCACCTCACCTCACCTCACCTCCACGCTAACCAAATTGTACATTTCAAGTTCAATGGTACCTGGCGATGGCCCATGTTCAGACTTCTCTTTTGAAATCGTGATCTCCAACATTGTTTCGGTTGTGGATGTTTTCTGCTATTTGTGTTTTCCTGCCTCAGAAAGCAACAATTGCTGGAGGGGACTGTCCGAAGTCCGCACTTCCTGCTAATGTAGGTCATAGCAGCCATTTGAGAAACTGGTGAGCATTGAGGGTTCGCTCTGCTTCTGCGTAATCGGTAAAACTTCACCAGTGGGTAATTATGGGACCGTATTAATCTTATATCCAACACCGGATCTTAAGGTGCTAAAGCTGTCGCATAGGGTATTATGCTCAAACAATATCTAGTCATTATCTAGCAATCTGTGAATAATTGATTTCTTCAGAATAATGCAGCTCAGGTCAAGTACCTTCCCAATGACGGGGGGTGGGGGGTAGCCTAGTGGTTAAAGCGTTGGCTCGTCACGCCGAAGACCCGGGTTCGAATCCCCACATGGGTACAATATGTGAAGCCCATTTCTGTTGTCCCCTGCCGTGATGTTGCTGGAATATTGTTAAAAGCGGCGTAAAACCAAACTCAGTCAGTCAGTCCTAATGACGGAAGAACGTCTGAGGGTTACGCTTTGTATACTATGGACGAAGTATTTCCATTTTTTGTGTCCAAGAGACTCATTTTAGGAATAGGTCCGCAATGTCCATTTCTCCGTGTCTTGGTTATTCCCTACTTAGAGGATGCGGGTTCGATCCCCGGCCACGTCATACCAAAAGACGTTAAAATATGGTACTTGTTGGTCCCTGCCTGGCGCTCGGCATTAACGGGTACAACAAGGACTGGTCGGCTCGGAGTCAGTATAATGTGTCTGAGTGGGGTATTCATGCTTCACTGCGGCATGGTATCTCAGTGGGCTAGCACTATAAAACCAGCTTCAGTATGGGCTAGTACAAGCAGCCGCACATACACATACACACGCACGCACGTCGTCATATGAGCGAAATACTCTCAAGTACGACGTAAAACCCAATTTCACCTCACCTCACCTTCTCCGTGTGTTGGTTATTACATACTTAGAGGATGCATTAGAGATTAATTCGACCCGTGAAGATCTATGTGTAGACAACGTCAAAATATTGAACACTGGCATTGCAGTCATTTCATTGCAGTCACAACAAGACATGCCTATCCATGAAGGTATACGGGTTAGAACTGGTCTTCAGTAACCCATGCTTGTCGTAACAGCGACTAGCAGGATCATGTGGTCAGGCTCGCTGACTTGATTGACACATGTCATCGTATCCCAATTGGGTAGATCGATGCTCATGATGTTGATCACTGGGTTGTCTGGTCAAGACTCGATTATTTACAGACTGTCGCCATATGGCTGGAATATTGCTGAGTGCGGCGCTAATCAACACACACCCAAGCAAAATAGAAATTAACTCCCAGAAAAATTTATTGGTCAAAGCCGATTTAATCAGCGTCTTGCTAAATGCCTTGTAAGATACTTTGCTGGGCCATCTTATGTATACGGTTGTATAGTTAACAAGTTTGCATAATCGTTGTTTGTGTATTTATCATGTTGGCATATATATTTGGGTCCAGCCAGAATGTCTCTCGTAGATTACATCCAACTGATAATGATAAAACTATGACCTTTGTCTCATTTATTAAGACACACTGGTGCATTTATATAACACCCTTGTCGCCTCGGCTCAACTCTATGACAGATGAAACATTCTGACCACTGACTATTTATTAGCACCTATAGTCTGTTTGCAGTGAAAACGTACCGGTGAATTGCACTGTAAACAAAAATGTAAATCGAATAAAGTGAAATTAAGATTGCGAATCCTCATAATTCTACCTTGCCAATTGAACATTTAAATCTTAGATTTTTATTCAACTTATGAAAAAAGTTGTTTAACAAACGATCATAGTTTCAAATCGCATATATTGGTTTGTATTACAAGGGGGTAAGCGCAGTAGTTGGAACAGTAAAACAAATGCACGTGCGGTACGTGATGAGCGTTAACTTAGACCAACCCTACTTGTTCTCGGTGTTTCATTTAATGTGCACACACCCTTGTAATACAAACCAATAATACCGATTTGAAACTATGATCGTTTGTTAAACAACTTTTATCCTAAGTTGAATAAAATTCTGAGATTTAAATGTTCAGTTGGCAAGGTAACATTATGAGGATTCGCAATCTTAATTTCACTTTATTCGATTTACTTTCTTGTTTAAAGTGAAAATCATCAGTACATTTTACTGCAAACAGACTATAATGGTTAAAGCGTTCGCTCATCACACCGAAGACCCGGGTTCGATTCCCCACATGGGTACAATAGCATTTCTGGTGTCCCCTCCGTGATATTGCTGGAATATTGTCAAAGTTTCGTACAACTAAGCTCAGTCACTAGTTTTACCACTTTTCACCTATTAAACTATTTGACGACACCTAATGCTTGCCTTTCTCAATAACCCGTGATGGTCCGGGTTAGAATGAACCTTCAGTAACCAATGCTTGTCGTAAGAGGCGACTAACGGGATCGGGTGGTCAGGCTCGCTGGCTTGGTTGACACATGTCATCGGTTCCCAACTGCGCAGGTCGATACTCATGCTGTTGATCACTGGATTGTCTGGCCCAGACTCGATTATTTACAGACCGCCGCCATATAGCTGGAATTTTGGTGAGTGCGGCGTAAAAATAAACTCACTCACTCCTTTCTCAATAAAGTGCAGTGGTGTAAATGAAATACTATTCAAATTTAACAATACACCCACTTTCCGTCACAGAAGACGGAGCACAAGTACGCAAGTAGTTCCCGAACAATTATACAACATCCTTCAGTGACGTCTCAAATATCGGATTCTGGTGTCCCTAGCCGTGGTTTGGATGTAATAATGCTAAAAGCGGCGTAAAACCTCTCACTCACTCACTCACTCACTCACTCACTCACTCACTCACTCACTCACTCACTCACTCACTCACTCACTCACACACTCACTCACCCACCCTCACTCCCACTCACTCACTCACTCACTCACTCACTCACTCACTCACTCACTCACTCACTCACTCACTCACTCACTCACTCACTCACTCACTCACTCACTCACTCACTCACTCACTCACTCACTCACTCACTCACTCACTCACTCACTCACTCACTCACTCACAGATTGTTGTGGAAAGGCAAGGTGCCGATACCCAAAGAGAGGACAATGCCTGTCGTTCGCTAGATAGCTTGACTCAGTTTCCTTGACACTGTCCACACATTCATCAACTATTAACTGATATCATTGTTGTTGACATATCCATGACGTACATCTGTATCATGTCGTATGACTCTTTCCAGTGCTATCTAAGGACGATATTTTGAATGTATTATGTGTGCCTTTTGGTTTGTCAGAGCTCTCACCAAGAATATATGGCTGTCATAAATATATTTCCCATCAAAAGTTTAGACTCACTAGTGTAATCATAGCCACTTACTTCAGGCAACTTTCTAAACTAACTTTTGCAAAATATTCCATACTGTTTAAAGGTTCTGTTTACACATGAACTGATGTATTGTAAAACTAATTCTTACAGTTAAAAAGGTTATTGTCATGAGTTCAAGAAATAATAAACCTCAGTGACAATTGACAAATTCTTAACAAAACCTTACACCAAACCGCAGCTGTTCACATGCACGATATTTGCATATGCTTTTCAGCAATTTGATGCTTGATCCTCGTGCAATTCGTATGCCTAAGGCTTGTAGTTGGCTCCCCCAGGTTAGTGGAGATATCAATCTTTGATGTAACCATGTGTTTACACATAACGAATGTGAGTGTTTTTAGTGAGGGGGCGGTAGGGTAGCCTAGTGGTTAAAGCGTTGGCTCGTCACGCCCAAGACCCGGGTTCGAATCCCCACATGGGTACAATATGTGAAGCCCATTTCTGGTGTCCCCCGCCGTGATATTGCTGGAATATTGCTAAAAGCGGCGTAAAACCTAACTCAGTCAGTCAGTCAATCAGTTTTCAGTGAGTCTAAACTTTTGATGGGAAGTATATTTACATTAATTATGACTGCTTTTGGAATTGTTACATTGGGTTCATATTATTGTATTGCCTACAGTTTGTTTGTTAACGCCGCATATTACAGCTATATGACAGCGGTCTGTAAATAATTGGGTCTGGACAATCCAGTGATTGACATAATGAGCATCCATCTATGCAATGGATACGAAGGCGTGTGTCAACCAAGTTATCGACGCTGACCACCCGATCCCTTAGGTCGCCTCTTACGACAAGCGGGGCGGTGGGGTAGCCTAATTGTTAAAGCGTTGGCTCGTCACGCCGAAGACCCGGGTTCGAATCCCACATGAGCACAATGTGTGTATCCTATTTCTGGTGCCCCCCCCACACACACACACACACACGTGATGTTGCTGGAATGTTGCTAAAAGCTCAGTCAGTCAGTCTTACGACAAGCAACGGTTCATAAAGAACGTTTCTAACAAGGGTTTTCACGGAGAAAATTGCCTGAAGTGAGAAGCGACTTTGTTATTCGGTGGCAGCTGATAGTTAATGCATGTCATAGTGTCCCATCTGCTTAGATCGACACCCTTGACTATTTGTATAAGCATACTTAAACCGAGGCGGCGGGGTAGCCTAGTGGTTAAAACGTTCGCACGACAAGCCGAAGACCCACGATCGGTACCCTACATGGGTACAATGTGTGAAGCCCATTGCTGGAATATTATATTGCTAAAAGCGGCAAAGCTAACCTCACTCCCTCAACCCGTTGTATTTCCTTGAGTCTGTATCATATTTGCACTATCGCACGAGCTCGGATGGACCATGTACAGTGAGATCGTTCCAGTTATTATCTTACGTCACGTGATCGTGACATCGTTACACGGCCTGGTCGATACCTATCGCAAATCAGTCGGCAGAGATACACGTCCCAGACATGTCGACAAAAACACTGGGGAACTTTGTGCAGTGTCCTGTGTGCAGGACCAGGTATGATCGGCGATGCATTTATTAGAATTAATTTTACTATGGTAGAAAATGTGTAGTTCTATATGACATATTTTCAGATATTTAATTCGTTCCCGTGGTATCAAGACTGTCTGATCTGAAGTGGTCTATGTTATTGGTAGTCTTTCTACCTGCACAAACCTGTTTGGGCATGTTTACATTTCTAGATAACTGTTGGAATGGGAAAACGACCTTCATCACAGTTTTCCACCTGACTTATGGAATACCTATCACTTTATACCATTCAGAGCTGTTCATAACACTAATGAAAGATGGTTTCAATATCGTATTGTCCACAGAATTCTCACAACCAATAAAGACTTATACAACTATAATATATTAGAATCACCACTATGTACATTTTGCAAGGCTGAAAAAGAAACAATTGTTCATTTGATGTTTGAATGCAGATACGTAAATAGGCTGTGGCAAGACCTTTTAAATTGGATTGAAGATAAAACAGACACTACTATAAACCTTGGATCCGAAAACAATCCTTTTGGGCTTTCATGAAAAACGTAACGATGTTCTGAACTTGATATTTATCATAACAAAGGAATATATATATTCCAGAAAACTAGCAAATATACGTCCAACCCTTGAAAGTCTCAAAGCCAAATTAAACCACAGTTACAATCTCCACAAATATAATGCATACTCTGTATGCAAATATAGCAAGTTCACGACTTTCTGGTCATTATGCCACAACTTATTTACATAACCTACTCGATCTCACTTATGCTTGTTACTTATTGTGCTGTGTATTTAAAATAATGATGTGTATAAATGATAAAACTGTACCAATGGGTAAAAAAGAAATAAAGTGAAAAAAAAAGAAGAAGTATTTCCACTCAAAAAAAAAAAAAAAAAAACCTGTTGGAAGGTAGATAGATATCTACATCGGTATACTGATTTAGCTACGATACTAATCCGGCATTGCAGCTTTGTACAAATATACTCCGATAATCGCTAATGCAAAAAAACTTTTAAGCTTCCACTTCACTAGAACGCCAATGAAAAAATTGTAAAACGGTTATCTTGTGATGGCCATCGTCTTTGTATCAGTAATCCCTTCACACAGTCACCTTCATATGTTTAATGGAGGGTCCAGTTTATGGAGTTTCTGTGAAAAAGGCTTAAGGCCGATTCGACCCTTAATGCGTTATATCAAAACATGTTAAAACTGCATTAGGGCGATTAAATGGGTATTGGTAGGTTCATAGGTACGTGTTTCAACGGTATCTCAATGTACGTTGCTTGCTGGGGAAATAACTTTGAACTCGACCTTGAGCCAACATCACCTCACAAATTCATTATACTTACAAAAGTAGATTCAACAAATGTTATATACTGAGCAAAACTGAAAACTTGACACTAGGGATTTTTGGGAGTAGGCTTTTAATACTAGTATTACATTTAAGACAATAATATTAGTTGTATGCTGTGCACAGAACATCTTGACATCCAAGGGAAACAAAAACAAGTCTCGCCGAAACTCTTAAACAACGATAACGTTCATGATGTCAAGGTACCATCTACAATGAAGTTCACAGCGTGGAGAGCAATTCCATTGGGGTCTTCAGAAAGGGTTGTGGCCTCCTCTAGCGTCTCTTACAGCCACCCAACGTCTCCCCATGGATCTGAGAACGTTAGTAAACACACCCCGAGGAAGACGTCGCCATTGCTCTACAAGGTGGCATTGAGGATCTTGCAACGTCTGTGGCGGATTGAGTTGCTGACGAACACGTCGACCCAGCTCGTCCAAGATGTGGTCGATAGGATTGAGGTCGGGGCTACGCCGGCATTTCTTAGAAAATTCTGTGTAAGAATTGCCGTATGCGGTCTAGCGTTGTCTTGTTGGAACGTCAGTGCAGGGCCATGTCTCTGCATAAATGGAAGCAGGACAGGTTGTAAAATCTTATCCCTGTACTAGGCAGCAAACAAGTTCCCTCGAACGTTATACACTCGGACCCTGCCGTTGGCAAATCTCAATGAGAATCGAGATTCGTCGCAGAAGACAATTGCCTTTGATTGAACCTTTTAAATGTGTCGTGGCCCACACCAGTCGGTTGCGGCGATGAAGAGGCGATCACAAGCGATTTCTGGCAATTTGTGCAATTATCCTGCCACCAAACATCTCACTACTTGTGGACGTTCACAAATTTGTACCGAAGATGACGTAATCGTGTTGCTTGATCTTCCCGAAGTGACGTTACACGTGACGCTCCCGGCCTCGGGCGGTCGGCAACAGTTCCGGTTTGATGTACTCGCATCCTACGATTAAAAGTTGTTTATGGTGAGCAACTAAAAGCTGTTGCAAAAGTGACCACATGCTGACCAGCATCAAGCCACCCCACAGCACGTTGACCTTCTTGACACATTCAATGTGCGTTTTCAGTTTTAGCAAACATGCACCGAATGAGCACTTGAATTTTCTTTTCACACGTGCATTTCGTGTTTTCATCTGTATAGGCTACGAAGCCAATGTTTTCACGTGAACTTACAATTTCACGACATTAAAGCATTCACACTTTGACTACTGTTTTATATGCTTGTAAATATATTTTATCAAACAGAAAAAGAAAAATATCGCAATTTATCAGTGACAAGTTTTCAATTTTGCTGAGTATTTTATTTGGGATTACACTTCCTCAGTAAGTACAAATTCTAGTACATTTGTTCGGTTGAGTCCCCTCCGAGGTTCGAACCCACATGCATCTAGGCATGTAATCGCCAGAACACAAAGTCAACCATCTAACCCACTCATTCTCCGCAGCTTCTGAACTTTACTGAGACAGTGTAAACACAAAATAACATATGACAACTTTCTAAATGACATTGTGTATCAAAGTAGAAAGGGGTGTGATGCTGTCCCCAATGTTTCTCTTCTACAGCCACGTTCCCACCAACGGAGCACTGAAGGATGGCGTCTATGCGTCTACCTGTGAAAACTGTGGCCACTTCTTTAAGTTCAAGGCCACAGGTCCTCTCAAGTCATCTGTCACCTTCACCATCAATGGGTCTTCCTTCACAGGTACACACACTGCTGTGACTGTGGGTACATATGTATCATCCTGTACCAGGGATACTTTGTATCCATCATTAATGTTAAACTGAAATAAATCAGATGCAAAACTGTTTGTCCATCTGTTCGAAGGTCTCGCTCAACCAGATAGTAATGTTTCGTTTTGCCTCGCCAATCCCTAAGTGATAGTGATCCCCATATGGTTTTCGACCTTAACATGTAATTCATCGGCACTGGATTAAGTGACGCTGTGTCCGTATGTCGTCATGTTATTCTACCCCGATGCTGGAACCGCTACTCTTGGTACCAATGCCAACAGTTGCCGTTACTCTTGACATCCAATACTAAGGCTTCAAGAACACAGCAATTGCAAGTCGTCAAGTTTCCTTTCAATGTTGCATCTCTTTAACCTTCGAGAATTATTTTCAAATCCAGTTGGCAACGAGTATGCTGCAGCCCTGTCCCTGAATGAGTTCATGAGGTCCCAGGGTGTGTCCTATGGCACCAAGGCGATGTGTATAGAGGGAGGGTGTGGCGTGTGCCTCGTCACTACCACACTGTATGATCCCATCACAAAGGCCGTGCAGACCTACACAGTCAACTCGGTAAGAATATATATTTAACAATACACTTATCACTATTGCAATAACGTCTTCTATGACATCAATGTCACGGTTTAGTTTATCAAAAGCATTGTATGGTCTCCCAGGGGTGCTATGAAGTGTCCAAGGACGAAATTGTCTGTTTACTGATGGGCACATCGAGGTGACTATGGATAATACGAACACCTATCAGCCCAAATATCTGAATACATGACGTAGAAAACAACCACTTTTTATTCTTTACATGTCGCTTCATAGCGTATTCCTTCATGAAGGCTCATGAAGGAGGAAGAATTAGCTCTGAAACGTTGTAACCATAAAACGCGTCTTGCATTCATGTTTGTCAAATGCTTTTCAAGAATTACCCAATTATTGTCTACCTTGAAGTTCTATTTAAAAATCGTGTTTTACTATAAATTACATCTTTATTGGTGTTACTTCAATATGACCCTAGAGTACCTACATCTGTTGAATATATCCACAAGAAACTGTTAGACGAACTTATTCTTTCAGTGTCTGGTTCCTCTGTACACGTGTGACGGCATGCAAGTGACCACCATCGAGGGTCTGGGCAACCCCAGAGATGGCCTACACCCGCTGCAAGACCGTCTGGCACAGTACAATGGCTCTCAGTGTGGCTTCTGTAGCCCTGCCCAGGTCATGAATATGTATGGGTAAGACCTTCACGAAATACGCATTCAAGGTAGAGATGCCAATACAGAAATATGTTCGGGAAATGTTGTAAAAATGCATAGGTCAGGACCTATCTTTGAACTTTGCCTGTGGCTCTTCAGAGGAAGACGAAAACATATCAATGAATGATTTATGTTTATTAGTCACAGATGTTGTAGATGGAACTATACCTTTGTCTCTTCCAGAGTTCTAGTTTCAGATTACATCTGACAAGTCAAAACATACACTATAAAGCATTGATCTCAAAGGATATTCCTCTCTGTGACAATTGACATTGTTCTGTGTTTTAGCCTTCTGAAGAGAACACCCAACCCGACCATGCAACAAGTTGAGAATGCCTACGATGCAACCATCTGCAGATGCACAGGTCAGTGTGACAGCTTCAATTATCAGAATACCTTACCCGAGCTCTAGGGTTGTGCTGAAACGTTCAACGTCTGGGACGTACATGACTACGGTCGCTCCTCCTTCACCAAACTGTCACATCGCGATGTAGCTGAACTACTGTTCAGAGTGACGTTGCACCAAACTTGCTGACTCACTCGTAATCACATTTTACTGAACAAATCATTCAGGATCATGAATATATTTTTTTTGTAACGAAACTGAGCTTCTTTTTAATGTTTTTGTAGCGTAGAAATATTTCATGATTCCTTAATATTTTTCAGTTTAGAATGGCAAAGGTACTGTAAGTCCCCATGGTTCCTAGTATGGTGATCTACCTTCAGTTGTTGGCGATCTATAGCCCGTGTTTTATATTGTATTGTCCCAAATAGTCACAGAAGTTAAATGCTAGTTTTAATATCTCAAATTGTGATATTCTAGTTTGTTGACAGGTTTTAAGCTCTAATATTATCTATTGTTAATGTAATATCAGTTTTTGGCACGATATGGCTGAAATATTGCCGATATGACTATCCAATATAACTCACTCACTCAGTTTAGAATGTGTGTGTCATTTCATTCACATGTACTTGAGTGGTATGTTGAAGTCATTCTCTGATTATCCTGGCACAGTTCCCCCCTTGGTTTACTTCTAATTTGACTTAGAGGACACTTAACATATTCTCTTTTTATCACGTTTCAAAGTTGGGTACGTAAGGTGAACTGATCTATTTTGTTTTCATGTAAACTCCATGTAGGCACTGCGTTCAGAATACACAGTTAGGACCAATGACACAACACTCATTACAGGGCTACAGATAAGGGGCGTACAGTCGTAATGTACGCCTCAAAATCAATTAAGTACGACATAATATAAGATTTCAAGCGTATCGTGTATGCACATAAATACCTTTGTACGTCTAACATTTAATTTCCTTGCGTATCGTGCAAATGGAAATATATTTCGGATAAATACTTGTCAAGTTTCTTTTGCGAAACACGATTTGACACATGAGGAAACCCCGACAGTAGGAATCACTTGCGTTGCCATGCAACGATATACGTCACTCTTTTTCGATTGGCTAAAAACTACACTGTTCCTATTTATATCCAGTCGGACCTGACATTTCGCTCATCACACGGTCGCTCAGTTATTTCTCACGCGTCTTCAAATACAAATTCATGGTTGGAAATAGTGATCGATGAATCGTCCAGACAAACCACATCACCAACTCGCTCACACAAAAACATGTCAGTACTCCTTCAAAATTCTCAGTACACCTCCACTTGCAATATGATGTGTAAGTACACTCGCACCCCCAAAAGTTATCTGGAGCCCTGAGACTCATAGATAACCTCAAGCATTGTTTCCATTGAAAGTGGAAGCTACTGGAAGTCGTAGATATTGTAGCATGAAGCGTCAAGGTGAATCTCGAGTATCTGCTAAAACAGATGCTATTTATCAGAAAAAGTAATATAGCCATGAAATGTATATTAATCGATCACTAAAATCAGTGATGACACCAGGTGTAAAATATCAGATTTTTATAATTCTATTTCATCGTTTTCCTTTCCAACTGATCGATTCTAGTAGGGATTTCTTCCATGGTCATTTCAGAGAAATAACATAAATCTGTTCTCGTGCTTCAGTCGGACACATATGTTCCTCTGAACATACTGTTGATATACTGCTACATGAAACTCATACAGATCAGAAACAATGAAGTCTGTACAACCAGTGAACTGTTATAGTTGTTATCTCCAGATGCTGGAGACGGTGACGCATTTACACGAAGCATCTTATTGATAACGATAGTTATGTATGATTCCTTTGTACAGATGGAAGGTACACTGATATTGACACGAGATAACAGTTGGTGGTCTGTTGGTCCGACATAATGTCCCATTTAGATATATAATTTGAAATTACTTGGATTTAAGTCGATCAATACGCTGTGTCTGCCGAGTGAAAATGGCGATTAAATATTGACGTGGTTGCATGCGCGCCATCTTACCGTGACGTCATTGGAAAGTGCTCATCATATCAATCACTGATTCGTCGGATAAATCTCAATAAATTCCAGAGCGACATCAAACACAGAGATGCCAACCCATACGATTATATTGTACTCGTTACGAAAAAACAACACAACATACACCACTACGACAGCAATAAAAATATGCCATTTAAAAAAAATACATTTAATTAAATTATCAAATAGCATACGTACCATACACAATAAATTTTAACCACGTTTTATTCAGTATCAAGCTATATATGGATACTTAATACTGATTTAGTTGAATACACTGTTAATAACAAGCTCTTGGAATATCTATATATTTTTTATTACATATGACGACCCTATGGAAAAGTTAAGACTAATTTTGGCATCAGTTTTTGGCCAAAATACTAATTGGTCTAAATTAGTATTAAATGAATAGTAACGATCTCGTGAGTCAGCAACAAGTATACAAGCCAAATGAAACTGTAAATTAAGATTATTGCTGTTATGGTAAGAGAAAGCGAAATGACACAAATATGGGTTTGACATCATTCGCCCTTATTCCTACAAGTTCACACAAAATATCTTATTGGGGTGAAGCCGCTTTCAGTTATTGGCAAAACGACTTGAAAGAAGGTGTCGGCGTTTGTTAAGAGAAACTAATACAAACTGTGGACAAATCTCGAATCTACAGCAAAACAATCTTGACAAAGTTGACTAAAATATATTAAACTGAACATTAATAAGTCAACGTCCTCGACGTTTCCCAAAATTGTTTTGATGACCTTTTGGCGAAGAAGATGATAATGTCTGGATGAAGTCTCTGAATATTTCAGACAAATTTACATTTTATCTCATGATAAAAATACTCGCTGACCCATTAGACATGTCCATTTCGCATGGGTATCATCGCGATGACGTTTTCAAACTTCAAATGTTTGCTTTTACCAGACTGGCTTCACTATCGACGACTGCCCCAAAACAGCCATTTAACTCTTGTTGTGTTAACTTGTACAATCGATATTTTGTCGAAATGTTATAGAGTATGAATTTTGTAGGGTACCGACCCATCCTGGCCGCAATGAAGTCCTTCGCTTCTGATGCTACGCCAGATCTGCCTGGAGGTCAAATTGACATTGAGGTGAGAAAAAGATATTATTTTAAATAATGTTGTCGTACCCCATGATTGCACTACCAAAGGTACCCGTGATTCCCACCTATGGAGATCCGTGTTATAAATGATCTTCAGCAACCCATGCTTGTCGTAAGAGGCGAGACCTGTGAAGATCCGGGATAGAATAGGTCTTCAGCAACCCATTCTTGTCATAAAAGGCGACTATGCTTGTCGTAAAAGGCGGCTAACGGGATTGGGTGGTCAGACTCGCTCACTTGGTTGACACATGTCATCGGTTCCCAATTGCAAAGATCGATACTCATGCTGTTGATCACTGGATTGTCTGGTCCGGACACGATTATTTACGGACTGCCGCCATATAGCTGGAATATTGCTGAGTGCGGCGTAAAACTAAACTCACTCACTCACTCGTAAGACTAACGTGATCGTGTGGTCAGGCTCACTGGACTTAGTTGACACATGTCATCGTATCCCAGTTGCGCAGATCGATGCTCATCGCATTCTGTTGATCACTGAATTGATCAGACTCGATTATATGCAGAGCGCCGCCATATAGATACAATATTGCTAACAAAACCTGTGTTCCAGTAGAGCCGCAGCGCAAATCCTTAACCTTTAACGTGAGTCAAACCTTCCAAATGTTCCAAGGAACTGGACAAGAAGATTTGCAGCAAAACCGGGAAGACCTGCACAGGACGCTGTTCATCTGAGAGAAAGACTGACCCGGAACAGGTGCCCCTCCACATTGTGCTGCAGGGTTCACAGTGGTACAAACCCACCACCAGGCAGCAGCTCTACGCCCTCCTCGGTCAACACCAGGCAGACAGCTACAGACTCGTGTTCGGGAATTCTGGATATGGTATGTCATTATTTCTCATTGTTTATTTAAGCGCATCCTTGTTTGTCTTGAAAGAAAATCTACACGGAGAGCGGAAGGTGGATCACCTCGCTGTGTTAAATGATCAAAATATTACAAGCTTCTTGCCGCTATTTTGAAATATACTCTCACAATAACTGTTGATTTCTTCAAGGCGTCTACAAAGAGATCGGTCCATGGATGTATAATGTCCTCATCGACCTTCGTGGCATCCAGGAGTTCTATGACATTTCCGTAAGTTTCTTCACAGACATTATTTCAATTATTAACACATTAATTCCAGAATTTCTGAATCACGAAGGGGAAGGAAAAGAGTGCTCAGATAGTTCTTTTCAGGACATTGAATAAGCAAAGCAAACATTTAACGACATATTCTGATTTTAATCGCTTTCATCCCCACATCAACACGTTACTTTCATTCATTCTAGTCCGTTTTACAGTAGTCCATATAGATGTGGAATTAAAAATTTAAAAAAGATCAAACTTAAGTTATAGAATGGGGCGTTGTCACATTGAGTATGTCCCTGTAAACATATTTATGTACTTTTTTCATATTGTAGAACGCAAAATCATATTACGATATTATTTGGAGGTAGGGTTATAAGTTTTCTTTTAAAACCTGCAAACAAATTACCATTGTACCAGAATATTAAATGGTCTGGGCGTTAATATTTCTATTTTTTAATATTTACTATTATGGCTTCATTTTCCACAGATTGACTCCTCCAAAGTGATGTTTGGACCTAGCATCACTCTGACCAACATGTTGGAGGTCTTTGAGAAAAACAGCACCAACCCTGCTTTATCCTACTTCCGGGACTTCGCCAGCCACGTGGGCGTCATCGCCAACACTGGAGTTAGGAACGTGAGTAGTTCTCAACTTGAGTTTACCTCATATTATGAGTGGGTATGTGGATATCATGAGTGAGTGAGTGAGTGAATAGGGTTGTGACAAATTGTACCAATGTCGAGAATCGAACCAGGTCATCGGCGTGACAAGCGAACACTTTAACCACAAGGCTAGCGCAGGCATTCTAAAAGCATGCATGCGTGTTTCATCTGCTATATGTTGCAGTTTGGTCTATGAATGTTTCAGTTAGGCAGCTGGGCCGGGAACCTGATGCTAAAGAACCTGCACTCAGAGTTTCCGTCTGATGTCTTCACCATGTTTGAGACAGTCGGGGCCACTCTGTTCATAGGTGAGATATGAGTGCGTTCGTGAAAGAATTAGGTGCGTAAGTGAGACGATTCACACGTAAAGATACAAGCGTGAAAAAATTATTGGAAACGATGAAAACATTTCCACTGACAAGATAATTATGTGATTGGCTGATATATTTCAACAAGCAGTATAGTCTGTTTGGCTCAAAAGCGGACCGATGAATTTGCAATCTAATTTGAAAACTAATAAACATATAATACTCAATGAAACGCTGATCATAATCAAAATATCAGACCAACTCTGTGAAATTGAAATTGAAACTCTAAAATTGAAAAAGTTGTTTAACAAACTATCATTAAAATATTGACACAGTTCACTATTTGTTACGAGGGAGGAGTGCAGAGAAAGGGACAACCAGGTGTTAGAGAAGCACGTGCACAAGTGCCGACAAAGTTATTGATTCATAAACTGTGCTGTGCCGTCTCCATCGTTTCTCGCACACCTGGGTGTCCCTTTCTCTGCACTCCTCCCTCGTAACAAATAGTGAACAACTTTTTTATTTTTAAGACAAAAATTCTGCAAAAGCCTCACAGAGTAGGTCTGACGTTTTCATTATGATCAGTGTTTCATTGAGTATTTTATGGTTATTTGTTTTCGAATTAGATTGCAATTCATCGGTCCGCTTTTGAGCCAAACGGACTGTAGTCATGAAAATGTGAACTGTGTCATCGGCGAGATAAAAACCATCACCAATGTATCCACATCATACCTTCATCATAAAGTATATTGGTCTCCCTGTCGCCGTTACCCGTTGCAACAAGGACCACGCAATATCCGTTAATATTTTCGCTGGATTAACGTCGCTCAAAGCAGAATTCCAATTATATGAGTCTGGGATTGACAATGCAACATGCGCATCGATATACTCAATGTGGATACGATGACATTCATCAACCAAGCCTGACCACACAATCCCGTTAGTTGCCTCCTTTGATAAGCGTGGTTTGCTGGACACTAACTGTAACCCGGATCCTCAAGGACATATACAAACTTTAGAACCAGAGCTATTCTTGTGATGTTCAAAATATAATTTGAGAAGGAGTCTTACTGTAATCCTCCAAATAGGGAAAACGTTTCCCTGAAGTCTTCACGTTGATACGGAGCTTCATCGCCAGGCAGACATGCTTGATTTGGACATGACATGCATCAGGCAAGTTTATGAGACTGACCATCCTTTCGTCATCTTTCACGATAAGCATGGACTGCTGAAGACCAGCTCTAACCCGGATCGCCACGGGTAGTATATAAGATCAAATACACACAATAAAACAATAGATTGTAAGAACAATATGCATTTTAGATGAAAATCAGATTTGAGATGAATTAGTCACTGTTAACTTCTGTTACACAGGGTCTAGTGATGGCTCCGAGAAGTCATACAGTCTCATGGACTTCCTGAAGCTAGACATGAAGGGCAAGGTCATCCTGTCTGTCACGCTTCCCACATTCCCATCTGGAGACGTGTACGTCAAGAGTTTCAAGATCACTCCAAGACACCAGGTACCTATAGCAAACTTTGTCTGTGATGAACCATCTCTAAAGATTCGAGTACATTATATCCACAACAGAATTGAGACAACGGAAGACTACTTGAAAAACATGAAAACATTCTTTTTCCACAAAAAATACCATTATTTCTGAGTGTCGCGTCAACACGGATACAATATGAGCGATAGAAACATATTGGTCGACTAAGGATATTGTATCACGTTACATAACATTTATAGATGCATCTGTAATAAGGCTTCAGCCTACCCCACACCTATTCCACATGTTTATCTACACGTATATTCCAGAACGCCCACGCCTATGTGACAGCAGGCTTCAGGCTGCAGCTGGACAGGAACAACAACTTCACTGTCAAGACAAAACCATCCCTGGTGTATGGAGGCATCAACAAGACACTGGTAAGTCAGGAATACGTCAGATGTTGAAATGCTAACGAAAAAAGAACTTATAACCTTCAGTTAATTACAAATCTGTTTAAAGCCAATTATTCAATTCGTGTTCCATGCTTAGTACCCGTGAAGATCCGGGTTAGACTCGGTCTTCAAGAACCTATGCTTGTCGTAAGAGGCGACCAACGGGATCGGGTGGTCAGGCTCGCTGACTTGGTTGACACATGTCATTGTATCCCAATTGCGTAGATCGATACTCATGCTGTTGATCACTGGATTGTCTGGTCCAGACCCGATTATTTACAGACCGCCGCCTTATAGCTGGAATATTGGTGAGTGCGGCGTAAAACAACAAACCAAACAAATTTCATGTGTTGTGCTGACGGACATTGTTTGTGCACTTCCTCAGGTTCATGCCAGCAAGACGGAGGCGTATCTGCAGGGAAAACCGCTGGGGGCGTCTTATATCCTCAAAAGTAATAGCCTATAGCCATGTAAAGTAGAAACCCTTAGTTTGAAGAAAAGCACCGATACATAATGCCACTTTACTATTATCACTCCATGTAACTGTGTTAAACATTAAATGAACATGAAAATTGAACACATGTCTACCGAAGACTGAAGTAAAGTGCTCCATATGCAGAATAAGTATTAAGTGTGAAGACACTTGTCCGGATCCACAAAGCGTTCGTAACGTTACGACCTGTCGTAACTCTACACATTATAAGCTTACGAATGTCGCAGCGCTACGAAGGCTTTGTGGATCTGGCCCAGGTGTGCAGTATATATTTTGTTGTTGTTGTTGTTGTTGTTTTGTTTTGCTTTCATGGATGACATTTTTTATTATTTGTAACGATGTTTTTGTCATCTTGATTCTTCATCAGATGAAATGTGAGTAAGTATTAATTTGATACCCATAAAGACTGTTTATGTCAATGCAAGGATAATGTGATCGTACGAACACATTAACATATGGAGGCAGCCGATGGGATCATAGAGAGAAAAAGAAAGTGAAAGTAAATGGATGGGTGTCGTATCAGATGGTTTTCTGCATGAAACCATGCTGCGTGACGGTATCACATTGAATCGGGCATTGTTTCAGGGGCACTGGTGCTTCTGTCGGAGGAGCTGGTCCCCGACAACACCCCTGGCTTGTCCAGTACAACCTACAGGAAGAACCTGGCCATCTCTCTGTTCTACAAGGTCAGTCAGTATCTGTTTTAAGGTTTACCTCAATGATCAGCCTCTTTATCTGATAAGGCAGCACAATCCGCCACAGTTTATGGATGAGAGTTGCGACCTTCTGCTGTATCAGGATCTGATGATTGTGAGCGTGAAACACACGCTAGATTGTTATAATCCATTTTATGTAACAAAACCTCAGTGTAATTTGTCCGAAAGAAGCTGATTCGTCAACAATCAAAGTAACGGTGGAAATAGGCACAACACCAGATACTCGCGAGTAGCATTGTTACCTCCCATTTTTGGTTCATGTCCTGCCTCATGTTGGTGGTTCCGGAAAACCCGTAATAACTACTCTAGGTTAGAGGTACACTAGTTCGTCGCAACAGGTGACTTACTGGATCAAGTGGTTAGGATCGCGCGTCACCCTACTCCAACAGCATGTCTTGCAATGCTATATTTTGTCATTCCAGACTGTTATTCGTAGGGGCGGTGGTCCTAGTAGTTAATCTGTTGTTTGCTCAACCAAGACCCGGGTTCGACGACCAACGAAGCCCATTTCTGGCATCGCCCGCCTTAACTTTGTTAAAAGCGGCGAAAAACAATACTCACTCTATAGTATTCAGAGACCGCCGTCATATCACGAGATTATTGCTGTACACCTTACTATCAATCCTTGTCCCTGAACAAAACTGAAAGTGATAGGAAATCCCACCTTATGCGGAGTTAAACTCGCCTTACTCACTCACTCACTCACTCATACATTTCAGTGCGTACTCGGCATGTGTGGTGAGAAAGCCGCCCCAACCTACCAGAGTGGCGCCACCAACTTGATGCGACCCGTGTCATCCGGCACTCAGACATATGGCAGTCGTAAAGGGGAATACCCCCTGACCGAGCCAATGACCAAGGTGGACGCGACCCTACAGGTAATTCGATTTGCCTTACACCTGCAAGGATTCCTACTTTGTAGCTTCTAATCCAGTATTATCGATTATGTTGTCAGTAACATGTGTTTTGTCGCTAATCCACCATATGCAGTAAATTTTCCCAGACACCACAGCCATGAACATCCGGGTTCAAATTGGTCTTCAGCAACCAATGCTTGTCGTAAGAGGCGACTGACGGGTTGTGGTGGTCAGGCTCGCTGACTAGGCTGACACGATATCGTATCCCATTTGCGTAGATCGACATTGGATTGTCTGGTCCTGACTTAAATATTTACAGACAGCCGTTGTATAGCTGGAATATTTCTGAGTGTGGCGTTTAACAACAAAGAGTAATGTAATGAAAAATACAAGAAAGAGAATTTGGATCTAATATACTTTGGCAAATTGTAATTATATCTAAGTAACACCCGTGAAGATCCAGGTCAGAACTGGTCTTTAGCAACCCATGCTTGTCGTAAGAGGCGACTAACGGGATCGAGTGGACAGATTCGCTGACTCTGTTGACACATGTCATCCTATTTCAATTGCGATGATCATGGTGTTGATCGCTGGATTGTCTGGTCCAGATTCTATTATTTACAGAACGGAATTTGCTGAGTGCGGCGTTAAACAACAATCAAACAAAACCAGAAACCCATGAACCAAACCAGGAATATTGCATAACCTAGGAGCAAACACCATTATAACAAGAACCCACGAATCCGTTGGTATATGACCAGATGGTGGCCACAAGAATACGTGCAAACACCTCGTTGCGGGTACAGCAACATGCAGTGAACTTGGACAAAGTACTGTGACTATGTGTCCCAGTCCACCCAGCTGTGAATGGGTACCTCGTTAGGATGAGAAAGCCACAATAACTCGGTGCGCCTAGTGGCTGCAAGAGTTGTATACTCCCCAGGGAGTTGAGATTGATAATACGATGTGCCGTTGAGATTGACATCCAATGATAGAGGGGAAAATACCAGCGCCTTGAGCATGCACTAGTTGCCTGGATATGTCCGCTATATAAATATCTTATAATAAAAATAATAATAATAACATGCAGGCTGGGTGCTATACAAATATTTTCTTTGTTACTAGAATTGCACAAGCCTGATATATATTCCTGCCAAGTAAGTGGCATGTCTTCTTTCAGACATCTGGACTTGCCCAGTACGTCAACGATGTCCCGCCTGTACAGCGTGAAGTGTGTGCATCATTCGTCATCAGCACCGTCGGTAATGCTGAAATCGACACCGTCGACACTTCTGCAGCTCTGGTAACTTAAACATGATCATTTTGATTGACGCCCCTTGATGTTAAGTAATTCCATGCCGTTTGGTTTACAATCAATCACGTGAGTACGTGACAGAACGTGACACAGCCGTGGCAGATCTCCCGAGATCTCACGCACCTGCTGAAACCATTTCTTGGGTCATGGGATGTCCAGTCGCCTGACTGTAAGACGGACTGTGCTGAGTTACGTCCCTTGGGCATGCCTGGAACCGATACACACGCACGTACGCACGTACACACGCACGCAAGCGCAAATGCACAGCCTCTGATACCTGCACGATCTTCCTAAAGCGTTTTTCGTGTTCTGCAAATCATCAATATTCCCATCCAACACACACATGGATAATACTGGGTAAAAGTGAGACTCAGGCTATATTACTTCGGTGCGTCGTTGTACGTCACTGTGCCTTACATATATGGTATATATTGCAGAGGCTACACAAAATACTAACTACTTATGTAACTAGGCAAGAATAGTATTACATGTACATAGGTATTGCAACTACGGCTCAAAATTCAAATGCACCTGAACCATCCCCAAACTGTTTAATTACTGAAAGAAGCATCTGAGAAATTATTATCATTATTATTCAAATGGAAAACTTTTGTAAGAAACCACATGGAGATTTTACGTGCTTATCATAATATGTACGCCTGTTTTTGTGTGCCCCATTACTCTAATTTACATTCCTACATATTTAGACGATTCTGAACGAAACCATTGATGAGTTACATTTGGAATCATGGAAGTCTGACTTGATATAGCATTCATTGCCACGGAACCAATATCGTTGTTGCAATCGACACACGCAGATCAAACGCATTAAACTAGCACTTTCAACCCTCAGCGCATCCGCATGGTTACAAACAACCAATTGTAATATCCCTGTTACATGTTACATCATAATAACGCATGTCGCTTTAGGGAAATTACAGCATCTCGAAACTTATAATTCCATCTCGATATGATGGGGAAAAGCCAACACTGTGAACATGACGTCATCTATGTTGTCATCAAATGTCACTTAATGATGTCAGCATAGCGTCAATACTATGTGAAAATAGTATCATAGTCCTGGAGGTTTAGTGACTAGCTTTATTTAGTCCAAATGGATAATACATAGATATGAATTCAATTTGATGTAAACCTTCTACACGTATGTCTATCCTCAGAGTTATCCTGGAGTTCTGAGATACATCTCTGCTTCTGACATACCCTCTGGAGGCCGGAACAGCTTCAGCCCAACAGTCTTCCTTGATGAAGAGGTACTGGCACATTTGCACTGTAACTGACAGATGACTCTTTTGGTCTTCCGTAACCCATGCTTGTCGTAAGAGGCGACGAACTGGAACGGGTGGTCAGGCTCGCTGACTTGGTTGACACATGTCATCGTATCCCATTAGCGTAGATCGATGATCATGCTGTTGATTAATGGATTGTTGACACCCACCTGAAAACAAGGAGTCATGATCGTACTTAGGACAAATGTTGTGTCGCTGTTACATGAACCCGTGAAGGTCTGGGTTAGAATTGGTCTTCAGCAACCCATGTTTGTCGTAAGAGGCGACTAACGGGATCGGGTGGTCAGACCCGCTGACTTGGTTGACACATGTCATCGTGTCCCAATTGCGTATATCGATGCTCATGGTGTTAATCACCTGATTGTCTGGACCAGACTCGATTATTTACAGATCACCGCTATATAGCTTGAATATTGCTGGGTGTGGCGTAAAACTAAACTCACTCACTCACTGAATAAAACATGATAATTTCTATTTGATTTTTAAACATCAATTAATATAATATATAAATGCCCGCGTGTAGTGACTATCTAGCGATGGCCTCAGTCAATCATGTTTTGACCCACTCAGGATGTGATGCTATTCATCAGCTACTTCTACACCCTTTATATTTTCCAATTTCTCAAATCATTGTATTTCGCCGTTTCTGGCCACCATCCTTCTATGTCTATTTAAATATGGAACAAGAACAAGAACAGGATGCCAGAAGTCACATGAAGTACATAATATACATGATTACAGTACATAATATGAGGTGTGTATGGGGTTGGGGTGGGGATGGGGTGACAACCATTTATTGGCATGAGTATATAACAGTTGTGCACAAGGATATGTGGGACAAATGTTGTGCTATCTACACATACAATTTATGATACATTCTTTTCGAAGATAACAACACTTTAATAAGTTTAACATTTTTGGTTGTTAGTAATTTATTAATTCTATTATGGATACATGTAATAGTACCTTGGGATGTATAGTTTTTTGCTTTCCTTTCTAAATGGACAAGCTGATCTGAGTACACAGTTTTACACTTTGTCTTTGTCCAGATCTTCTGCAGTGGCCGGGTTCTCTACAGCGGGCAGCCAATCGGTATCATCGTTGCATGTAGGAACACAATACCTCATCGTGATAATGATTTCATTTATGTTTGGACACATGACTTCCGGCAAAGGTGCCTTGTGGGTACTGTACAGAGTTACGTCCCTTAGCGGACCTCGATTTGTCAAAGCTGAGGGTTTCGTCAACGTGGAAAAGATTCAACCTACCAATACTATGACTGTACTGACATCCCCTATATTGTTGATTGCAGAACTACTTTTCTGAAGAGAAAATATACCTAACCCACTTAACAATCATGAGTCAAAGTCAGGTCCCTAATCTGACAAAATCAGTCGTTTAACCCACTCAGCCAACGACGGTTCCACACACATGGAAGGACAACTGGTAGTCTAGACGGCGGACTTTGTGTACCCCTCTGATAAATGTAAATTGGCTCGGCTCCCACGGCCGAAAGCTATGAATACGCAATGCCATTTAGAAAGTGATCAAATGCAACAATGTTATATGTGGGAATACACACACTCTCAGTAAAGTACAGATTCTAGTACTTTTTTGTTAATTTATAGTTTGGGTGAGCGTAATTTTACGGTTTATCGTAAAGTACTGAAAGAACCCATGTTCTTAAAAAAATGGTAATGTCTCGTTGTAGTTGACAAACTATCAGCTGACACAGCAGCCAGCATGGTGAAGGTTACCTACAAGAACGTCCAGCCTCCCATCATTACAATGGAAGATGCTATGCAGAAGAAGTCAGTATTTCCAAATGTTGTCAAAGGGATCAAAGTTGGTGATGCAGCAGGTAACACAGTTTTACGTCATGTTCATTCTGTTGTCAGCCATCAACTTATATATGCTTTCGAATACAAATTTATTAGACTAGCAATAGACCTTTGATGAATTGTTCACTTCCACACGTATGACAACGGAGACTAGACGACCAGCTACATTCACAAGATATGTTTTCAACCAGGTATTGTCAATACTATTGATCTGAAACTTACATGATACTATTCATGTAAAACCCTTGCCAGAATTAACAAGTTCACTTGCAGATCAGCATTGGTGGGATTTTTTGATCTAACATGAATCGAGTTGCAATACAATAAACTAGAATTATACTTACGGTCTGCGTAAGTACCAGTGAAATGTGAACTTTTTTTTACTCTGATTGTCTTGATACAAATTCAGTTCGATACACCCTGAATACTTGTCTGAGCTCTCTATATATTGGTTCTTGAACTATGCCTTTGCAGCTGCAATAGCGAGCTCAGACCAGAAAATCACCGGCCGGATCAAGATGGGGAGTCAGTACCACTTCCATCTGGAGACACATGTAAAAATCCCTGTTCAGTGTTACGCCGCACTCCAGCCTGTTCATGTAACCCTGATGAAACATTATGCTTGTCTGGCTTGTCTGGCCCATCTGATAGTTCAGATGCATTCTCTGAGACCATCACGCCTTTTCTCTGAGCTGTCGGCATGACAACTTCCCAGAGCTTGGTACTGATAACCTGTAGAATCTGGAAGTATCATAGGATAAGTATTATTTTTATACGTACAAATATAAACAGCTGCGTCTTCATTACTAATAAATCTCCCAAAGTACTCATTATCTAACTTTTTTTATTCATTGATTAAAACATATTCTACTCACAAATGTGAAAGGGATTGGGGACAAGTTATTCAACTTAAAACACCAGGTCACAAATGTGAAAGGGATTGATATAGTTATTCATTTTCAAATTACACTTAGGTCGCTGATATTTACATCGGCATTTTCAATAGTATACGTCTTAGGAAGGTACAGAGAGAAAGTATAAGAAAATTAAAGAGAGAAGAGAGGAAGGGACCCAACTTATGTGAACACTCAAAAACGGTTTGATTGATAAATTAAAAACAACATATATTCATTCTGTTGAACAGTACTATTAATATCTGAACTTCCAAGTAACATTAATGACAATGTGATTGGAGAGCCACCTTTTACAATATTTTTAAATTTAACATTAATGTCTCTTTGAGTGTTATACAGATTACATTCTAATAGGAAGAGATGTACATTTTCACACGCATTGCCACAGTAACAAGAAGCTCTTTCATGTTAAAAAGATACAGGTCGAAGGTCAAAGCTGACATAAATCATACATCCCAACTTTTTTCAGTATGGTTTATATACATTTTAAATACATCAGAGGTTGCAGTTTAGCATGTTATGTGTACATACTAGTATAGTATTCAGTATTCCAAAGAGGTGAATCATCTTTCTATTTACTGAACTAATTTGTTGAAGACAACATCAATACTTGAAATAGTAAAAATCAAAACAAATAGGTTTGTAGGTTGAACAGATTTACATACAATTTGCTGTTTGTTGTGATGAATTGTCATAAACGATATTTCTATAGATTTTTCTTAAATACTACATTTAAACTTAAATGTTTTATTTTAAAAATATGATTTTTTCATATCGACTCATAAGTAATAATATCCTCATTCCACAGGTGAGCATCTGCTACCCAGCAGAAGATGGAGTGGGTATGAATATTCTCTCATCAACACAGTGGACAGATATGGTCCAACAGGTGACATCCAAGCTCCTCACCATTCCTGAGAGCCGGTAATTGTTTGTGAAAGAACATCATTCGTGAGTTCACGTGTGTTGTAAACAGTGAATATCGAGTAAATGTAAACATTACCAAAGACGTTATGTTTAACGTCAATGCAATCCATCTTAGCTACCCTCAGAAACAAATTCCTCTGGGTTGGTTGGTTGGTTGTTTAACGCCGCACTCAGCAATATTCCAGCTATATGGTGCCGGTCTGTAAATACCCAAGACTGGACCAGACAATCCATTGATCAACAGCATGAGCATCGATCTACGCAATTGGGAACCGATGACATGTGTCAACCAAGTCAGCGATCCTGACCACCTGATCCCGTTAGTCGCCTTTTACGATAACCATGGATTACTGAATACTAATTTTAACCGGGATCATCACAGGTCACTTCAGCAATTACCTTTGGCAAAGCTCTCTATTCGTAACCGAGCGTTAGATTTTCGAAGTTCTCTTAACGCTAAGATAGTCGTAAGTGCCACAAGTTAACACGGGATACGATGACACGTGTCAACCAAGTCGGCGAGCCTGACCACCCAATCCCGTTAGTCGCCTCTTACGACAAGCATGGGCTACTAAAGACCAATTGTAACGGGGATCTTCACGGGTCCTTTGGGTATAAAAGGGAAGAGCAGATAATCTGAAGCACCCGCTATTAACAAATATGTATGAAACATAAGTACTTACACCACACGGCAGAACTACTGCCAAAATTTATATGTTTGAAAATATAATGATAATTACAGATAATTTGCAATTACAACTTTTGTGAAGAAAAGTCGATGTTTAAGTTTATAAAACGTTTGAGAAATATGCCAAAGTGCGTGTTAAAAGTATACATATTCTACACTGAAAATGTCCAAACGTGTAATTGTTCAACTCCTGTTTGATACTACTATCGAAAACAAGTTTTATTTATTTTGTGCTCAACTGATTATATCTGTGCTGTGAAGTACTGCTATTTTGGAGTTCAAACCAGATTTGTGAAATGGTCAATGCAATTTATATCAAAAGCAAACTATGGTGAATGGTTCAAGGAGTTAAATGTTTTCACTGTATATGTTTTTAATTTTCACTGGATATGCTGGGTTTACAACTGCCCACTGCATATGTTGTTTACAGTTTTCAACTGCATGTGTGTTTACAGTTTTTACTGCATGTGTGTTTAGTTTTCACTTCGTGTTTGCAGTTTTCATTACCTATGTTGTTTACAGTTTCCACTGCATGTGTGTTACAGTTTCCACTGTATGTGTGTTTAAAGTTTCCACTGCATGTATGTTTACAGTTTCCACTGCATGTGTGTTTATAGTTTCCACTGCATGTGTGTTACAGTTTCCACTGCATGTGTGTTTACAGTTTCCAATGCATGTGTGTTACAGTTTCTAATGCATGTGTGTTACAGTTTCCACTGCATGTGTGTTTATAGTTTCCACTGCATGTGTGTTACAGTTTCCACTGCATGTGTGTTACAGTTTCCACTGTATGTGTGTTTACAGTTTCCACAGCATGTGTGTTTACAGTTTCCACTGCATGTGTGGTTACAAGTTTTACACTCCTTCCCTTTATTTCAGCATAAACGTGACAGTCAGACGTCTAGGGGGATCATACGGATCCAAAATTACCCGCGCCGCCTTACCAGCTTGCGCTGCTTCCCTTGCGGCCCACATCTTGAGAAGGTACGTTGCCATAGAAACCTTTAGAATTACTACTCATGCAGTTCTACCTTACAAAACGTTTTCTTAAAACAAATGTCAAATATACTTTTCCCGCCTACACAAAGAAATTGAGTGTTAAGCCAATACAATCCAAAAATATCCACTTTAGGACAGGGGCGTTGGGGTAACCTAGTGGTTAAAGCGTCTGCTCGTCACGCCAAAGGCCCGGGTTCGATTTCCAATATGGGTACAGTGTGTGAAGAACATTCCTGTGTCCTCCGCCGTGATATTGCTGGAATATTATGGAATATTACTAAAAGTGGCGGAAAACACAAATCGCTGACAATGTTTAGATATTACTCGAAGTGTCCAAATCCATTTATTTATTTCAAACGCGTTACACAATGGACACTATTTTATATTCGATGGGAGCCTAAGGTAGCTAGCCTACTGGTTATTGCCTTCGTTTGTCGCGTCGAAAGCTCAGGTTTGTACCGCTAATGTATACAGTGGGTTAAGCCTATGTCTAGTGTACCCTCTGTGATACTGCTGGATTATAGCCAAAACGACGTAAAACAATACTCACTCCTGTTTCAGGCCTGTCCGTCTGGCGATGAACTTCCACACCAACATGAAGACTATAGGGAAACGTTTTCCCTATTTGGCGGATTATACAGTAAGAGTCATTCTTAACTTTGTTTTGGATATCTTAAATATAGCTCTGTTACCATCATGCTAATGCTGAAATACCCGTGAAGATTCGTGCTAGAACGCCTTCAGTTACATTTGATGTGCCATGTTATTACCACGGAATACCATTCAACGCTACCAATATTCTACTGAAATAGTATCGCCACACGATATATTCGAGCTTCATGGTGGCGGTCTGCAAATGAGCAAGTCACTATCACTAATCCAGTGATCAATATCATGAGCATCAATTTGTTCTTTAATTTGATGTATTTACGACGACATTGGAAGCGTTAAATATATTTAAATTTCAAAAACTCTAAGATGATACGCCGTCAAAAACGAAATGAATGGGTATGTGGTTTACTACTTTACGAATGCAACTGTTTCTTATCCAAATAACAATATTAACACACATTCTTCGTTTGGTTTGGTTTGTTGTTTAACGCCGCACTCAGATTGATAATACGATGTGCCGTTGAGATTGACATCCAGTGATCGAGGGGTAAAATATCAACGCATTGAGCATGCACTAGTTGCCTGGATATGTGCGCTATATAAATATCCTATAATAATATTAATAATAATAATAATGGCTTTCTTTTTGCTGCTCAGGACCAGTCACTTCCCACTCGCAATCGCGAAAATGTGATTCTTAAAGAAAATATTAACATGAAATGCCGACTGTGTAATGAATTTACAGAGACTGTCCAACACCTTGTCAGTGGATGCCCTTCTTTGGCACAAACAGCATATCTTAACCGACATGATGGCATGGCTCGTTGCTTCTACTACCGTCTCCGCCATGTCTGTGGCTTTGTCCATTCATGGTACGACCCTGAACATGTCCAGGGCATCATGGAATATGATGCTTTCAAACTTCTGTGGAATTGGCCCATATACAGCCTCAGAAGAATTCCTGCCAACAAACCTGATCTTGTCCTTTTTGATAAAGGCAATGAATTTATTTATATCATTGAATTTTCTGTCCCTTTTTGACAGTAACGTGATTGGCAAGACTCAGGAAAAGCATGATAAATATGCGGACCTCGCCTTTGAAATGTCTCGCTTGCATCCCAAGTACACTGCCGTCAGGCTCCCCATTGTTCTCCGTGCCCTTGGTTTGGTCCCTCCTGATCTCTTGGCGCAGATCAGGAGAGTGCCCGGGTTCTCCACCACGAGCACAGCCCTTTTGACACTCTGGGTAATGCAGAAGGCTGCAGTGTTGGGGAGCCTTCATATTCTCCGGAAAGTTCTTGGTGGGTTCGTCTAGGCAGTGTTTCCTGGGAGAAGTCCCATTCGCTGTCTGGGCTGCGTGTAGAGGGGATAAGGGCCCTGAGCTGATGATGAGCCTTACCAGCCTGACTGTGCCAGGATCACCCGAACCCTCTCTGCTGCAATTTCATCTTTAATCTGTAAAATATAATAATATATGACGGCGGATTATAGATAATCGAGTCTGGACCGGACAATCCAGACAAACAGTATGGACATTGATCTACGTAACTGGAATACGATGATATATGGCAACCAAGTCAGCGAGAGTGAACACCCGTTCCCGTTAGTCGCCTCTCACGTCAAACATGGGTTGCTGAAGACAAATTCAAACCCGGAACTTCACGGGTTCATAATAACCGCGACACATCATATGTCCCTAGTACTATCATAGGGGCGCTGGGGTAGCCTTGTGACTAAAGCTTTCGCTCGTCACGTAGAAGACCCTGGTTCGATCCCACATGAATACAATTTTCGAAGCCGATTTCTGGTGTCCCCCGCCGTGATATTGCTGGGATATTGCTAAAAGCGGCGTAAAACTAAACTCACTCACTCGCTCACCATACTATGATCACAACTCCCTGTTGTCAGGTGGGCGTCAACAACGACGGGAAACTGAACGGAATCCAGCTTACTGTGAACGCCGACTGTGGAATGTCCCCCAACGACAATGCTTTCATCGCATTCGGCCCATGCATGGACAACGGTGATAATTCAATCTGGTTTCGTACATTGATTCTTTCCTCCAAGGCAATACCCCTTGTAGCTTTTTATGCAAATTGTGTAGTAAACAGAGGGTGTTGCTGTTTTCCTTGATGAACACCTGGTGTCATCAATGATCAATCCACGTAAGTTTGTGGCTTTGGCGTTTAGTCTCTATTTCAATTTGAAATTTAAGTTTAATGTTTTGCCATTTTAACCAAATGGAATATTTTTTGTTATTCATTCACTGTGTGGGCCGTACATATTTATGTTTGCATAATTTCAATCGAGTTCACTTCAGTTCGAATAAATGATTGGTTGAAGTTGGTGTAACCATATTGCTTCTGATTCAGAGACAATACAAGGTCATTGTTAGTTGTGGTATTACTTGTTTCTTTTACCGAGGTGATGGGGTAGTCTAATGGTTATAAGCGTCCTCTCGTCACGCTGAAGGTCCGGGTTCGATTCCCCACGTGGGTAGAATATGTGAAACTCATTTATCCCCCGCGATATTTCTGGAATATTGCAAAAGCGGCGTAAAACCATACTCATTCACTACTTGTTTCTTTTCCCAGCCTACTATTGCCCAACGTGGGACTTCAAACCTGTTCTCCTGAAGACTAATCTACCGACTAACACCGCTACACGATCACCGGGTAAGATGAAGACTTGCAACCGATGCAACTGTTTACATGTTTATAATTTCATCGAATAATGAGATTCATTTACCAACAGGGTCGTGCCCCGCTAACTTCATCATGGAGTCGATGATGGAACACGTGGCCAAAGTCCTGAACAAGGATCCGCTGGAGTTTAGGAAAATAAACCTGTTCAACAAAGGACAAGTGAGCAACATTAGACAAGATTCATTCATGCTTTGTTTCATCACATACACGATCTTGTAGCATCAGAAACCCATGCTTGTCCCAAGAGGCGACCAACGAGAACAAGTAGTCAGGCTCGCTGACACCAGAAATGGGCTTCACATTATCGTATCCACGTTATAATTATAAAGATTTTCAAGGAAATTTACAAATTCGAACCCGGGTCTTCAACGTGACGAGGGAACGCTTTAACCATATGGCTTCCCCACCGCCCCTATGATCGTACTAGGGACATATGTTTTGTCGCGGTTATATGAACCCGTGAAGATCCGGGTTAGAATTTGTAAACTTCCTTGAAAATCTTTATAATTCAATTACATTCTTCCTTGACCCGTGAAGATCCGGGTTAGAATTGATCTTCAGTAACCCATGCTTGTCGTAAGAGGCGACTAACGGGAACGGGTGTTCACTCTCGCTGACTTGGTTGACATATGTCGTTGGTTCCTAATTGCGTAGATCGATGGTCATGCTGTCAATGCCTTGATTGTTAGTTTAGCTGTAAACATATGTCATCTCTAGCCATCATGGGCAACGACAACGGCGTTCCTCAAATGATGCCACTGCGGTAGCATAATATTTTTACCAAGGCAATTGTGAATATAAACAAACGGGCAAAAGAAACGATACCAAGTGGAAATCACTGATAATACAAAACGACAAACCACCATTGTGAAAAAGGAAAGTGAATTTTAATAACAGGTGTACGGGCAGTGATTTCGACTTGGTATCGTTCTTTTGCCCGTTAATTTACTTGAAATAACGACAAATTAATCGAAGTAGCCCGACAATACTCGACAATACTTAAATTTATCTCAGTAACGAGTAAAAACGATATTTTAAAGGCATAATGGAATAACGAGAAAATCATGGAAATTATAAAAATATATTCGAAGAGATAAAAACTCGACAATTTGACAGGCTAGCCAAATTATTATCTGACATTATGTGTGTTTTTCAGACAACCGCCGGTGGAATGGTTCTGAAATATTGCAACATCAAAGAGATGGTGGCTCAGCTGGAGACGTCAGCTGATGTCCAGAACAGAAAACAACAGATCGCAGCTTTCAACCAGGTACCATCATGTCTAGCAATGGAACTCGACGTGTATTCTTAAGCTGCAACCTTAGACCTGTTTTAGCGCACCCGCTTGTGATGTCATGATGTACCCGCATGACCAGAGAAGCTACAAATAGATTTTCAAATACATTTTGAAGAGAATTCACCTGCAGGTAAAAAAAGCCAATTAAGAAGTAGTGCTTAGGTGTTTGCATTTACGTGTACAAAAAAATAGAGCATAAAGCAATAAAGGGGCATATGGGTATTTTTAAGTTTATTGCCGAGCTTTAGAAAGAAAACACACGAGAAATGGATTTCACCAAACGTTTCAAACGTTATCAAAACACTGCAAACTTAACTATGACATCAGTGTATAGCAAATATACCCTCTTCAAAGCAAGAAACGCATAGGCTAGGCGTTTCCACCAGTTCATTTCGATATATTTTGACAGCAATCGTCATTAAGACAATTCCGCAGTTTCAATCCCGTTAATCATGTTTTAGTGGTAAACAATGAAAACGATACATCAAAAGTGCATGCAGAAAAGGATTGCCCCGTAATGCACGTGCTATGTGTCGGACACATGAGTAGAGATATGGACTATAAAAAGACCAAGCCAAATTCGTCATTTCATTACGAAATTTACGACCGAAAATGCCAAAATTGAATGCTATTGACCGAAATATCGCCATTGGGCGTTTGGAAGCAGGGTGTTCCAGTCTGCCGTAGCAAGACACTTCGACATCCACCACAGCACCATATCTCGATTATGACATCGATGTACCCGCTTCAATTCGACCCAAGATCGTCCCAAAAGTGGAAGACCTGCTCAGGACTGATGTTTCGCCTACGTCACCGATTTGCTACAGGAAGGAGGACAACAATCAGAGAGTGGGAATTCGAGAACATCGACCAAACGTTGGACCTGTCCTGACACGACTACACCGCAACGACGTGTCCAAAGGTGCAACAGGCTACAGGCATGGGACCTTGGGAACGCATGGAACGCGTTTGGTTCAGCGATGAATCACATTTCCTCTTGCAACGACGGCATGGGAGACAACGTGTCTATCGACGTCCACACGAACGTTTTGCGCCGAACTCCGTTCAACAGGTGGACAGATTTGGTGGAGAAAGATTTGGCGGTGATAGGAACCATGTCCTAAAATGATAGATAAGAGCGAGTTGATGGTTCAAGGTAATCTTACAACAAATCGTTACATCGACCACACTCTGTGACCTCACCTCCTCCCACTTTTTAACCGCCAGAAGGAGTTGTTTGAACACAACTCACGTCCCCACATGGCTTGTATAACAGGTGCCTGTCTCGCCAATGCAAACGTCTATGTCCTTCCCTGGCCTTCCAAATCGCCTGATCTGAACCCGATCGAGCATCAATAGGATGAACTTGATCGGCGCGTCTGTAAACGTCACCGTCGTCCTGAGACACTTGAAGAACATGCCAACGCGTTGCAGGAGGAATAGCGAAGTAAATATCCGACAACTTGTGCAATCCCTTACAGTGCGGTGTCGAGCGGTGACAGCTGCAATAGGTGGTGTCACCAGGTACTGACCTGAACACCCCTTGTGTCCACACATGTGCAGTGAGTGAACTGACTTAATGCTGACAATGACAACAATACATATGTTCATCCGTGTGTCGAATTCCCCTCATCTATGTTCCAGCTCTATCGACTTATGTACACTTAAATACGTTTAATACATTTCCTTAATTTTGGCCTATGCGTTTATTTTTTTGAAGAGTGTATGACCATTTCCTTTCGGTATCAGTTTTATCTACCATGTCTGCATATTGCTCGGAAATATGTTTGCAATTGGAAATACATTTGTAGTCCTTAATGGTATTCATTTAATTTAGATAAAGGACCTGCGAAGATCTAGATAAGAACTCATCTTCAACCGACCTTGAATATAGTTATCGGTGAATAACGAGATCGTCAGCCTTAGACGATGCATGTCATGGTATTCCAAATGCGTTGATCGATGCTCATGATGTCAATCACTGGTGTACGTGGATCTGACTCGATTATATAACAAGCATAATCCCATAGGTCGGAAATTACCCAGTGTTGCTTTTGTAGCAGGCGGTGGAGTCACCCCACAGATTATCATATATCCCACATCCTTACCTTAGTTTGCTGAGGTGGTTAACCTGTTTGGACATTGGACAAGGCATCTGTCTTCGGATCAGAGGTTCCGTTGTTCGAATCCCAGCACGGGACTCGGATAGTTTATGGCGGCTACACTTTAAACAACAAACAAAACAAATCAGAACATAAAAGTGACGATCCCAGTTCGTCTTTATACAATAAAAAAGAAAACAGTTCATTCCGTGTCTACCAGACCAATACCTGTACCGAGTAAATATTCCAATAATTAGTCGTCAGTACTCCTCAGAAATAAGGGTCACAATTATATCCTTGCGGGGAGTAGAACCGAAACCTTGGGGGTCTCACGTTGCCACTTATGTCATATTTGTACTCAGGCCAACAGATGGAAGAAGAAGGGCATTTCAGTTGTGCCTCTCCGCTTTGACCTACCCATCACCAACCTCAACTACAGCGTCTTCGTGACCATCTACCACGGGGATGGCTCCGTCGCAATATCGATCGGTGGCGTTGAGAACGGTCAGGGAATCTTCACAAAGGTTGGTGTAGATTTATACGTACATGTACAATAAGTACTTGTTGCTGTTGATATAAATACTTGTTTAGAACAATACTGATATAAGTTCAGATCAATATTCCTTTCTTGGAAATCCTCTAATGGAAAATGTTGATAGGTATTCAACAAGGAGATGTCAAGGTGAGGTGAAATTGGGTTTAACGTCGTGCTTGAGAATATCTCGCTGATATGACGACGTGCATGCGTGTGTATGTGTGCGGCTGCTTGTACTATCCCAGACCAAAGCTGGTTTTATAGTGCTAGCCCACTGAGATACCATGCCGCAGTGAAGCATGAATACCCCACTCAGACACATTATACTGACTCCGAGCCGACCAGTCCTTGTTGTACCCATTAATGCCGAGCGCCAGGCAGGGACGAACAAGTACCACATTTTAACGTCTTTTGGTATGACGCGGTCGGGGATCGAACCCGCGATCTTCCGCTCTCCGTGCGGACGCTCTAACCACCTACACCACGGAGGCGGTCCCTTATGTCTCAAGGCCATCAAAAAGAACCCCATTACAAAAACATTAACCATGTTTTAGAGATGATGTCAACAGAAAATATGAGAAAATAATAATTTTTATGGGATATGTTATTGTTTGTTCCTACATAGCAATTCTTTTAGAACCTGTTTGTCCGTCTGAAATAGTTTCGCTTATCCGTTCAGATGTTTGTTGAAGAATTAAAGGTGAGAGGTCAGACATGTTCAGTTCCCGTAAGTAATAACTGACTAATTGCTAAAGGCACCGATAGTAGTAATAGGTAGTCTCAATAGAAACGTATTCAGTTTCACAATTCTTTCCATAAAGCGTTTTACTTTTGAAATGATTATTCTTAATTATGCAAAGACACCTTTGAACCATTTCCTGTGTCTGGGATGTGTTTTACTGAAATGTTTTAAGGGACTTTGAGAGTAATCCCAAATAAGGAACCTTTTTCAGATTCAGATTCTACTCGTTGTGAGGTGATGGGGTAGCCTAGTGGTTAAGGTGTTCGATCGTCACGCCGAAGATCCGGGTTCGATTCCCCACATAGGTACAATGTGTGAAGCCCATTTCTGGTGTCCCTCGCCGTGATATTGCTGGAATATTGCTAAAAGCGGCGTAAAACTAAACTCACTCACTCCCTACTCGGGAGTGTGTTAATACATCCCTCATCCTATTTTGCACCAGGTGATGCAAGTCTGTGCCTATGAGCTTGGTATTCCAATGGACACCATCACCGTAAAGCCGACGTCAAGTTTTGTCGACGCTAACTCATTTACAACTGGTGGCAGCGTCACTAGCGAGGTCAATGCATTGGTAAGTCGCTGGTGAATTTCTTTTGTTCATAACTTTGACGCCATTGAAAGGGACGCCGACTTGTGACGTACCCTTTGTAAAATCACTGCTTGATAGTGACTCATAACACATGCTTATGATATAGCCAGAATCGTACAATAGCAGATGTTTTTTATGGGGGTGGAAAGGGTTTCGGCGCCTCTGTTAACTACCCTTAACTACTTATCAATTTTCCTTTAAAGGGGACCCTGCAGTGCTGTCAACAGTTAAAGGCACGGATGGCCCCGGTCAAAGCCCAGATGTCCAACCCTACCTGGCTCCAGCTGGTCAGCAAGTGCTTCAGCAAAGGAATGGACCTGACAGCGCAAAGCCTGTAATGTTCACACTAAACTTGCTGTTCCTTCAGGGATGGGGGAGAAGGCTAGATGTAACTAAAAGTACTGTTGGAAATAGAAAAAAAATGTTTTTTCGCATTGATATCTACAATTTATGTAGTTAATATGTGTAAGTGTGAAATATCTGTTAAACTAAGTTCGGCCTAACTACAGTCTCAGTGGTAGGGAGGTAGGAAACGTAGAAAAAGGACTTTACTGGGGAGAGAATAGTGCAGAAATGAGAGATGCAGTGATTTTCTAAGTCCAAAACGACTTATTTGGAACAGGCCATGGCTTTATGCAAATTAGTGTGCAATGATATTATATTACAAAGGACAATTTTTAAATGTCCACTTTGAAATTAAACTAGCTTCATTATAAACGATAGCTGACGTCAAAAAAATAATAACTTTAATACTGAAACTATGAAGGATGTAGCTGCCATGGAGTCTCACTATCACTATAAAAAGAAACAGGTAGGAGGGGTCATCTCAAAAGCAAAACCATGACGGCTGTCGCAGACGGTGGTTGGGGTCGGGCTGGGGATATAGATTTAAGCTGAGATACGATAATCCTTTAGGGGAATTAAATTGGGAAGCAAACGGCATGTCATAACAATTTACAAAATATATCCAGTCCTGTCGATCTTCGGGTGGTCATGCTACCGTTATATTTTGAGACATTTAATACGATGACTGATTTAAGCTTTTCCATTGGTATCATACCCTTTTACGTATCTCAACATAAACTTAATGATCAATAGATGAGACATATTCAACACACATGAAAAAGGATAAAATATCTTTGAGATGACCCCTTGTGCATGTAGGCAGGACGTGCATTGCATGCCAGGTGAGTCGACGGTCCGTCGTCATACCTGGCTGAGCGGACTAATTGCCATCTATAGTCTGATCTATTGTTTTGAGCAGCTATTCGTATTTATTCTAAGTTTTGCCCGATTTTACGAGTAAACATGCTTTTCTTGATATACTATTACGCATCCCACTGAATACCCAGTAAGGCCGATGTGGGTTATTTCGATATATCATATTTGTAAATTTTTCAATTTTAGGGATACAGAGTAACAGCCTAAAAACAGTTTCTTTCTATTTCCGACAGTACTTTTTAGGTCTTTACTGCTTTGTATCTTCACCCTGATAATCAGCAGGTATAACAAAACTGTTTGTGCGGAGGGTGACATTAGGTATGGGTTGTAAGCAGTAGGTCAGATGAAGTCACTATTAGCAGCTACGTGATGTATCAATGCGCCACTGTGGTCATATGAAGTGACTAAATATACGTCGATTTAAGACGGTGCGAGTATTTAAGGTGTCTAACACATAACTGCACTTGTTCATCTCCTATACCCTTAGAACCTGTTCTGTCGCCAATGGCTGAAGGGATGGTGTAAATCCAGCTAGGGTCCATGCAGGTAGCAAAAGTAATATAAGTCCCCGTGGTTCCTAGTATGGTGATCTATTGCCTATTTTTATATTGTGATGTCCCCTAAAGTTAAGATGTTTTAGATTTAATTACTAGTTTTACATGTATATCTGTGATATTCTAGTTGTTTTACTGTCATTCGTCGGCAGGTATTTATAATCTCTGTATATATATTCTATTTAAATGTCAAATGTTCTCGTCACGATATGGCTGAAATATTGCCGATGTGACGTTAAATATTAACTCACTCACTCACTCACTTAGAACCTGTCGTGCTGAATGTTAATTGTTGGATACGTTTTGAAACACTCGTAAAATAACTGTATCTAAAAGACACTCGTTTAGTAAGTTCCCTGTATCCTAAAATATATCTTTCAGCACTAATCCAACAGGCGATAGTAGTAAGTACAACGTATACGGTGCAGCCTGTACGGAGGTCGAGATGGACGTTCTGACCGGCGAGAACCAGATCAACAGGGTGGACATCTTATATGACTGTGGAGACAGGTGAGACCAACAGAGTGGCCCTACTCTATGACTGTGGAGAGAGGTAAGACCGACACACTGGACCTACTGTATGACTGTGGAGAGAGGTAAGACCAACAGAGTGGACCTACTGTATGACCGTGGAGAGAGGTAAGACCAACAGCGTGAACATCCTGTATGACTGTGGAGAGAGGTAAGAACAACAGAGTGGACCTACTGTATGACTGTGGAGAGAGGTAAGACCAACAGGGTGGACCTACTGTATGACTGTGGAGAGAGGTAAGACCAACAGAGTGGACCTACTGTATGACTGTGGAGAGAGGTAAGACCAACAGAGTGGACCTACTGTATGACTGTGGAGAGAGGTAAGACCAACAGAGTGGACCTACTGTATGACTGTGGAGAGAGGTAAGACCAACAGAGTGGACCTACTGTATGACTGTGGAGAGAGGTAAGACCAACAGAGTGGACCTACTGTATGACCGTGGAGAGAGTTAAGACCAACAGAGTGGACATCCTGTATGACTGTGGAGAGAGGTAAGACCAACAGAGTGGACCTACTGTATGACTGTGGGGAGAGGTAAGACCAACAGAGTGGACCTACTGTATGACTGTGGAGAGAGGTAAGACCAACAGAGTGGACCTACTGTATGACCGTGGAGAGAGTTAAGACCAACAGAGTGGACATCCTGTATGACTGTGTAGAGAGGTAAGATCAACAGAGTGGACCTACTGTATGACTGTGGAGAGAGGTAAGACCAACAGAGTGGACCTACTGTATGACTGTGGAGAGAGGTAAGACCAACAGAGTGGACCTATTGTATGACTGTGGAGAGAGGTAAGACCAACAGAGTGGACCTATTGTATGACTGTGGAGAGAGGTAAGACCAACAGAGTGGACATAGTGTATGACTGTGGAGAGAGGTAAGACCAACAGAGTGGACATAGTGTATGACTGTGGAGAGAGGTAAGACCAACAGAGTGGACATCATGGGTGGGCTTCTTGTACTAGCCCAGACTGAAGCTGGTTGTAATAGATACCATGCCGCAGTGAAGCAAGAATACCCCACTCAGACACATTCTACTGACTCCGAGCCGACCAGTCCTTGTTGTACCCATTAATGCCGAGCGCCAGGCAGGGACCAACAAGTACCATATTTTAACGTCTTTTGGTATGACGCGGTCGGGGATCGAACCCGCGACCTTCCGCTCTCCGGGCGGACGCTCTAACAGCTACCACACGGAGGCGGTCTCCACCTGGTTGAAATAGTGCATAGAATGTCCCTCCATTGTTCATTTTGCACAGAATTGTACGATGTCAAATCTTTGATTGACAACAGTCATGTGATATGCTCTTTCTTCACCATTGTACCCATCCTTGATGTAACTAACTATATGTATAACAGATAAATAGCACATTTTTATTTTGACCATCTAATCGTGAGTGACACCAATAGACATTAGTTAGAGGCTGCGGTTGTACAAAGGTTTAGTGTGAGTTTTGTGAGTCAACAACATCTTACTATATTCAGTATGAATCCTGAGATTGACGTTGGACAAGCAGAAGGAGCCTTTGTGATGGGCCTGGGATACTGGCTGACCGAACAGATGATCTATGACCCTACGACTGGTACCGCCCTGACTGATGGAACATGGGTACATATCTTCGACTGTCCATACCTTTTCAGTTTTTCCCATATTCCGGCTGCTCTGAATTTTCATTCCAACTTGAAAACTTAACAACTCTCTTATCACAATTGTCCCCACAGGTCTGAAGATCTATGCTCTGATTGAAACATATCGCATTCATTCAAGAAAAGGATTGTGCACAAGTTGTCCAGCTTAGGAAGGGCGGTGGGGTAGCCTAGTGGTTAAAGCGTTCGCTCGTCACGCCGAAGACCCAGGTTCGATTCCCCACATGGTACAATGTGTGAAGCCCATTTCTGGTATCCCCCGCCGTGATATTGCTGGAATATTGCTTAAAGCGGCGTAAAACTAAACTCACTCACTCACTCACTCCAACTTAGGAAAGCCCTCTCCCTGAAAAAATACTCTTTCCTCTGGACGTTCATGCAAAGTCAGCTTGGTTTTCCTTCATCAACATTTTCCAGAACATTCTTTCAGAGGCAAAGCGAGTAGATCTACATCGCAATTTAAAGACCACTCTCAAGTGTAAAGTTAAACATCCACTGAACAATTTACACAATTATTGGAAAACATTATTTTTTATATTTGGCCCGCTTGTTCTCTTTGTTGGGAGATCATGGTATTTAACCTGACTGTACATATGTCTCTATATATACTCATGTCAATAAAAAAATGGTTGTCACCCCTCCCCACCCCCAACCCACCCACACCCACACCCACACCCCACCCTATCCAATAATAAAACTGAAGGGGTGACAACCATTATTGGCAAGAGTATAATTCAAGTGTTCGTCCAATATTAGCACCGATTTTAGCACTCCTCTTTTCTGGAACCTATGTTCGGCTCACAAAGACTCTTTAACAGCTTTGTCAACGTAGAGTATCGTGATCGTCTGATAATGACACTTGATTGAGTTCTGAGTATCTGTTCATGTTAAATGTTATCATGCAAGTTAATAGGGTATAGGAGTCTAAGAATGATTGTGAACCGAATTCCAATTCCAACACCAGCAAAAATATATAATTGTGTTTCTCGTCACATTAGAATGCCAGTGTTACAATATTGCTCAAATCATATGCTACGAATTACATGCAATTTTCTGTCTGTACAGGAATACAAACCTCCAATGGGCAAAGACATCCCTATCGACTTCCGTATCCAGTTCCTGAAGAATGCACCCAACCCACGTGGAGTTTTAAGGTCGAAAGGTAATTGCAGCTCCTGTTTAGCGAGTGGTATACAAATGCATAATGTGCAAAAACGTGAAATCGTGAATAGTGTGAACTGTGTTGTCTCAATAAATCGGGGACGGTGGGGTAGCCTAGTGGTTAAAGCGTTGGCTCGTCACGCCGAAGACCCGGGTTCGAATCCCCACATGGGCACAATGTGTGAAGCCCATTTCTGGTGTCCCCCGCCGTGATGTTGCTGGAATATTGCTAAAAGCGGCGTAAAACCAGACTCAGTCAGTCAGTCAGTAAAGCGATCGCTCGTCACGCCGAAGACCCGGGTTCGATTCCCCACATGGGTATAATGTGTGAAGCCCATTCCTGGTGTCCCCCGCCAGGATATTGCTGAAATATTGCTATAAGCGGCGTAAAACTAAACTCACTCACTCAGTCACTCAATAAATGGTCTATGTTATCTTTCAGCTGTTGGCGAGCCGCCACTGTGTATGGCTGCGTCAGCGTTGTTTGCCGTGAAGCACGCCATCGAGGCTGCCAGAAAGGATATTTCTAAGGACACGTTCTTTCCTCTCGGTATGACTGTCAATCTGACTACTGACACAACTGCATACATATGAAATTAAAAACATAAAATGTTCTGAGTGAGAGTAGCACCTTTATACTGAGGCTTAAATGAAGGAAAGATATGCTTCTACAGTATTCATGTTCCATGTAAAAGATATTAGTAGACACTTAAAAGGTCCTAAGATATTTTGTTACATTGAGTTATATGATTGTCATCTTGATTTAGATCCACTGAATGACCTATGAAAATATACTTTTCATAGAAAAGTGGCACAAGAAACATTTAATATATCTCCAGCCGGAGGTACGAGGATCTAGTCGTCTGAGGACCTGCAACTCGTTATACAGAGTTGCGCCCCTTTGGCGAGCCAGGAACCTATGATCGTGGGATCGAAACCCAGTTCGCCTCCATTTTGTTTCTGTTTGTAAAGCTGAATATCTAAACTCGATGCTGCTTTACTTTTTCCCTTTCTCCCATGTCACCTGACACGAATATGTAATATAATGTCAACTGCAATTTCTCTCGTATTTCTAAAAAGGGGAAATTATCGACTGGCGTTACATCGATATATTGACAAGATACTCCTAATTAGACAGCAGAAAGTATACCTGAAAAGATGTGTTATCGGGAAGGAACAGTGTTGGGATGAAATAAAAGATTTGCTGCTGTTGATATGTGCAACAGTGTTAGTAGCAGACTATGATAATATAAAATTATTCGTATATTTCAGACGGCCCAGCAACGGTGGAGATGATACAAACAGGGTGTCAAGTTGACAGCAGCCTTCTGGTATATGGACATTAGATCACAAACTATAGGATTACGATCAGACAGTCATCATATAACGATCAGACAGTCATCATATAACGATCAGACAACTGCATGATAACGCCAAGAGAGCAAGAGGATAACGTCCAGACAGCTATATACCAGACAACTATCATGAAACTATGTGATAACGATCAGACAGTCGCCAGTTATAAAAAAATAGTGCGTTTGGCTCAAAAGCGGACCGATGAATTGCAATCTAACTCGAAAACTAATAAACATAACATACACAATGAAACACTGATCATAATCAAAACATCATACCCACTCTGTGAAGTTTTTGCAGACTTTTTGTCCTAAAAATAAAAAAGTTGTTTAACAAACTATCATTAAAATATTGACACAGTTCACTATTTGTTACGAGGGAGGAGTGCAGAGAAAGGGACAGCCAGGTGTTCGAGAACGGATGGAGACGGCACAGCACAGGTTAATAAATAAATAACTTTGTCTGTGAACGTGCTTCTCGAACACCTGGCTCTCCCTTTTGAGCCAAACGGACTATAACTATCAGACAGCCATATGATAACAATCAGACAGCTATGGGATAACAATCAAACAGCCGGTGGATAATGATCAGCCGGGAAATGATGATTAACAACTGCCTGTTGCATCGAATTTAATTGAACTGACTTCAATCAACCGATGTCCCCAACTTGCAAATTATGAGAAATCTTGTGTATACTTTGAAGAAAATCAGCTTATGACCTTATGTTTCTACACAGATTTAGTGATACTTGACATGTCCATTTCTCAATGTTTCTCTTTAACTTTGTTTTCAAATTAGACATTGTCAAGATTATTTACACATTTTGAAATGCATGTTATATACACTTTTGAAATTTGAACAGATTTGTTTGCATAATTTACAATTAAACATGACAAAATACTATGGTTTTGGTCAATTGTTATGTATTTTACAGAATCAACTCATTTTTTTAATCTACGAGTAGTCATGCTTGGAATAGGCCCATGCTTATCGAACATACACCCATTGTGAGGATGTCTGAATCATCCTCTTCACTACTTCAGCAACAACTGTGTATGGCTCTGTCACAGTACACTTCATATGAAAGACGTCAATACGTGCATAGTGTGAACAACACGTGTCCGTTTAAGAATTAACTGCATCATGACTTCATGCAGTAAAGTTTTCCTCAACACATAATACCGAAGTACTTGTCAGAAGCAAATATTGTAGTGGGCGTCCACTCACTGACTCACTCACACACCCACCCACTCACTCACTCACTCACTCACTCACTCTAATGTATCCAGTGTGTATACATTTTTAACCTAACGTATTGACTCAATCTTTAGGGTTGTGTCGCACGATAACATCGAGATATAATTTTGATAAAGGGTTTTGGTATATATTACTGGAAATGCGTCGAGTGGACAACCACGCCACTTCAACTACCATCTCATATCTCGTACCAGATGAGATACTGCAGATGTACATGAACACCGTGCTCTACTGCACGGGCTTGCTGTTATCGGGACCAGGTCCTCCCAATGGCTCAATTTTTTCAGAATTTCGAACATCGTTTTTTGCTAGGATTTTGCTTGAATTTTGTTTCAATTCAATTTTTTCAGAATTTCGAACATCGTTTTATGCTAGAATTTTGATTGAATTTAAGCAAAATTCAAGCAAAATTCTAGCAAAAAAACGATGTTCGAAATTCTGAAAATATTGAGCCCATTGGGAGAACCTGGTCCCGTACCCCCATTGTGTATACTACTACTGTTGTTTCTCTGACGTTAACGTGTCACATTAAATAATAGTGTGTCCTGGAAAACTGTACTTAAATTGCTCTCCGTGCTGACAAGTGAAACGCAGGTCCGGGAGAATTCTTAGTTTACCTCCAGAAATTATCAGTTAAGGGAGGAGTCGACAAAATGCATGTTTCATATCAGTAAAGACAGTTTGGCTGCATTTGACACAGGTATGCGGGATGTATGGTGATATTTGCGTATGCCCGGCTCGTAACCAGAAAAATAGTGTAAGCACAAATGATGAAACATTTTGAAATCGGAGAATATACCACATCAAAAAGTAAAACATTTTCTGAACACATGTTAAAGTTAAGGCAAACAATAACATGGTAAAACATACAAACCATAAACATTAACTCTAAACTAGTGGATCAAACTCAAGTAAATATTGTATATAGTTAAGTACTATAACAACTTACAGAAGACTCGAAAAATCGGTAGATGAAACACTTCCACTTCAAAACATAAGGTGGATCTCAGGAGGACTGAGAGGATTCAACAAACTATCAAAGCTGAAGTACGTATTGAACTGTCTGTTAACAGGCAGAGCGTATGCGTACAGGCAGATAAATACGTATTGAACTGTCTGTTAAAAGGCAGAACGTATGCCTTCAGACAGATGAACGAGCTATGTTAACATCATGCCTTCAGACAGATGAAGTACGTATTGAGCTGTCTGTTAACAGGCAGAACGTATGCCTTCAGACAGATGAAGTACGTATTGAACTGTCTGTTAACAGGCAGAACGTATACCTACAGGTTGGTGAAGTACGTATTGAGCTGTCTGTTAACAGGCAGAACGCATACCTACAGGTTGGTGAAGTACGTATTGAGCTGTCTGTTAACAGACAGAACGTGTGCCTACGGGTAAAGGTACGTGTTGTGATCTCTGTTAACAGGCAGAACGTGTGCCTACGGGTAAAGGTACGGGTTGTTGCTGTTTGTCAAGACGCAAATGTATGCAGACATATAGAGGAAATATGTGTTGTTTTATCTGACTTTTAATATACACAGTTCAGTACAGATGTCATCTTGACCTCCTCCACATATGCGAACGTGCATTTAAGTTTGGATGTACTGTACACAGATAAAGATTCATAAAAAAGCACATACCTGTCAGGTGAACATGACTCAACTGTGCATAGACGTTCCAGGTACAAGTAATGTTATCAGCGGAGCAGCGGTAGCAGTCGAAGCAGACATGTCGACAAAGACGGTGGGGAACTTTGTGCAGTGCCCAGTGTGCAGGGCGAGGTAACAGATTGAGACATATCCTGTAGACATAGAGTAATGACTTTCTGGATGCATATACAAGAGCTTTAAGCTTATAAGAACAGACATTTAGAAAACCATCAAGGAACATGCCTCTTTTGGCTGGTTGGTAGACAGTAAATCAGTGTTTTAACCTGTACATCAGAGTTTGAAACAAAGTTCTTGTTATTTTTGTTGTTGTGTGTCCTTAGGACGAATGAATTTATCGGATTTTCAGTTGCACCTAGATGTAATGTAACGTTGCTCACGATATCGATCACTAGATTCTCTTTTGCGCATTAGATTAAACGGTGAAATAATAATAATATTGTCTTCATGTACAGCCACGCCCCCACCAATGGAGCACTGAAGGATGGTGTGTACGCTGGTACCTGTGAAAACTGTGGTCACTTCTTCAAGTTCAAGGCGACAGGTTTTCTCAAGTCCTCTGTCACGTTCACCATAAATGGGACTTCCTACACAGGTATTAGAAATGACATTGCCCGGTCACATTTAAACAATTCTGTAATGAACATAACAAATTAGTGTCATTTGATTTATAAATATATATATATTCTTCAGAAAAAGCCATTGGGAAGGTCGATTGGGGATATACAATGAACTGAAATAAAAAAGCAGACAAATATGTAAAACACTAGGCCCTGTTCATTCGGAAAATGAGGTCTAGTCCTCTAAGGTTTTGTTAGCTCCATTTCCCTACCATAAAACAGAAAGAACCAGAAACTGCCCGGCGTGTTTCCGCTAGTAAGTGCTTGGAGTAATATGTTGAACTGCCTGAGTTCTTGCTTCCATCACCCATCTCCCAGAGGTATATCTATTTGCAAGACGGCAACAACCCAGTCTACCTTGTATTTTTTTCCCTTCATTCGGTTGTGCCCAAGATCTAAGTCTGACTGCCGTTGGTGATCACTGAGATACAGTGATTGACTGCAAGACGGTATCAACCCAGTCTCCCTTGTATTTCTTTTCCTTCATTCGTTTGTGCCCAAGACCTAAGTCTGACTGAGATACAGTGATTGACTCTCTCCATCAGAATCAGCTCCTGGTGCTATATTGATGACACCTTAGCTACGAACGTCGTCTCCACTTCCCGCTAGTAGATAAACTACTGTCTAAAAAATCATTCCCCTTGAACGCGTCCAGACCGCGTGTGAAACGAGACTCACGCGCGTGTAATATACGTGTAACACGGACCGCGTTTCAGTTGAATTGGACGACAAGGGAAAGGCGAAGGAAAATGCTGCTTGCCATCAGAGGCATCACAACAGTACACTTCTTCTGGAATTCAGATCCCTTAACTTTCCTCGTGGATTGGAACAGAAAGACAGAAAATGATGTCATATTAACGGAAGTGCTAAAACTTAGCTATTAAGGTGCCGGTTTCAAAGTTGTAATACATTGTTGTATGTGGTCGTGTTGCATATAACTTTCAAGTTTTCGAACTATTAAACACAATGTCACTGTTTAATGCAGCTCTAGGGATCATAGATGAAACAAGAGACAGTGATAAGAAGGAAATTGGTGAGGTCAGATTTCTTCTCGATGAGTTCATGATACATATTTCTCATGTTTCAGGATGGAAGGTTTTGAAATGTTCAGGCAATGGCGGATACTGTGTTGAAATTGTTTACACTGGTTGCTCTCAAGATATGAACAAAACGTTTGCATAATTATTTCAGTTGGCAACCAGTATGCCGCAGCTCTCTCCCTCAGTGAGTTCGTGAGGTCCCAGGGTGTGTCCTATGGCACCAAAGCCAGGTGCTTAGAGGGAGGGTGTGGCGTTTGCCTCGTCACTACCACACTGTATGATCCCATCACAAAGGACGTGCAGACCTACACAGTCAACTCGGTAAGAACCTAATGACTTTGTATTTAACGCGCAACAGTGCTTTCTATAGCGACACTGCTATGTTGACACGGGAGGGCCACTCTAGGGTGCAGGCAAATGTCCAATAATGGAACTGTTGAGCAAACGAGGGTACGTTTGGCACCATGAAGACATACCTTCCCCTAGTGCCATGAATGAGTTTAGTTATTCTTACTTCATTAATCAATTAAAAGCATGAAAGGTGTATATATTTCAATGTTAGTGGTCGTAGTGTGATGGAATATACACAGGAAACTGTAAGGCGATTTACTTCCTTTAGTGTCTGGTTCCTCTGTACACGTGTGACGGCATGCAAGTGACAACCATCGAGGGTCTGGGCAACCCCAGGGATGGCCTACACCCGATACAAGACCGTCTGGCACAGTACAATGGCTCTCAGTGTGGCTTCTGTAGTCCAGCCATGGTTATGAATATGTATGGGTAAGATTAAGAACTCATTGATAACAATTATGTTTTCACAAATACTATAAACGATAGAGCAAAAGTTGGATGCCTTACACTAGGCCTGACTATGCTTTCTGGAATTCAGGTGAGAATTTGCTGGAGAAAAAACTGGAATGATGTACATATATTTCATTGTAACGTAAACAGCTGACTACTTTTTTATTTGCATTCTCAAACTAGCAACTTATATATTTCATCTGTGTGTGCCTATACATATTTTACAGTGGATTATACTGCTAAATTGAAGAAAATGTCATGCTTTGTTAATATGCTGAATCTGGGAAATATTGAAAAATAGATTGAAGACTTTGGTCAAAACGTTCTTCCAGTGGCGTCTCCAATAATATACATATTTCAGTCTCCTGAAGAGAACACCCAACCCCACAATGCAGCAAGTGGAAAACAACTATGATGCAACGATTTGCCGGTGTACAGGTCAGTGATTTGTCACACCTAGCAAGTCAAAAACATTTGACTCACGATTAAAACACGGAAAGAGGTGTAAATACAATCATCATGGATGAAGTACACGGTGCGGTTGGGTAGCCTAGTGGTTACAGCGTTCGTTGGTCACGCCAAAAACCCGGTTTCGCGATCCCACATGGGTACAATGTGTGAAGTCTATTTCTGGTGTCCCTCGCCGCGATATTGCTTGGATATTGATAAAAGCAAAACCTCACCCATCCACTCACTGATGAAGCACAAAGTATTACATCTCAAGACATGTAACAATATATTAACCAGTCAGGAAATGGTACGGTATTTCTGTTGGGGTAACATACCTATATACATGCGTACGTACATACATACATACAAAAATGCATGCATGCATGCATACATGCATACATACATACATACATACATACATACATACATACATACATACGTACATACATACATACATACATACATACATACATACATACATACATACATACATACAAACATACATACATACACATACACAGAGATACATACATATACTGAATGTAACTTAAAAACGTTACAAACTAGACTTGGTCATATGAAGTACAGGGTTAGCATATTAGATTTCTGCTGCCAACTATACATGCCACAGTTATGCAATTATACAAACATCATTCCCTGTACAGACACAAAACGTATCCTGAATAAGAAACTGAACATGTTTTAGAGTGTTTTGTCATTCCAAACATACATACTCTGTTCTTATCTGTAAAGGGTATCGCCCGATTCTTGATGCCATGAAGTCCTTTGCCTCAGACGCTCCACCAACCCTGCCTGGCGGTGCTATTGACATTGAGGTGAATAGGAACATCTTCATATAGTTCTGGCATATTATTCTGCATGATGACATAGATGTGAAACTGCGAGAGAGGTTCGCTACAGTAATTGTATTGCTTTCATAAGAACAGAACAGTTAACAAACTGCAAATGTTTTCATAAGCTCAGACAACAAAAACGTCACTGAAACAGATTTTTATTTTTGTGGTATTCGTAACCATTTCAGGTTTTCAGGTTTCATAACCTGGTTTCGATGTATCAGATTGTCTGGAAGATTGTACTAAGTGCCTTGGTGCCTGAACCTACACAATTAAAGCCAACGGCTTATGTTTTCTTGTTCACTCCTTCAGTATCTTTTTAACGATCAATAAGCATTACCTGAAAAGTTAAACATACATCGTAATTATTCATTTATAAATTGAACATAATGTCATCATCTCCTTTGACTGTTTCTTCTAGGAACTTGACAAGAAGATTTGCAACAAAACCGGGAAGACCTGCACAGGACGCTGTTCATCTGAGAGACAGACTGACCCGGGGCAGGTGCCCCTCCACATTGTGCTGCAAGGGTCACAGTGGTACAAACCCACCACCAGGCAGCAGCTCTACACCCTTCTCGGACAACACCAGGGAGACAACTACAGGCTCGTGTTCGGGAATTCTGGATTCGGTAAACAATTATGATAAAACGACTACTTTAAGGAAGCGCCAGAGAGACTCTACTTTCCGGATAAGATTATGATGGGTATTTTATCATATGTTTAATCTCTTACCACAGCATAATGACTGTCTGGCATAGCAGGGTGGCAAAGACTGTTAACTACTTCTCTTTTGAATCAGCTGTGTCGTGCATTTGGCTGACAGTTTCTGGAACAGAACTTCATCCACCCAGCTGAAGTATTGTTAATTGATTCCTTCCAGGTGTATACAAAGAAATTTTGACTCAGCTCTGTCGTATCTTTGATTGACAATGGCTGGAACACACGTCTCTCATCCATCATAATGAAGTATTGCTCATTGATTTCTTCCAGGTGTATATAAAGAAATTGGACCGTGGATGTATAATGTCCTCATTGACCTGCGTGGAATCCAGGAGTTTTACAGCATTTCTGTGAGTTGAGTGTACACAGGTTTAATGGTATACTTGGCACACAATATAAATCCCAAACATAACGGATTTTTTAAAAAATAACCAAAACTGGAACTTTCCCCAGATAATTCACAAAAACATCCCACCCAGACCACTCATGAAGTATCACATATGCAACTGTTGTTGTTTTGTATTCCACAGATTGACTCCTCCAAAGTGATGTTTGGACCTAGCATCACTCTGACCAACATGTTGGAAGTCTTTGAGAAAAACAGCACCAACCCTGCTTTATCCTACTTCCGGGACTTCGCCAGCCACGTGGGCGTCATCGCCAACACTGGAGTTAGGAACGTGAGTAGATCTCAACTTGAGTTTACCTCATATCATGAGTGGGTATGTGGATATCATGAGTGAGTGAGTGAGTGAATAGGGTTGTGTGCTTCACAAATTGTGCCCATGTCGAGAATCGAACCAACATGTTGGAAATCTTTGAGAAAAACAGCACCAACCCTGCTTTATCCTACTTCCGCGACTTCGCCAGCCACGTGGCCTACATTGGTAACAACGGATTAAGAAATGTAAGACGACACCAGTTTGTGGGATCACTGTTTGTCTGAGTGTTTTATTGACTGGAAACCCTGTGTTCACTATGTTATTGATACAGAAACTTCAGTTTATGTCCAATGTATCTTTGAAGATCTCACTGTACGGTTGGTAGTTGGATCAATAGTTTGAATAATTAGCCGAACCCTGTTGTCTCGCACTCGTATGTGTCGAACCAGTGTAGTTCAGTAAATACAACAAGTACCATTAATTTAACCCGAAAGTGTTGGTCTTTATATGTCGATTTCATTAACTCAATAACTCGAGCTTTTGCACATAAGTAAAATTTACTCTGATAGGTCTAACTTATAACGTATTACCTTTGCAACCGATAGTGTCCTACAGCTCAAACTAGTTATATCGACCTAGCACGCAACAGGAATTTATAATCAACAAATCAACTAATTTTATCCCTGGCATTGAAGTTGATACGATGGGAATATTTTCTGACAGGAAATATAAAACAGTCTCTTCTTATATATGGGCACAATGTGTGAAGCCCATTTCTGGTGTCCCCCGCCGTGATGTTGCTGGAATATTGCTAAAAGCGGCGTAAAACCAAACTCAGTCAGTCAGTCAGTCTTCTTATATACATAGGCATAGAAATGAATATTTTCATGGTTTCATCCTGATATTGAGGGACAAAGAAACAAACATGCTGACAATATCTTAGTTTGGTCCAAAAAAGACGACACAGTGAGTTAGTGGGGTTTTCGCCGCCTTTAGCAATATTCCAGCAATATCACGGCGGGGGACACTTTAAATGGGCTTTACACATTGTACCCATGTGGGGAATCGAAGCCGGGCCTTCGGCGTGACGAGAGAAAGCTTTAACCACTAGGCTATCCCGCCACCCTAAGAAGACACAAGGGGCGGTGGGATAGCTTAGTGGTTAAAGCGTTGGCTCGTCACGCCGAAGACCCGGGTTCGAATCCCCACATGGGCACATTGTGTGAAGCCCATTTCTGGTGTCCCCCGCCGTGATATTGCTGGAATATTGCTAAAACGGCGTAAAACCATACTCACTCACTAAGAAGATACAAAAAGAGACTGGCTGTAGGAGTTAATAGACGAACGCTTCATCTGTTTCAGTTGAGCAGCTGGGCCGGTAACCTGATGCTGAAGAACCTCCACACTGAGTTCCCGTCTGATGTTTTCACCATGTTCGAGACAGTCGGGGCAACTCTGTTCATCGGTAGGCGTTGTGAATATACAATATTCTAACAGAAACATATAAACGTAATCGGACTGTTTTTAGACAATAGAAACGTACTCGATTTACCAATCAGTTTCATTTCTGGATCTTCATACAAAACATGTAACCCTGCCAAGTTGTTTAGTGAGTTTTATTTTCCAGTGTGACATACATGTATATAATAGTATGTGTTTGCATTAACAAATGTTGGACAAGCTAATGGCAATCAACAAGGGGTATTACTGGTTGCATATTGCGCTTCAGTGATGTCGATTATGATGTCAATCATTTTCTGTTGTGCACGGCCTGTGATCCTTCTTAACCATTTGGGTACGAAAATTGCTCTATTTACTCCTCATATTACAGCAGTTGCCATCCACAATGCTCCCGTTTTAGGTGTATCACTTCTAAATACCCTGCGAAGAATTTATGCTCTATAAAATATACTTGTCATGTATTGCAGGGTCGAGTGATGGCACAGAGAAGTCATACAGCCTCATGGACTTCCTGAAGCTGGACATGAAGGGCAAGGTCATACTGTCTGTCACACTTCCAACATTCCCGTCTGGAGACGTCTATGTCAAGTCCTTCAAGATTACCCCAAGACGTCAGGTAGATATGCAGAGTTCATACACCGGCATTACATTGTACACGGACCCGTGAAGATCCGGGTTAGAATTGGTCTTCATCAACCCATGCTTGTCATAAGATGCAACTAACGGGATGGGGTGGTCAGGCTCGCTGAATTGGTTGACACATGCCATCGTATCCCAACTGCGAAGATTGCTGCTCATGCTGTTGATCACTGGAGTGGCTGGTCCAGACTCTATTATTTAGAAACCGCTGCCATATAGCTGCAGTATTGCTGAGTGCGGCGTAAAACAACAACAAGCAAAGCAAACATTGTACATTATGGAGTCACTTCACTCGGTCATTTCTTCCAGAACGCCCACGCCTATGTGACAGCAGGCATCAGGATGCAGCTGGACAGGAGCAACAACTACACTGTCAAGACAAAACCATCCCTGGTGTATGGCGGCATCAACAAGACACTGGTAAGTCAGGAGCACGCAAAAGGAAGTGAGATGGTGCAGAATGGTTTCTCAAAACTGTGGAGTTTCACGAAGACATATATGAAGCAAGCATGAGCATTTTCGGTGTTCAAAATGAAAGATAGATATGTATAACTATATGAGGCTAATACGATGATCATGGCAATACGTGCAAGTATGAGTGTGAGCTGAATTTCATCTGACATGAGTGAGTGAGTGAGTGGGTGAGTGAGTGAGTGTATGGTTTTACGCCGCGTTTAGCAATACTCCAACAATATCACAGCGGGGAACACCAGAAATGGGCTTCACACATTGTACCCATGTGGGGAATCGAACCTGGGTCTTCGGCGTGACGAGCGAACGCTTTAACTAGGCTACCCCACCGCCCCATCTGACATGACATCATATTGTTGTTTTGTTTGGGTTTTTTATAAATAATCTGAAAGGGACAAAAAAGATCATGTCCAAAAGTCCAAGTTAAGCTGGCTATCCATTGTTTGTTAAACCAGACAGCCATACGGACTCCACAGTCAAACACGCTACGATCACAACGCATAGGAACACAGACACGCATACACACATGTACATGTGCCGTACACTGTGACATATTTTTATTGTAGATCATGTCAATACAAACGAAAGGTGCTGCCCATATGATACGCGAGGCGACAACAAATTTCTTGAATGTGTTCTTGAAATATGAAGGCTTGGATATGTGCCTTATCATGTGTGTGCCTTCAGTCTATAAAACACACTGTTTCAGTTAAAACGAATTCAAGTCTTTAAATTTCAGGTAATATTATTCTAAGATATAGACAATTTGAGTAATGAGAATTTCCGCTGAAAAGGTTTCATGAGCTAAGTTCATTACTGCCCCTCGCGACTGAACAGAGAGAGTGAATTTAGTTTTACGCCGCACTTAGCAATATTCCAGCTATATGGCGGCGGTCAGTAAATAATCGAGTCTGGACCAGACAATCCAGTGATCAAGATCATGAGCATCGTTCTACGCAATTGAGACAGGACGACATGTGTCAACCAAGTCAGCGAACCTGAACACCCGATCCCGTTAGTCGCCTCTTACGATAAGCATGGGTTGCTGAAGGTCAATTCTAACCTGGATCTTCACGGGTGACTGAACAGGGAGTCGTGAAAGGAAAAAACCCAGATTATACCACCCAAATTTATTTTTTCTTTAATATTTATAAACCATTCTCAGAAAATGAACACTCAAGGATAACATGGATTTGTTAGTTCTTGTCACTTTTCATTTGACTGAATGGGGCGGTGGGGTAGCGGTGGTTAAAGCGTTGGCTCGTCACGCCGAAGACCCGGGTTCGATTCCCCACAAGGGCACAATGTGTTAAGCCCATTTCTGGTGTCCCCGCCGTGATATTGCTGGAATATTGCTAAAAGCGGCGTAAAACTAAACTCAGTCAGTCAGTCAGCCATGTGACTGAATGAAAGGCATGTCCTGCTCATACTCATACGTGACATAACATTCACACTTTCCAACGTCGTTGTACATATCATATATCCAGGTGTACATTTTGCGCTTAAAGTTTTTGTGAATTTCAGTTCATCCCTCTGACATTGTGTATATTGTTAACTTTAACTATTGTTGCTATTTTCCAGGTACACGCCAGCAAGACCGAGGCTTTTCTGCAGGGCAAACAATTGGGGAATGCTTCAGTTCTTAAAAGTAAGATGTATACCTTGATTTACATTCAAATATCATTACTGTATCGTTTGGTTGGCATGTGCTATCACAGTTAAGATTATGAAGAGAAACGTACTTTCGTTGTGTGTCTACCCGTGAAGATCCGGGTTAGAATTGGTCTTCAGCAACTCATGCTTTTTGTAAGAGTCGACTAACGGGATCTTGTTTGTCAGGCAGGCTGACTTGGTTGACACGTGTCATCGTATCCCTTTTGATCAGATTGATGCTCATGGTGTCAATGACTGGATTGTCTGGTCTAGACTCCATTATTTACAGACCGCTGTCATATGGCTCGAATATTGCTGAGAGCATTTTTAAACAGTAAACAAACAAATCGTTGTGTGCCATATTTCTACGAGATATGTTTATCGGTTGTCATGTACCAAAGTGTGGATCGAACGGATAAAATGGCTTCTCACGATGGATGGTATACTGCAGAAAAGATGATTATATTTTATTGGTGTAGATACTGCTACTGTTTTGGAGCTGCATGCACGAGTATTCTCATCTTTGGCGGATTGAAATTATACTGAGTCAAAAAAAAGAAACTTCACAAAATGTAATTTGGAAAATAATGAATATTTCTTCTCTGATGATACATCTATGTATCCGAAATGGGATCCCTATCTTTCGACTCTAGAAAAACGTTAGCAAAACCCACTCAAACCCATCCATTCGTCGTGCAAATGACGTTATTGCCAAATCTGGTTTTGCACGTGCAGTCGATCACGTGATCTTCACATCGAAGTTTTCTTCATATGCACGTGTTTGCATTGGCCTCAAGAATTGAAAAAAACACTTTTAAACCACAGTTCTAACGGTACTTGAAATGCCACGATTGTCAAATGTGCAACGTGAACGTGCCGTTGGCATGTTGCAAGCGGGAAGATCAGTTATTGACGTCGCAAGAGCAATGGGATGCAGCCGTCGTACTGTGTATGACTTGCGAGGTCGTCTACAACAAACTGGCACCACTTCTGATCGCCCAAGGTCGGGTCGTCCACGTGTGACGTCACGAGCAGAAGACCGTCAAATCGTCCTACGTCACCTACGTGACAGATTTCTGCCGGCTACACGAACCAGGGCTGAGATGTTTAGAGGTCGACTGTCCTCACAGACCATTCAAAATCGGTTGCGGGCTGCCAATCTCCATTCTCGACGTCCATATCGTGGGCCAATATTGACGCCGTTTCATCAACGTCAACGTCTGCTGTGGGCCCAACGTCACCTCCGATGGACCCAGAGAGACTGGAATCGAGTCGTCTTTAGCGATGAATCCAGGTTTACCCTCAGATTCGCGGACGGCAGGCATAGAGTCTGGAGACGACGTCGTGAACGGTATGCCCAATGTTGTGTACAGGAAGTCGACAGATTCGGGGGCGGAAGTTGCATGGTGTGGGGTGCTTTCTGGGGAACAACCGTTCCCGACTTCTGGTCATCCGTGGAAACCTCACAGCTGCTGCTTACCGCGACCAGGTGCTCACCCTGAACTCGTTCCTTTCATGGCGGCTCATGGCCCAGGTCTACAGTTCCAGCATGATAATGCTCGGCCGCATACCGCGATGTTGACACGAAATTTCCTTCAAAACGCTGGAATCAACGTCATGGACTGGCCATCGAGGTCCCCTGACCTTAATCCAATAGAGCACGTTTGGGATGCACTTGGGAGAAGGCTTCGTGGTCTTAGGAACCAACCTCAGAATTTGCAGGAACTTGGCGCTGCCTTGCAAGAGCAATGGCGCAGAATCCCCAACCACGTGTTCACAAGCATCAGGCAGTCGATGAGGAGACGGTGTTTGGCAGTGGTGAATGCGCGGGGCGGCCATACACGATATTGAACTGAGAAATTTCGCATTTTTATTCTTGTGACTTGACATTCTGTATACCCATGTTTTGGAACGGCGGTGTAGCCTAATGGAACTGATTATGGCACTGTCAGTGTATCGAGTACAACACACAGATCTCGGCAATGAAATAATAACAATTTAACCATCTTACCATCTCTTGTTCTTTTATAGTGCCCTGAAGAAAGAATGTGAAGTTTCTTTTTTGACTCAGTATATATTTATTGTTTTGAAGAATGATGTTTGTACAGTCGCTTTTTATCCAACATATTTATCTTTTAGCCGCACTATCCCGTCTTTCCTCCGAGTTGATCCCAGACACTACAGCTGGGTTATCGAGTACAGCCTACAGAAAGAACCTGGCCATCTCACTGTTCTACAAGGTCAGTCGACATACTGAGTAGTATCATTGCGTCTGTCGCTGTTGTCTCGATGTTGAACTTATCTCAAAGATAGACGTCATCTCTGTAGGTTTGTCTGTATGCGTCTCACATATTGATCTAATATCGATAACAGTATCAACCAGCATTACACAGTCAGTCATGAGTGTATGATGCTGCAAATATTGCTGTTGATAATATTCTATCTCGCTGTTCGACAAGGTCAGTCAATATACATAATCGTATCTGTTGCCGCTGTCAGTGTACCATACTTATGTAGATTGCTTGACGGTATGTTGTTGGGATAACTGTATGTGTCACACATAGCAACGTGATACTGATAACATTGTTAGCAGGCATTACTCAATCAGTAAAAGACTGTAAATATCATTGCTTTTGACGATTATTTCCAATAATCAATTCCCCTTACAAGTCAAGAATATCCCAACAGCTCTAGCTTTTCACAACCTTTGATGAAGCCATTTCTGGTGTCCCTGAATCATGCTCTTGTTACCTCAAAGAGCGTCACACGACGCTTGCTCAGAAGTTGTTCGATCAAGGTTACAACATTTAAGGACAAACTGTTAGAATATTTTATGATGGACAATGTGGAGGACTTTTTAAAACACTGACGCATCAGTGACAGTAAACCATGTGCGATGCAAATCCCTAATTTGACTTGTGCCATCCGCTCCTAGTCTTCTTTAAGACAAATGGCTAGCCTTTGAATATACACTCTCTCAAAAAGAAACGCAACCCCTATCTAAATATCTGACATCATTTCTAGAATAAAGATGGTGAATGTAAATTAGAATTTTCTTCAAAATACTGTTAATACGTTTCCCATCTGATCAGTATAAGCTCCCCAAACGGAACCATTTTCGCACATGATGACCTTTGTATCCGTGTTATTTGAGAAAGTGCGAAATTGTCATGTACAAAATGCTAAAAGCCTGTTGCACGTGCAAATCGTTGAAAACACAGTTCATGTAGAGGGTTTTAAAAGCACGCGTAGTTTGTAATTTTTCTCTCATAATTTGCTCTGCAAATCAAGTTCGAAAATGCCCCGTTTGAGTACAAGCAAATCGAAATATTGCCATTGGTCGCATTGAGGCCGGGGAAAGCTTTGGAACAGTTGCCCGTCATCTAAACGTACACAAAACAACAATCTCACGACTTTGGAATCGTTGCACACAGTTCCATGCAATTGAAGATCGTCCCAGGAGCGGTAGACCTAGGATCACCACACCGGCTCAGGATCGCTTTATTCGACTCAGCCACCTACGTAATCGGCATGCCACACCCACCATCACTGCAACACAGGTGCCAGGTTTGAGGAGAGTATCGGCCCAAACCATCAGGAACCGTTTACATGAGGCAAATTTACGTGCAAGAAGACCAGTTGTTGGGCCCGTCTTGAAACGCCAACATCGACGCCAACGTCTCAGGTGGTGTACGAACGTAAGGAGATGGATCCTAAGAAACTGGAGAAGAGTCTGGTTTAGTGACGAGTCTCGTTTTCTTCTTCAACGACGTGACGGTAGACAACGTGTCTATAGACGAGCAAATGAACGTTTTGCACCGAACTGCGTTCGACAGGTCGACAGATTTGGAGGAGGAAGCATCATGGTATGGGGAGCCATGTCTTACAACCAACGGTCAGACTTGGTCATCATTCGTGGCAATTTGACGGCACAACGGTACATTGATGACGTCTTACAGCCACATCTTCTGCCGATAATCGACCAACAGAGGGAGTTGTTTCAACATGACAATGCCCGCCCTCATACAGCTCGTGCAACGGTGGCATTCCTACAGAATTCAAACGTCAACGTGATGCCGTGGCCCTCAGATCGCCAGTCATCAATCCTATCGAACATCTGTGGGACCAGCTGGATCGTCGTGTTCGTGCACGTACACCACAACCGCACGTTGGTTGAACTGGCCGCAGCACTCCAGGAAGAGTGGAGAGCAATCCCCAGGAAAACATCCGCCGTCTGATTCGTTCTGTTCCGAGGAGGTGCACTGCTGTGATTAGAGCTCGTGGCTCTACAACGAGATACTGAAGACAACGCCCCTAGCGTAAATTGAGAGTTCGATACTGACCTGCATTAACTGTTACCTTATACCGTGCTGACCTAAGGTTCACCATGTCAAATTTCATGGCATTATCTTTAAAAAAATACAAATGTAATAACCAGTTAAAATTGATATAAACATTACCAAAAACAGGGGTTGCGTTTCTTTTTGAGAGAATATATTTCATAACAGATGCCAACGGTGGTGCAGTTTTCGCTCACCTGTCCGCAAACACCCGGTGTCATCAGTATTTGACAGTGATTCATGAACAGATGCTCATGACATTGTGGGAATTGTACTATCGAATCTGCTTTTAGCCGAAATTTCTTATGGATGTGGCAAGGGTTTTTCATTGACTGATGTTCTATATAGCCTGCATCGCTCAATGCTTCTCACATTAGTTAACCTCATACAGACAGTCGTGAAAATAGATTGCGGTATTGCTAACTCCGACATGACTGCCTAAATCCTTTAATGTTTTCAACCATGTGTTGTCTGTTTCCACGTCTTGGTGAACTATACCCCTTTAAATAACGTTCAATCACACCATCTTGAAGTTCAATTTTATGTCGATCACAAATACCTACATATATTGGTAAACATAAATAAATATTTATATTCCTTTTCGTCTTCCTATCGAACTATTTAATTCCAATTCCAATTCCATAATCATAATCGCCCATTACATAATCACTCAAGCCGAAAGAGTGAGTGAGTTTAGTTTTACGCCGCTTTTAGCAATATTCCAGCAATATCACGGCGGGGGACACCAGAAATGGGCTTCACACATTGTACCCATGTGGGGAATCGAACCCGGGTCGTCGGCGTGATGAGCGAACGCTTTAACCACTAGGCTACCCCACCGCCCCTCAAGCCGAAAGATAAGAGTGCAATCACTTTATATTCTCAGGTCCCTGGGAGTGAGTGAGTGAGTGAGTCTAGTTTTACGTCGCTTTTAGCAATATTCCAGCAATATCAGGGCGGGGGACACCAGGAATGGGCTTCACAAATTGTACCCATGTGGGGATTCGAACCCAGGAAGTATACAGACCATGCTATAGCTGAGAATCGAAATGTTGTGCAATTGCATTATCGTCTCATTTAACTGGGTTACATTTTGCTTCTTCATCATAGGAAAATTCGAACAAAATAGTTTCACCGAGAAAAATACACTTACTGATAACTCAATATAATTGAGACTGGGCCGGTGACCTGAAGCAAGTGAGTGAGTGAGTGAGACCTTTAACAGTATATCAGTGATTGACTGAGTTGTCATATCCCCTAAGTCACACTTTGTCCGGTTAATATCCGAGAAAAACCAGAAGCTTTGCATGAAACGGAAATCAAATATTTTACTATTTACTAAAACCATAACAGGCTCTAATTTCCTTTGTTTCTTCAGTATGTGCTCGGCATGTGTGGTGAGAAAGCAGCGGCAAGATTCCAGAGTGGAGGCACCAACTTGATACGGCCCGTGTCTTCAGGCACTCAGACGTATGACACTCGTAAAGACGAATATCCCCTGACTCAACCAATGGTAAAGGCTGATGCAACCTTACAGGTTAGTATTTTCACTGTCATATCAAAACAGTTAATTCTGAACTTATGTGATATGTATGTGCATCTTAATCTGATGTTAATTTATTGGCACGTGAATTTGTTGTTTCATTGGATATTGGTCATCATTGTCATCTTGTCATCTACATTGATGACAATTATGAATGACCATCGCAGGTTTCATCCATTCAACCATGCCATCCTACGAGTCAACCATTTCAGGAAAGTATCGCTAGACTTACTAATAGAACTCACTATAAATTATCGAGTAAATAAATGCCATTTAAGATCAGACGAAACCAACATCTATTTTATGCACGGCTGTTGTGTACAGTATCAACGCATCCCAGAACAGTTCTAAAATTTATGGGTTGTTATAGTATGTGACGAACTTTTGCAAAAGTGCTAACGTACCCAGACCCGTGAAGATCCGGGTAAGAATTGATCTTCAGCAATCCATGTTTGTCGTACGAGGTGACCAACGGGATCAGGTGGTCAGGCTCGCTGACTTGGTTGACACGTCCTCTGATCCAGTTGCGTAGATCGATGCTCATGTTGTTGATTACTGGATTGTCTGGTCCAGGTTCGTGTGTTTACAGACTGCCGCCATATAGCTGGAATATTGCTAAGTGTGGCGTAACACTAAACTCACTCATTCACTTACGTACCCGTGTTACGTTCTGCATCGTTCAAGGTTCCTAATCTGACTATAAAATATACTCAGCAGTCAGTATAAGTCGATACGAATTCAAAATTAGATAGGCACTGTAATCAAATCATGACAGAAATGGATATAATAAGCGGAACAAAAACATTTTTTGTGTACAATATCTTGACACATCGATGAATAACTCAGCACAATTTCAAGACATTACGTGAACGTTTGCAGTCCATTCAGACCCTTGACTTTAGTATCTGGTGTGACCACCACGAGCGGCAATAACAGCAGCACAGCGTCTATGCATTGAGTGCACCAGTCGTTGGTGAAGGCCATTGGTACCTGGAACCACACTCTGAGAAAGGCCTGGCACAATAAATCGGCTGTGTTCGGCCTTGGTATGACATTATTCAGTCTCTTCTGAATTTCATCCCAAAGATGTTCAATTGGGTTTAAATCAGGACTAAGGGCTGGCCACTGTATAATGTTGACACCGTTGTGCTGTAGGAAGTCCCGTGTAGCTCTGGCAGTATGGGCCCGGGCGTTATTATGCTGGGAAATGTTGTTCTGGTGTCGTGCGAAATGTGGTATGACGTGGGGTCTGAGAGCTTGGTCGATGTAGCGCACCGCTGTCATGCCGCCTCCTCTCCCTGGACCAAGGTTCTGGAACACCACAGGACCCACTCTCTGGTTCAGGCCTATTCCATCTCATACCATGATGCTTGCACATCCCCATGAGTCTCTTTCCATAACACATTGGTCTGAGTAACGCTGGCCACGTCGTCGCCATATTCTTGTTCTGCCATCTGCAGTTGATATGCAGTACCGACTCTCATCTGTGAACAGAACAGTTCCCCATTGTCTGTATCGCCAGTTGTGGTGTTGTAGGGCAAACCGTAGACGTTCACGCCGATGACGATGGGTGAGGATAGGTCCACGGTAAGGTCCACGGCAATGGAGGTTCCCGCTGTTAAGACGTTGGCGTACTGTATCACTACTGATTGGTCTTCCGTGTGTTCCCACTGTCTGGCGTGCTATTTCGGATGCCTGCATGAAGGTATTTTGTACATGCTGTCGCACAACATGGCGGTCCTGTCGTCTTGTGGTCACCCTTGGTCTGCCAGTACGGGGGCGATCATTTGGGGTGTTGGTGGCCCGGAAACGTTGCTGCAGCCTGTAGTGATTGGCAACGGCTTGTGAAGTGTGGCCAGCTTCAAGTCTTCCTAGCGCCTGGTTCCTCTGAGCTGTCGTGAGTCGCGGCATCCTGCTGACGTTGAAATGTGAATGTTTCAACCAGGTTTGGGGGTGCATTTTATAGGTCTGGTCCTTGTGAACAGCACGTGCAGCATGAGTTGCTTAAAAACACGGAGAACACCGTACCATCTTGAGACCATTTCCTGGGTTCAATTCTGAGTTTGGGAAGGAATGTCTTTGCTCATATCAAGTTGGAGATGTTGTCAAAATTATACAATCAAAACATTAAATGAGTTAACAGTTTATGCGAAGGAAAATTCCAAACTGACGTTTCCTCTGCTGCTTAGTATATAATAAAACAATGACTTTCTATATTGCAAACAATTACAATTCAGATTGTGGTTCTGGTTTGTGCAGAATAAGGAGACATTCAAAGTCAGTTCAACAATCAGTGGAACTTAATGTCAAATGATATAAAATGCGGTACGTTATTTCCTTGTCACATCCACTGCACATGCGTGATATATAATGTTTCAGACTTCAGGACAGGTCCAGTTTGTTGGTGACATCCCGCCTGTTCCAAATGAAGTGTGTGCATCATTCGTCATCAGCAGCGTTGGCAACGCCCAGATCGACACTGTCGACACCTCTGTGGCCATGGTAACCCAAGAGATTAAATTTTCTGGCTTTGCACAGTATCAATCTTCCTCTGACAAATCACAGGATCTATCCTTTCACTTGTGATAGTATGCATGATTAACGTTGATCTGTTGTAACTCCTTTGTGATAGCTACCCTACTATAATGTCCGATACATTGGTGAACGGCAACTGCTATACATAGAGAATCTCACCCGAGTGTCTTTTGATATCAAATATATCACTACGAGTTGATAAAGTAACAAATATCCGAGTCTTGCCGAGGATATTTTTACTTTTATCAACGAGTGTTGATATATTAAATTGATATCAGAAGACACGAAGGTGAGATTCTATTTATCATCAAAAATCACTATTCTTTAGTTTTCAATGACAAATGTACATCTCTGAACAAGGTACTGCCATTAAGACTTGCAGGGCACCGAGTCATAGCATTGTGACGTCATCAAGTTCATGACGCCATAGCATTATCAGGGCATTGTGCAATATCTACTGTCAAAATGATATATCCTAGGAAATATCGTCTGATCTCACACAAGCTTTATCTCCAGTGGAACACCGTTTTAGATGATAAAAAGAGATTCTCACCCGAGTGTCTTTTGATATCAAATGATAAAAGTACAAATATCTGAGGCTTGCCGAGGATATTTTTACTTTTATCAACGAGTGTTGATATATTTGATATCAGAAGACGCGAAGGTGAGATTCTATTTATCAGCAAATCTTGTTCAATGTCCCAACAATGCTATGACGTCATAAACGTGATGACGTCACAATGATGACGTCACTGCACTGCAAGTCTAATGGAAGTACCGTGTTCGGAGATGTATATTTTTCATTGAAAAATAATGAAGAGTGATTTTTTATGATAAATAAAATCTCACCTACGTATATTTGAAATTTTATCAACTTTATCAACTCATGTTGATGTAATTTCAGTAGACACTTGGATGAGCTTCTCCTTTTATCATTTAACATCCTAGTGTTAAAAGGAGCATTTAAAAAAGGCGAAGTCGTTTAAATGAAAGCATGAACTTAAGGGCAATCTTTTGCTTCCAGCTCTCCCCAAATGACTGATTGAGAATGAGTTTAACACAATTTGAACACCAATTATACTTTATCACATGCATATGCTAAACGCGAGTTCAACATGGTGTCGGTAATAAACAGTAACATTTATGCTGGAAACCACGGATAAGGTGCTTAGGAATCACAATATTTGAAGTTCGAACACATGATCAGCGGATCCTGTCGGGACAAGGGACACCATTCCGCACTGTTTTCAACTAGTTTGGATTCAGAAAATAAGGAAAGGGAAATTCGGAAATAAGGAAATGTATGTGGTTTAGTATTTCATCATTGTGTCGTTGTTGCCACAGAGCTACCCAGGAGTACTGAAGTATATATCTGTAACGGATATACCAACTGGAGGACTGAACAACTTCAGGGAAGCTTCGGCTCTAGGCGTTGAGGAGGTAATGAGTGAGTGAGTGAGTTTAGTATCACGTCGCACTCAGCAATATTCCAGCTATATGGCGGCGGTCTGTAAATGATCTGGACCAGACAATCCAGTGATCAACAACATGACCCCAATCTACGCATTTGAGATACGATGACATGTGTTAACCGAGTCAGCGAGTCTGACCACCCGATCCCGTTAGTCGCCTCGTACGACAAGCATGGGTTGCTGAAGATCAATTCTAACCCAGATCTTCACGGGTCTGAGGAGTTAATGACAAGACTATGTAAAATAGATGGGTTGCCTCAATTTCTTTATTTTTCTTTGCAATATGTTGATGTTTTTTAGATTTCATCCTCTGTCAATATGTTATGTTTTTTTCAATCAACCGAATTCCACCTTTACAACCTATATGTCCTTAAATTGTTTTGTTGTCTAATACAGCATGGGGAAGAGTTGTTTAAGTTTCAAATTCAAAAGTTGGCAAGAATTTTATCGAAAAATTAAGACACATTCTGTGTTACAATATGCACATAGGGACGATCAAAATATTATTTGAAACAAAGGTTTATGTCGACATAATGTTGGAATTATTACTACTAATACAGAATGAGATGTTTCTTAGAAAGTATCCGATTTGGTCATATAAAATTATACATTTAATAGTTCCTATAAGTATGGTGGCTGATTAGGGCCATCGCTTTCTTTCTCGTCTCGCGTTATCGCTTTCTCGTCTCGTGTTATCGCTTTCTCGTCTCGTGATATCGCTTTCTTGCTTTCTCGCCTCCGAATTTTAAGACGAGAAAGCGATGGCCCTAATCAGCCACCATATATAAGGGATAAGATTTTCTCGTCTCGCGTTTTCGCTTTCTCGTCTCGCGTTATCTCTTTCTCATCTCGTGCTATCGCTTTCTCGTCTCGTGTTATCGCTTTCTCGTCTCGTGATATCGCTTTCTCGCTTTCTCGCCTCCGAATTTTAAGACGAGAAAGCGATGGCCCTAATCAGCCACCATATATAAGGGATAAGAGTTTATTTCATTCTACAAAGGGAAAATGTCCGATTTAGTTATATCACAAATACCTAATTTACTAGTTACATAGAATAAGAATTTGTACTAAGGACATGTCACATCTGTCACATATGAAGTTAAATGCACATTCGGTGGACCATACATTGAATAACTGACAATTTAGAGCGTGGCAATAGTTGTCCGTTGTGTGTCTGAATGATAACGATTGTATTGGGGAATTAATTCCAGCTGTTAAACATCATGTTTCTTTCGTGTTGCCAGCTGTTCTGCAGTGGACGGGTGGAGTACAGTGGACAGCCAATCGGCCTCATCGTGGCAGGTAGAGTGAGTGAGTGAGTGAGTGAGTTAATATTTAACGTCACATCGGCAATATTTCAGCCATATCGTGACGAGAACATTTGACTCGTGGCAGGTAGAGTTGGCAGGAATAAGTAATGTACTATATCGTCATGTAGCTGTTATCTCACGCCGAAGACCCGGGTTCGATTCCCCACATGGGTTCAATGTATGAAGCCCATTTCTGGTGCCCCCCGCTGTGATGTTGCTGGAATATTGGTAAATGCAGCATAAGGCTAAACTCACTCAATCACCATTTGTTATTCAGCTGGAATAGTGATAAGGGCTATGTTATCAACAAATGGATTAAATAAACAAAGCGCCATGTTTTTGTAATTACTTCAGTTTGAAAAACCTTTCTTGTTCTGAATAGAAAACTAATTCCAGCAATCAGTGTTCATGGACATCGATACCTTTAGAATGGTTTTAGTTCATTCTTCAGTTGCAAGTATAATTCGGTCAGGGAACCAGTATATTTTATCTGGTATATGATATTTGCCAACTTCATTACTACCACATGCAAATCAACTAAACTAACAAACACAGAGAGAGAGAGAGAGAGACAGAGACAGAGAGAGAGAGAGAGAGAGAGAGAGAGAGAGAGACAGACAGACAGAGAGAGAGAGAGAGAGACAGAGAGAGAGAAGAGAGAGAGAGAGAGATTATAATAATGTTATTCATTTGTATAGCGCTTATATCCAATGTAGCACTGCTCCAAAGCGCTGTTGTCCATAAGTCTGCATTTATGTTTTGTTGAAGTACGCACAAAACAATGAGGTTTTAGTATTTATTTGAGGAGATTAAGTGTCTGACCTGTTCTGATCTCTTCTAGCAAGTTGTTCCACAGCAATGGTCCAGCAATTGCGAAATATGTGTGTGTCTGTGTGCGTGCGTGTGTGTGTGTGTGTGAGCGAGCGAGTGTGTATAAGGAACATTTACAGATTAACACGCAACACCAGGAGGCTGCAGCAAGAAATCAGAGATATTATTCGAAAATGCACAACACTCGCTCAATTTTTTTATTTGCAAATCCGGAAACATTCGTCCATTACTGGTCCTGGTCTGTTTCTTGAGTCCATAGAAACGTATACGCAAACGTATAACCATTCAAACGTAATCGAAAAACTTGTAAAAATATATTTTCAGTTGACAAACTATCAGCTGACACAGCAGCCAGCATGGTGAAGGTTACCTACAAGAACGTCCACCCTCCAATCATTACCATGGAAGATGCTATTCAGAAGAAGTCCATATTTCCAAATGTTGCCAAGGAATTGAAAGTTGGTGATGCTGCAGGTAACTAATTATTTTATAATTGTCTGAATATATTAATCTGATTATGAATATTTCTCGATTTAAAGTCTCCATGTATATGGTTTTAATTGTTTAAGGATGTGAGTCACTCAGTTATTTCGGTAAACGCATACAAAATATTGAACAGGAGATGGAAATGTTCTCTTTTTGCAGCTGCAATTGCGGGATCGGACAAAAAGGTTACTGGCACCGTCAAGATTAAACATCAGGCCCACTTTCACCTGGAAGCACAGGTAAGTAGTACATGTAAAGATCACATTAGCGCGAATGTCACTTCGATGTTTGAATGTTAATATTAAGAGAAGTGAAGTTCCGCCGCTTCAGTAAGATTCCAGTCATGTCACCACCTGGATACCTGAAACAGCTGTAAATGTACATTTAGCAATGACGTGAAGGATTTAATTATCGTCGCTGCTGTTTCCAAGTTACATTGTAATCTTTCCAACGTTTTCAGTGATGTATTTGCCTTTCCTATTTAATCGGTGGTGTGAACTTAATTTATTACGGTGTTACGCTTCGTTACATATGTTTGTAGTGAGTGAGTGAGTATGGTTTTAGTCCGCTTTCAGCAATATTCCAGCAATATCACGGCGGGGGACCCCAGAAATGGGCTTCACACATTGTACCCATGTTGGGAATCGAACCCGGGTCTTTGGCGTGACGTGCTAACGCTTTAACCACTTGGCTACCCCACCGCCCACCATATACTTGTAATGGTGCATTCATCATAACATGTACATATATTCATGGGCAAATCATTTATTACGTGCGTCTACTTATATGGGAAATACGGTAACAATGTCCTTCCCTTCATGCAGCACACAGCACTCACACCGGAGACTTGAAGTAAAAGCGAAATGCGTATAATAATGCGTCATTAAAGCGTCAATAATGCGTATACTTCCATGTCACGTATGGTGTACTAATAATGCACTTTGTGAAAGTACATTTATCATCCAATACTGGTTTCCAGATGAGATATCACTTGTAGAAGAGCAAGCGATATCTTTTAGGAGATATCGTTATGGTACGTTTTGAGCTAATCGCTGATTGGTCAATATTTTTGGACTACTTTCATCTCCCTTACCTGTAAACAAAGATGGAAACAGCAATGAGTTATTTTTTTATGATTTGATCTTACGACATAAAAGTTTACATGAAATGACACCAAGAAATGATGAAACTTTTATGTGCTTGCATTTAATGACGTAATGGTGTCACTCGTTCCAACTTCCAACCCCTCCGTTCACTTGTGTGTATTCATACGCGAGTCTTCAAATGAACTTGTTATAGGTGACGTGTCGTTTTTGATTTATCTTGAACGACAAATTAAATATGATATTGGATGATAAATAGAATCTCGCCATCGTGTCTTTTGATATCAAATATATCACTACTCGTTGATAAAAGCCTCAGAGTTTTCTCACTTTTATCAACTCGTGATGATGTATTTGATATGAAAAGACACTCGACTGAGATTTTCTATGTGTAAGATTCCCTTGTATGGCTGGTATAAGCTATACAAAGATACACGTTTACGTATAAAATAACCTTGCATGGTACACGATATATAACTATATGTATTCCCAGATCTGTGTGTGCTACCCAGACGAGGACGGGGTGGGAGTCCATCTTCATTGCGCCACACAATGGTCAGACATTGTACAGCAGGCCGTAGCCAGAGTCCTCAACATCAAGCAAAGCAGGTATCTAGTTATCCTATCTTGTTGGATGTTGTTTGCTTGATAAATAAACCATTTATACAAGGTAGTATGTACGTACTGGCGTCAGTGAATATAAGCGACGCTCTATACCGACATTGTGCAATGGCCCTCAGTCAACCAGGGCCATGTTTCAGCTATCGTAGCGCTACGACTGTCGTATGTCTATGTTACAGTACATGAGATACGACAGTCTCTTAGCGCTACGATAGTCGTAAGTGCCATACATTAACATTAACTTACGACTATCTTAGCACTAAGAGAGCCTCGAAAATCTAGGCCCAGGGCCTCATTTCATAAAACGATCATAGCGCTAAGGTGATCGTAATTCCCATTCTTTAACATAGACTTACGTCAGTCGTAGCGCTAAGATCGCTTTGTGAAACGGGTCACAGGGCCCCCCGCTCCACAAAGCGATCTCAGGTTAGAGAGTTATTATCACCTCAGCGCTTAGATCCCTCTGTTCAGCGGGGTCCTGGTTGATTCTGTGTCATTATCATGTCTTTCTACCATAATATTTGGCTCTAACCATACGCATGTATGTTTGCAGAAAGTTTGGTCGAATACCGCTCCTTGGCACTTCAGTCAGTTTCATTGCTAAAACTCTCAGACAATCAATTTGCACCTCTTTCAAAAAAGGGGACGGTCTGGTATCCTAGTGGTTAAAGCGTTAGCTCGTCACGCCGAAGACCCGGGTTCGATTCCCCACATGGGCACAATGTGTGGAGGACATTTCCGGTGTCCCCCGCCGTGATATTGTTAAAAGCGGCGTAAAACTAAACTCACTCACTCACTCTTTCAAACAAGAGTGTTGCTTTGTGTCCAAACAACGTGAGATAGCGTAGAGGGAACGTCTTAATCTGTTTTGTCACTGTAAATGAGTTTTAACACATCAGGTGTTCAGATTTTGACTCACTCTCTTTTAAGCATAAGTGTCAAGGTCAAACGTCTTGGAGGATCCTTTGGAGCAAGGATAACTCGTGCAAACTTAACAGCTTGTGCCACAGCTCTCGCCACACATGTGATGAGAAGGTGGGTTGAATGCACGACTAGGTGAATTACCCGCTAATGTTGATGTTCTAGTATCTTAATTACTTGTACGTGTGTTACTATATGCGTGAGTCTGCGTGAGTGAGCGCATATTTGATAAATGAATGAGTTCATTAATGGTTAAAGACTCAGACAAAAGATTTAATCGTGTCCTTCACAATTAACAGCTACGTTAAACACTGATTGCAACTTTCAGACCTGTCCGCCTGGAAATGAACTTCCACACCAACATGAAGACTGTAGGGAAGCGTTATCCCTATCTGGCAAATTATACAGTAAGGAACAAATTTATGAACATGCCTGTTACATGCCTACATTTCTCAGATGGGATGGTGACATGAGATGCATTATCGGTTTAATTCACGGTTCTGACAACACTTCAACAGTGATATTATACTTCAGTAATTTCGAATTTTTATTTGCAATATTAACTTGGAATATCAAACACACGTTCCTTCTGACAGCAACCATAGTTAGACGATACAAGTGATAAACCTGATTTATTCACTTCCATGCCACTCTAACACATATTTGTCATTCTGGCTGCTACGTTATTTCAATGGCATTTCGCTGTTTGCATTCAGCGTTTTGATAACGTTTGAATTTTTTTGTCAAAATAAATTTTAAGTGTATACCTTCTTTTGCTGACAGTGAGTTTACTGAACCAGTGATATTTATATGGTCACCAGATATTCATGAATCATATTAAGGAATATTTGGAGCCATGGAAACGTACAAAGTGATATTCTTGACGTTGGAATGGATTAATTTAGAATGAGTGATCCTGTTAATTGATCTGATACCCCATATGGCAAGACATATTGACTTATATATAATATATAGTGAGTTTAGTTTTACACCGCTTTTAGCAATATTACAGCAATATAACGGCGGGGAACACCCACACATATAAAGAGACCTAGACATCGATATATGGAGGTGTGTTATTATGATAAGAACAAATGCTGTATATCATGTGCAGTTTCCATGCACCCATACTTGGAGTTACATGCACTCATTTGCTTCTCTGAAACCAGATCGGCGTCAACAATGATGGGAAACTAAATGGGATCCAACTGAGAGCCAATGCCGACTGTGGAATATCACCCAATGACTCTTACCTTGCTAAAAATCCTGTATTTATGGACAATGGTGATATATCAGCACGTTATAATTTTAAGAAATAATCATTATTAATTTTGTAATTTCGCTGCTTCCCCTTTTTATCTATATTTTTAACAATACCTACAATAAAATGTTGAAGAAAATATGAACGTTAATATTTTATGAAGATAGTTTATTTTGGAACTTAATGTGATGGTCCCTTAAAATATTTTCATAGCTCCTTTGGACGACGAAGGTTTAATGACGGACCTTATATGCATATCGCAAGTGTAATCTTTAATGTGCAGACAGGTTTCTATCTCTAACTATCTGGTCTCTGTCGTTTTAACGGCAAATCACCATCCTAAGTTTGTTTCTGGTGAATACAACTATGTCCAATCTTTTCAGCCTACTACTGCCCAGCATGGGATTACAAACCAGTAGCCCTGAAGACAAACCTCCCAACAAACACATACTGCAGGTCGCCAGGTAGTAATCCCAAATGTGGTGGAACATTGCTTACAGTAATCCTTTCCTTTCCTTACGGTACTCCCGTTGTAATGGGTGTTCATGAAATCTTCAGAGTAACCAAAATATAATCTCAACAAGGATATTGTAATCCTGTCGACCATTCTTGTAACAACCACCATGCAAGCTTTGACGACTTTCCATTCGTATAATCTGTTCATACGAATTACAATTCATGTTTCTCGAAAATAGAACGATAAAACCCTATCACGTCCATAAGAAATCTCTGCTCAAGCAGAGTCGATTGCACAATTCTGACTATATCATGAGAATGTGTGTGATGGGCCCCACATTCAGTAGTCATACTAGGGTGTCATATCTTCTTCCAGGATCCTGTCCAACCATCTTCATCATGGAGACGATGATGGATCACGCCGCCAAAGAATTGAACATGGATCCGCTGGAGTTCAGGAAACTCAACCTGTTCAACAAAGGCCAGGTGAGATGGGGCCAAACATCTAACCCCACCAAATACACAAGCATTTGTTTCACTATAGCGGCAAGAACAACATACCGGCATGAAATGTTTGAAAAGACATTTTCAATTCAGACTGCAGAAAGTACATGAATTTGTTTTATTTTTCCTCAGACAACTGTCAACGGAACTATTCTGAAGTATTGCAACATCAAGCATATTGTCGCTGAACTGGAGAAGTCAGCCAGTGTCTCGGCTAGAAAACAACAGGTTGCAGCATTCAACCAGGTACACGCGCTTTCATAGTTTTCTCTAAATGGGTTTTGATGATTAGATCATCAAGTTAACCATACAATAGTCAGAGTGAGTGAGTAATTTTTTACGCCGCGTTTAGCAATATTCCAGCAGTATCAAGGAAGGGGACACCAGAAATGTGCTTTTCACATCGTACCCATGTGGGGAATCGAACCCAGGTCTTCGGCGTGACGAGCGAACGCTTTAACCATCAGTCAACCCCATCGCCCCCAATAGCCAGAGTGGTTATTCCCGTATGAAGAGAGACTTGTATCCCAGCATATGATATATTCCAGCAACTGCTCCAGAACCTATTACGTTTTTGTGTAAATATTTCTGTTTATGTTACGGAGTGATATAAAAATCGCGAATGTTAACTCAGAAATCAGAACAAAATTGTGTAAAGTCCTCAAATCTTCCTCGTATCTCCCCAACTAGTAATTGTCTCATCACAAAATTTCTCCAACGACCAAGCTGGCCCGTGACTGTTAACAACTAAGGGAGGTGACTCTAAGTCACATTTTCAGTTGGGATCTGGCTACTTCAGCTCTGGATATATTAAGGGCAGTTCAATCGTCTGCTGCCGCTGGCAATCACTCACACCCAAGACACTTACAATAATCAATATGCATATTGGTTTCTTTATCTAAAGCATAACTCTACTCTGGCCATCGGTTGTCAAACATCAACATCGTTGTCTGTTTAAATCTACAAGGTTAATCGGATAGTCCAAGTATTGTGTCGTATTGTTATGCCAAATGTAGCACCCATCTAACGTTGTCTTCAAGTGCCAATAGCAACCTAAAAGCAACCGAAATGTTTAACAGAAATTACAAAATGTTTTAGACAATACTTTATATACATAATTTTTAATTAAAAAAAGATCATTCCCATATTGAGTGTCCAGAAAATAATACTCGGTTATCTTATGACCATCTCCGGGGCGGTGGGGTAGCCTAGTGGTTAAAGCGTTCGCTCGTCATGCCGGAGATCCGGGTTCGATTCCCCACATGGGTACAATGTGTGAAGCCCATTTCTGGTGTCCCTCGCCGTGATATAGCTGGAATATTGTTAAAAGTGGCGTAAAACTGAACTCACTCACTCACTATAACCATCTCCCATAAACTTCATTCCAAGTTTACAATGATAGTCCAAATGGTGACGTGATATTTGTTTCACATTCTCTCATTGAATTCATGGGCAACTTAAGATGAGTAGAATCTCTTAACTGATCACCTAAACACAACAGAAATTACAAGTAAGGTTTTTAACCAAGATCTATAGCAAACAATTTCATTGATGTTTTAACGAAGCAGTAACCGAGAAAGTGTTCCAGAAAGTAAATCCTGTGATTGTGTTCTGTCACTCACAATTTGATTGCAGGCTAACAGGTGGAAGAAAAGGGGAATTGCTGTCATGCCTCTCCGATGGAACGTGGACTACGCACACGCCACCTTCAACGTCTACATGACCATCTACCACGGGGACGGATCCGTGGCCCTCTCCATCGGTGGAGTGGAAATGGGACAGGGAATAAACATGAAGGTTGCTCAGTTTGGAAATACAATAGCTCATATGTGCATTTCCATTAAAGAACCAATACCTTAGTAATATTAATATGCGTGTATCAGTCTAATAGGGATATACTGATACAAAAAAGCTCCCACTGTGACATCTTGTGTGGATGCAGGGTCTGAATGCATAGGACATCAGTATCCATATACACCTTTCTTTGACTTGGATGATGATGACTTGAATAATGCCATCATGAATTATTTTTAATTTTTACCTTTTATATTTATTTTTATTTAGTTCACTAGGCACGGGCGTGTTGGTATTACAATGTTTTAAAGAGAAAATATAAACATGGTGTTATATAGAACAATAAAACTTGCTAAAGAGCCAATTTTAAAGGAATTGTCCAAAAGGCATCTCAATCATACTTCGATTCCCCACATGGAATAAATTATATGGTAGCTTCCCTGATGGTTGATAGTAAGCATTATTGAGAGAAATGCATGGCTTATTTTTAGAGAAGTGTGGTGTGATAAAGTGCCGTTAACGCCGTTAACAGTAGTCAAGCAGAATGACGGTGGTCTGTAAATAATTCGACTCTGGATTAGACAATCCAGAGACACAACATGGGCATCTGTCTACATGCATGGAGATAACCTGACCACCCGATCCCGTTATGTGGTGATGAAGACTAGTTTAAACTCGGATTGACATGAGTCATATATCTGTTATACTCTCACGAACTCTCACTGATAGTAAAGCAGCTTACACCTATATCAGAAAAAGAATAGAATGTTAACATATATTTTATGAACATCATAAGAACTTGATAATTACAGATGATGCAAATATGTGCCTATGAGCTGGGCATCCCCATTGATACGATCAAGGTGAAACCAACCACCACCCTGGCCGACTCCAACTCCTACACTACCGGCGGAAGCATCACGACGGATGTGAACGCATTGGTAAATAGAGTTTCGTTTCTATATAAGTGCACCGAACACAGCCTATGGTGCAAAGCTACAGAGCTCTACTTGTTCTGTATATTGCTCCATATGATTAAAGGGGCGGGGGGTAGCCTAGTGGCTAAAGCGTTGGCTCGTCACGCCGAAGACCCGGGTTCGATTCTCCACATGGGTACAATGTGTTTAGCCCGTTTCTGGTGTCCCCCGCCGTGATATTGCTGGAATATTGCTAAAAGCGGCGTAAAACTAAACTCAGTCAGTCAGTCAGCCATATGATTATATATACAATTGTCATGCGCATTTTTCCATGCACAATGCATGTTCGAAGCGCCCAAATGATCTGTGTGTTACTATTACTCCGGATAACCAAATCTGCCTTTTGGGCGCTAGAAGGTTATATTCACATGACTTGATCCCACCGGGTACCCATTATCTGCTGGGTGAACATAGGCAATTTGAAACAAACTCACTTGCCTAAGGTGAGACCAAATGTATATCTTGTGCTTCGTTGTGGGCAGGAAACTAGCCTCACATCGTCATTGAGGAAACGTGATAAAGTTAAAGTTAGATTGCTTAAGAGTCAATACACATTCAGAACGATCTCTCTGGTGTGTCAAAATGGCGAACGTGACACTGCACAAGCGGAAGTGAACATTGTCGTGTGATCTTGGCCCCGACACTTAAATTTGATATCCCTCCTCTTCAGCGCTACCTTCAAGATAGAATAGTAAATATGCTGTTTGCTGACCTTCTGATCGCTGTTGCTGGTCAAAATCGTAGAATTCACAAGGTTCGGGCTGTGTCAAACGTATAAATCTCTTCTTAAAGGGAGTCGTGCAGTGCTGTCAACAACTAAAGGCCCGGATGGCCCCGGTCAAGGCCAAGATGTCGAACCCTACCTGGCAGCAGCTTGCAGCTACGAGCTACGCCCAAGGGGTGGACTTGTCAGCCAGATCCGCGTAAGTATGCATGACATAATAATATTTGCGATCAAACCCAGTTGAAATATGTTAACTGATGACGCCATAAATGCAGTGATGTTCTTGTCGTTGTGATGACGCTCAGTGAGATGGAAACGCACAGAACGAGATTGTATCATTGTCGTCATGATGTCGCTCACATAGAAACGAATAGAACATCCGGGATGGTGCCGACGGAGAGGATCAGACCACAATATTCTTCATAACATAGTCGATGGTATAACTATATAATAAAATATGAAATACGTTTATTATATAAATGCATGAAGATAACGGGATTTTGAGGGTGACTGGCTTATTTCAATCATTGGCATTTTTGTAATGCGTCTTAAGACTCTTTCAACTGGCAGCAAGTTGCAAACCTATATTTGAGTAATTTACTCCATGAAGTGTTCGAAAGCCGGAATTCAAAGCCAGGTATTGTAATGTCATAATTCAAGGCTATTCTACAGCGCGATATTCTGTCAGACTAATAAATCGCTACACGATTTACATCGACATCGTCATTTGCAGGACATATCCAACTGGAGATTTCAGTGACTACAACATTTATGGTGCCACGTGCACAGAAGTTGAGGTGGACATCTTGACCGGGGAGAACCAGATCAACAGAGTGGACCTACTGTATGACTGTGGAGAGAGGTAAGACCAACAGAGTGGACCGACTGTATGACTGTGGAGAGAGGTAAGACCAACAGAGTGGACCTACTGTATGACTGTGGAGAGAGGTGAGACCAACAGAGTGGACCTACTGGACCAGACCAACAGAGTGGACTGACTGGGGAGAGGTAAGAGATGGACCCAACAGACTGTGGAGAGAGGTGAGACCTACTGTATGACTGTGGAGAGAGGTAAGATCAACAGAGTGGACCTACTGTATGACTGTGGAGAGAGGTAAGACCAACAGAGTGGACCTACTGTATGACTGTGGAGAGAGGTAAGACCAACAGAGTGGACATACTGTATGACTGTGGGGAGAGGTAAGACCAACAGAGTGGACCTACCGTGGTTGACCGTGTGTGACCGTGGTTGAAGTTTTATTAAGTATTTCATTCACACGAGTTCCCCAGCACGTTTATCTAACATGTTTATATGTTCTGTCCTTGGTTGATTCAGCAATATTCCAGCTATATGGCGGCGGCCTGTAAATAATCGAGTCTGGACCAGACAATCCAGTGATCAACAGCATGCGCATCGATCTGTGCAATTGGGAACCAATGACATGTGTCAACGGTTGTCTCCCATTTGTTACACATGCCAGTTGTTACACACTCTGATATTGCCATTTGTTACACAGTCAGGTTGGGGGTTCATTACTGCTATACCTACAACTATAATGGACTAGCCCACACTGCTCAGTAGAAGGATTTTATAGTAAAGCAGCTTAACCGTCAAATGGATCAAAGGGATTAAGAACAAGCAGTTTTGATGTTGTTTTACTCAAGAAATGTTTGTTTGATTAAAGATATTTTTATAGTTAGCATTTGATATTTACATTCAGTTGTTTTTATCTTGAGATGATTTCTTCTTCTCAAGGCGGGATTAACTATTGAGTAAAGTTAACTCAATTATATTGAGAAAATACATCATTTACTATAAATGCCTGGGGATGACCCTTGCACATTAACCATGGCTGTTATACAAAAAGTAGTGTATGTCACATCGCAGTGAGGCAGATCACAAGTTCTTTTTGAAGGATTCCTCTACAACAAGTCCACAACACGACAGACATGTCAGCACTGGCAATGCATTGTTAAGACCCGCAAGGGCAAATGCACAACAGTTGGAGATCTTGTCAGGAATGTTTCTGACCACAGTCATCCACCAGAAAATGTCACTCGGGGTAAGTTTATCGGCAGTCTCAGGAAAAGAACTAGAGAAGAGACAACCCACATGCATGACTTCTACTCTGACCTCAAGACTTTGAACTTGAAGCTATCCAGGCTGTCGAAGCTAAGTTCCCTAATGCCGAGATCAAGGGATGTTTCTTTGATTTCCTTCAAGCCATATAGCGCAAGACACAAACTTGGATTAGCCAGACTCTACAAGGATAACCCCAGTGTTCAGATGTGGATTCAACGTGCTGCAGTACTTCCACTCCTTCCCATAGATCTGGTGCAAGACACGTGGCTGGAATCCATGAACTCAACTCCTGACACCCCTCATTCAGTGGACTTCAATGACTACATTGTTGCCAACTGGGTGGATGACGACGCCAGATTTCCTATGCACCTATGGAACCACCACCAGACCAGAGGACCGCGCACTAACAACAATCTCGAGGGCTTCCACAACAGACTAAACCGGATCTTGCCACACGACCATCCGAACATCTACAGGTTCATCACCGTCATCCGCCAGATCGAGTTCGCAGACCGAGCCAAGCTGTTTCAGATCGACTTCGGTGCAGCTCCTCCTACCAGAAAGCGAGTGTACAGGAGTTGGAGAACAGAACCCAGAGACTGAAGAGCAAGCTTCACCAGGGGACCAGGACACCACTTGACTTCCTTGATGCCATCGGACATTTGATTAAGCTTGGTTGAGACTCTTGCTATGTGAAATCTATGTGCTGAGTTGAATCAGTGGTTTAAAAATAAATGATAAAAGACATCGAAGAATGATGAACTTCATATACATGGATTTGCTAACAAATGCATATAAAATGCAATAAAATGATATGTAGTTCTAATCAATTGGGTTGCGTTCTCTTTCTATGTCTGCAACGAGTATGGACTATCCCATTCTTCACTAATAGGTAATAGGTGTGTGCAGTGGTCTGTGACCTTATGTGTATTGGGGTGTGTAACAACTGGCATGTGTAACAAATGGGAGGATACCGCCTGACCACCCGATCCCGTTAGTCGCTTCTTACGACAAGCATAGTCGCCTGTTGTGGCAAGCATGGGTTGCTGAAGACCTATTCTACCCCTGATCTTCACGGGTCTTGTGGAAATGTGAGATGCCATGATTAGATTACATATCAATATTAAATTTTAATGTGGGTCGGACAATTTTAGACGAGTAGCTATATTCATATAGCTTCCTTTAGTGGAAACCTCTGCAACAAACTATTCTGTCTGTACAGGAATACAAACCTCCAATGCCCAAAGACATTCCTATCGACTTCCGCATCCAGTTCCTGAAGAACGCACCCAACCCACGTGGAGTCCTGAGGGCCAAAGGTAATGGAACCATCAGTATCAGCTTATGGATATACACACTGTGTTAACACTTCTTGATAAGATATATATAATGGCGCTCAGTTTCACAAAACAAAATCAAGCTGTTCTTGGGTGATACTTGAAGTTACACGCCAACATTAATTTTGTCTCTGGACATATAGATATTTCATTTTCTGTGGGTATTTCATAGATAACGATTCTCAGGTTATGTCAAGGATAGTTTTCTCTGAGTATCTCCTATATAATTGTTGTGTTTCAGCTGTAGGCGAGCCACCCGTCTGTATGTCTGCATCAGCGTTGTTTGCTGTGAAACACGCCATCGAGGCTGCCAGAAAGGAAATCTCACAGGACTCATACTTCCGACTTGGTATATACAAAGAAAAACTATTCAAGTTTCGCTACTATCAGTTTTTTTTATAAAGAAATTAGGTTTATTTTAAAGCCAACTTAGTAGATACGTCACTAACAAAATTAGAGATATTTTATTAAATGTTGGACGTGGAGGTTAAAGGGCATTATATACCTCAGTGATATATATTTCATTATGCATGTCTATTTTATCCCTCTATTTGTCATTAAGTATATGAAGCTGAATCTATGCTGGGGACAAAATGACCAAATTCACCAAACTTTTTTCAACAAGAGACGCACAATTACTTCGGTGATCTTGTTCTGCTGTGTCAGATTCTCTTGGTCAAATTAAGCGATGTGGGCAAGCCAAAATCTAAATTGTTAAGTACAAAATTCTCTAAATACCTGGGAATCTCCTTTTCAGAAGACCGCGAATACACATTAAATGTCGTGCTTTGATTTCATCACTTACAATGATATAAACAAGATGTATACCATATATGTTACATGATGAAATGATAACCAAAGGATTTGTCATCCTGCTGGACATGTTCGTGTCAGTTAGTACTTAATGTCTAATTATGAGTTATGGAATGATGATATACCAGGGTTGGAACCACGGAATTCAATAAACGTTGGTCACAGTATTGGCTTAAATTCTGGTTTATTTTGGATGCTTATATTTTGGACCATCCAATGTTATTGGGAATGTAAACGCAGGAATTGCACCGTCTACTGAATGATGAATTGATTTATTTATATGTTTAGACGGCCCAGCCACAGTGGAGAACATACAGACAGCCTGCCAACTCGACACCTCCCAGTTGGTGTATGGGACCTAGGTCAACCGAGCCCACGTCACCAACTCTGTGGAGCACGGATCAGCGTTGAAGATTAGGGAAACATGCTTTGAAATGTCACGTTGAACAAGCAAGTTTCATTTGCTACTGCTTTGTTTCAGTGAATCACATTACGCTTGTCAGCGAACAAGTTATTCCATGACACTGAACAAACCAAATGAAACTGAAATGTTACAGCTTCTATATATTCACACATTGAAACCGAAAACTGAAGAGCACGCGATCGCATGTTAATGTTACAATGTCTCAGTCTTCACTTGCATAACACCTAGCAGGTTTTACTCCTTAAATGGTAAATAAAAACATTTGTATGTCTAGAGACTCCCAGAACACCACATTTTACATTCAGAAGGAAATCGGACGTTTTAACACATTTTATCGTTGTTATAGTTAATTTGATCTGTAAAGTTGCGCAATAATGCAAACTACATCTGTATTATTTGATTAAACACAATGTTTTACCTCTGTACACCTGTCGCAATGATATGTAATGGCTTTCGTTTTCAAAAGTAACATTCAATTAACTGTTAAACGATGCATGTGTTTCGCTGGTTCCAGATATATGTATTTGGTGGCCTAATTATTTTCATGGTATATGTTGATGGTAAAACTATAATCAACATGTGGTGTTCTACGTATATCTATATATATATATATATATATATACGCACGCACAAAATGTTCAAAATAGTACAGGTGTTCAGTCATAAATATTACATAGATAAATAAAAACAGACTGCCTTTTTCTCCAACATGTTTCGTTCTGTACTCTGCAGGGAGATTGTAGCGGCTTTTATACATATAAACAAGTGATTTCTGCAGGTGTATAAGCATTAAATATATAAAATATGAGTCCAGATATTTCTTCTTGTCAAATCTCCTCTATATCTGCACAAGTTATGTGTCGCCTATGACGACACTCAGCTTCCATTGCATACCTGAAGAGCCGTTGAACGGCGAAAGATCTTGTGCAGATATAAAGGAGATTTGACAAGAAGAAATATCTGGACTCATATTTTATATATGTGCACCTGCAACATAGGGATATGCAGTTCAATTAGGTTGAGTGTGGATTTTAACCTACTGACATTGTCACAACGAGGACGTGAACATGGATGTCCTACTCACTGATATCTTTATGGAAGTTAACCTTCTCAGAGTATGTTATTCTTGATACAATGTATCAATATGATGATTGTAATGTTAAGACTTTTAGGTTTCGTGGGTCATATTTTCAATCTCTGTAGAA